AACCCCAAGAAAGGGGAGTCAGTGACAGATACGGACTGTGTCCAAGCCCTGTTGAGGGGAAACTTTAGTGAGGGGACTTCAAGGATCAAGACCCCATTGGCGGGGCGCCTGGGTGGCTCAGTCGTTAAGCGTCTGCCTTTGGCTCAGGTCATGATCCCAGGGTCCTGGGATTGAGCCCCACATCGGGCTCCCTGCTCTGCGGGAAGCCTGTTTCTCCCTCTCCCACTCCCCCTGCTTGTGTTCCCTCTCTCGCGGTGTCTCTCTGTCAAATAAATTTATTGCAGGCTCAAATTACCCTACACAGAATCTTAAAAAAAAAAAAAAGACCCTATTGGCAAGACTTCCTTAAATAGAAAGGGATATGGGGAGTCGCAACCTGAAGGTTTCATACTAAATGCATATGGGGATTATTCTATTCTTGTAGCGGAGCGTCATTTGTTTGTTCACTCGGTATTTATTGGGCAACCACCATTCTCGCCTGGACCCCTTCCATCTCCTTTCTTCTGACTCCATGTCACCAAGCAACCTTCTAGTTGCGTCTGGCTTCCTGGGTAGACGGCCCTATGGGAGGAGAAGGCACTGGCCGTGCTCACATTCTAAGTGACAGGACTGTTTCCCGGGATGAGCTAATAAATGGGCGTTATTTCATTGCAGATCAGTCTCACGAGCTTGGTTAAAGTGCCTTTACCGACAGGAAATGAACTCACTGAGGTGCTGACAAATTATCCAAGCCTGGAAACCTAAGGGCTAGGGCACGACCAGGTAAATGCACACCTTGGGGTCCCCCTGGGTGTGATGTGTTGGGACTGTGTTCTGACTCTGGACGGTGATGGGGGGCAGTGTCTGGGGTTAGACTGGGGGCTGGTCTTGCCATTCACACTCTGGTTTCCCCTAAGCCGGTTACTTAACCTCTCCGAGCCTCTTTCTTCTCTCCTACAAAATGGGAGGATAGTCCTTCAGAGTTCTATTTTGGCTCAGTATTGAAACAAAAGCAGCAAATGAGCAGGTCTGCTGAATTCAGAACACCAGCCTCCCCTCCTCTCCTGTTCCCCATGCTCCGGTCCTGACAGATGGGTCCCCCTGCCATTCAGTCACCCATCTGAGGAGCATGCAGGGTTCTTCTCGACTCCACTGCCCAGGGAAACCTCCTCAAAGGGCTCTTCGGCACACGGCGCACACACTGCGGTGCTTTCTTCTGCCTTCGTAGCAAACGGTGTCTCAGCCAATGTGGTGACAGTTTTATGGGAGCCACTCACTGTTCCTGTGGAATAATTCTGTTTACTTCACAACAGCCGCCTGGGCATTTCCCCACTCCTCAGTGGGGAAAATCGAGGATCCGCCGTCTGAGACCACCTTGTTAATAACAGAATTGTTCCAGATCTTAGTGTTATCTCATCTATGAAAGAAACATCCTTCTAAAACAGGCACATCGAATGGTGTTCGGAGACTGTATTAACCGCCTTTATTGAACTCCAAAGAACAACTCGAGACACATGTAGAGAGTGGATTTTCAGAGAGGTGTTTCCTTGACCCAGTTACATTTTTATTCAGTGAAAAAAGTTAACATTGAGACAAAAATTATCGTAAAATTGTGCAACAATATAGTAAAATCTTCAGCAGAAATCGGTGATTTGGAAACATATCAAGGCAATTGAAATCATAAATGCCTAATTTCACTTTGGAGAGAAACAAGTATACAGTGTTTCACTTTAAATAAGAGCAGAATAGGCCTTTATTTTGCTGCCAATACTTCGATTTTGCCTAAAGTTTCTAGTAATTCATAACAAGAGTCTTTAAATGAGAAATGACACGGGAGGACGTCTGAGAATAATGTTCCACCACTTCGGCACTCATACTTTCTTCCATTGGCATTAGTACACATGAGACGAATACCATTCTTGGGTTACTTGGCTCTGAGGATTTAATTCCTAATATGGCTGCTCAAAATTAGTGGGCAGAAACATATACACAACCTATCCTCCCTCAACCCACGTTTAGTGGTGGTTCCCATTCTGAGAACGAGCTCATTGTCCGTGTACCCAACTAGCCATCCCTCTTGCTATCTTGTCCATATCTCAGTCTTGCATAGAAAGTAGTCTATATAAACTTAATGCACTGGCTCTTATTACACAAAAATTGTACCTGAAAGGCAGCACACACTCCAGTTAATAAAAATAACAGACTAGGAATGTCAAGATACAATCCCAACAAAGTGAAGATTCTGCACAAAGTTTTAAGAGTTGATTCTGAAAATGAATATGGAGATGGTATTCAGTTGACTTATCTCCCAGAACCCTTCTCTGAGGGGTCTCCCGGCTCTGTCAAAGGAAAGATCTTCTCGGGGATTCACCAGGCCCCCCATCAGTAGGAAAGTGACCAACCAAACCTAACAAGATGAGGTTTCTGCCCCAAGGAAGTAGCGGGACCATAATCTTACAAGATGGAGTGACCGTTGGGTGGATATTTGAAGACAGGATTCTCCAAGGGAAAGTGGGCGATTATCTTTAAGAGCCTAGCCACACCATCGCTCTCCCCATTTCCCCCTAAAACAGCCACTGTGTGAGAAGGGGTACATTCCTTAAATGGCTGAAGCATAGCTTAACCTAGTAGGCCAGGACAATGGGCAGGAGAGAACACAGAGCTGTGTGTCCTACACCTGTCCCACCCAAAGGTCCCGAGGGATACAAGCAAAGATGGAACCCCAGGAACCTCTCTTCCCAAAGTCCAAGGTTTCAACCAGTTACCCAGCATCATAACCTTGTACCCAGTATGCCAGGGCAGCCAGTAGTTACTGGAGCTTCTCACGTGTCTGGAAAGGTCTGCATAGATGGGGCTCTTCCCTGGACTGCTCTGCAGCATTCTACTCTCTGTCATTTCATCTGCCTGGACCCGTGTCTCACAAGACTCGAGGGGCGTTCAACACATAAAGGGGCAAAATCAGCCACCAGAGAAAATCTGTACACAATCCCCCTGCCTACCAAATTCTAGTGGTCTGTTAGTGGTCCACCGTGGTCCACGTGGATGTGGGCTTCTGACATTCTAATGTGCGCTGGGAGAGAATAAAACCTTTTCCCTGTACAGTGTGAACTTCTGGGGTGGCATCTCCAACGAGGTACAAAAAAGCCCCTTCTTCACAAACAGGGGCTCCGATTGGTCACAGTGAAGACAATTATCTGGTCACTTTCAAAGGCTGCTCATACTTTTTGTTCTCATCTCCTAAGGTCACTCCAACCTCTGGACTCTCGCAGGTGGCACATATACACCGAAACCCCAGAAAGCTATGCAGAGGGAAGAAGAGTGCGTGCTTGAAAAGTTCATAAAAATATACAATTTACATGTAGCTGCATCTACCTAGCTTAGTCTTCAGAAACTTAGCTCTTCTGTGTATATAAAATACTCTAGCCCTAAAAGGCTGCTTTTTCTCAAACAGCACAGTGGCGTTTTCCGAGGAGAGGGGTGATGGCCAGTCTATACAGTACTGTGCACTAAGCTTTGGGAGGCACTGGTAACAAGAACTGGATGCTCAGAAGTGTCTCCAGTTGCCGACTGGAGACACAAGCTCTGTAGAAAGGCTTGTCTACGGAACAATGGAAAATAACGTGTCAGAGCCTTTCAGATCAGCTTTCACGAATGCCAACAGAAAGTTGGCAGAAAAAGAAAAGGAGAAAATATACTTTCTAGTGGTTCAATTAAACGACTCTGCCTCCTACCAGACTGTTAATCTTTCAGCTACTTGAAGAGCTTTACTAAAGGGGTGGGGGTGGGGGGTAGCGCTTGGAGCTTTGAACAAAACCCCAAGACAAGATAAAGCCAAAGAAATTCCATTCTTTACAAAAGTCACAAAGGAAAGAGAGGGGAAGGGAAAAAAAGGCTGGAAGGAGGCTCATCATGACCACCGCTTGTTAAAATAAAACAGAGCCTTACCCACACAGCATACTACATGTCTACAGCTGAAAATACTCCTCGTTCAAAATATATGTATGTGTGTGTATATATATATAAATTAACATTTTTAAAACTAAAAAATTTAATTGGCTCTTTGTTTTCCAGACAATCACGAGATAGAACAAATCTATATTCTCACCCAAGAATGATACTTTTGGTTAAAAGAAAGCAAATAGACTTGTGAGAAGGTGATACGGCGCACCTCAGAGGACATGGGGTCTTCACAAAGCTTGCATATAAAGGACACATATTCGGAAACATGACTTTGGAATATCCCCCGGGCTCCCTGCTTCTCAGCTGAGAGGTTCTGTGGGGGAGCTCCTACAGCAGGAGTCACAACAGTGCTGGACGTCAGCGTCTATGGCGCTAAGTCTAAAAGGCGGGCATCGGTCCACGATGGATTCCACGTACCTATCGAGTGGCCATTATGTGAATACCGGGGTGGCATTTAAAGGCATAAGGGATAAGAGCTCAGCTTGTTTTATAGAGAGAATAAGCTCTAATGTTGCTGCGACTGTAAATTGGATAGAATGGTCTCAAATTCGTGCATCTCCTGTATCTCTGTCGGAGTGAACAGCACTCTTTAAACTGGGCAGGGGTGCGGGGGAAGGAGGTGGAAGGAAAGGGAAAAAAAAAAAAAAAGAGAGAGAAGGCACTGACCCAATTCAAAATGACTGCATATATCAGGTATAGAGTTTTAAAGACAGTAAGTGGCCACCTCAACACAAATACAAAACTTTACATTCGAGGGGCGCCCGGGTGGCTCAGTCGTTAAGCGTCTGCCTTCGGCTCAGGTCATGATCCCGGGGTCCTGGGATCGAGTCCTGCTCAGCAGGGAGTCTGCTTCTCCCTCTGCCTGCTGCTCCCCCTGCTTGTGCTCTCTCACTTGCTCTCTCAAATTTAAAAAAAAAAACAAACAAACCTTTACATTCGAGATTCTTCAGTGGTAAGGAAAACCAAGTATCAGCAAAGGACAAATTAGGTACTCTATCTGCCAGTGTATCTCCCGTGGCACAGACCTAGAACTCTCCCACAAGCAGAGTCATTGTTTGCGGTGACCACGACACCACAGTATAATGCAGCAGTGTTCTCATCTTGTAGCAAGGAGAGCTACGTCTTGTGCAGAGGCGTAGACAGTAAGATTCCATCCATTAATATAAGAGAAGAAGCTGTGGCTTGCAGGGCCTTCCTGAGCTGCAGCTGTTTAACTGAAACTGAGCAATGATTCAGTGTGCTCTCCTGCCAAATACCATTATGTGACAACGAGTGAATAAAAACGGACTGTTTCCGGAATGGCAACAAAACTGCTTCTGTTCCCCTCCCCTCAACCCTGCGACCCCTCATAACGTGCAGAGTCAGATGACCACGAAAGCCCTGCCTTATACAGAGTCCCAATAAATTAACAAAATTACAGAAAAGAACCTTCCCCCATAATACACACAAACACTTTCATATAAACTAAATCCAAACAAAATTTAAAATTTGAGCACACTTTCAATGAGGGGGGGTGGGAGGGATTCCACCCATCACCCTCTCTTGAAGTTTTTATTAAATACATTTCTGTCTTAGAAAAATAAAAAGAATGGCCAATTTGTTGAACCAAAATTATCTCACAGACTTAAAAAGCATGCCCAGCAAGCACAGCCCTGTAAGACTACATTAATATGAAATCAAAGCAATTTGGTTACTGAAATCAACCTGGTTTGAAGTTCACAGTTGATTACTACAAAGTTTATTCATTCCTTGCTTTCCTTTTTTTTGTTGTTTTTGTTTTTGTTTTTGGCCCATATAAAAATAACATATTGCAACTCAAAGTGCATCTTTTAAAATAAACCATCAACTATCTTTATCAAATAAAATATTTACACCATTTGGTTTCTAGTGAGGACAGCTTTCAGGCTATCACCATGGGGACGTCATCTGAAAATCCAGTTATCATGGGAGCATCTTCATCATCCTCCCCTAAAGGCAAAACAGTCGGTCCTTGGTGAGTTCCAGCATGTCTGCACCCAACCCCAACTCCCACCGCTCCACCCCAGCCACCCCCAACACCATCGTGAGCCCCAGCCTGGAAAATTGGGACCCAAGCCCACCAGGCACAGTAGCCAAAGCTGAAACCCAGCTCAGCTCCCTCCCCTGACACTCTTGAGTCCACTTCTCCCCCATCAATGGGTGGTCAAGCTTATTTTAACGGTAGCTTGAACTTAACCAAGTAAAGAAAGTAAATCTCGTAGGAATGAGAATCTTATTACCTACCCAAAAGTCCAACGGGTGATTTAGCTTCCCTAATTTGAATTATCCACACCCATTGTTAACACAGTGAAACCTCATAGTCTGTTCTCTCCTCTGAACCCACAATGCTCTGAGGGTAGGGATCTTAGAGGGGTTTAAGCTTTTTGAGTACAGCTTCCCAGACTAATGGATGTCCCCTTGTGGCCCCTGGTACAATCCTGTGCAAATAAGTTGTGATCCACATTCAGTGATCACTGTGTGGTATCACCACGGGTCAAACTCCTTTTGCCCCCAGTAACAGAAGCAAAGAATGCACCCCATTCATGCAAGGCAGACCAAATACTTGTACGAAGCAAGACAGGACACTGAGCAAAAGAAGGAGCAAAGCTAATATCAAATGATCAGTGAACGGGGAATTCACAAGTACTTTACAAACAAAAAAAAATAACTGGTTTACAGAAAAAATAGGTAGGTAAAATGACATTCAGCAGTCTGCATTTGGGGAAGACCCCCAAACACACCTAATTTATTATATTAAGTGGTCTACTAGCTCTATTAGCATTTAGTAATTTGAGCATGTAGATATTTTAAAAGGGATCTTTCTTTCTTTTGTCCAAACCATGTTATGGATACATAAAAGAATGGCCGAGGAGGTTTCACTAGCTATCAGAAAGACAGACAGCCAGATGGAAAGGCCGTCTTTGGACAGAAGTCATCCGGGAAAGTGTGACTTCTTCTCTTGACTAGGCTCTTCCAAGATGTCAGACCTCCAGGTCCATGAAGGATGAGAGGGCTTGGAAATTCTTGAAAATCTGCTGATACTTTGACAGTATCCAAAGCCCAGGGACTTCCTATCCTTCCTGTACAAGGCAAGCTCCTACCAGTTCTTCCACAAGACCACTCCCGGTTCTCAGGCCAGGACCACACCGTGGAAGAGACTACGAGCATTTTCATATAGAAGCAAGTTCAAAGCAAAGGGCTCCAACTGGTTTAACCTAAAGCAGTGAGATCACTGGTTAACGAGTCACTCCTCGAGTGTCAAAAGATGAGCTTAACATAGGTATTTCCTAAGCAAGGAACCGGCTTTGCAGGGGTCCGCGCTGGGAGGAAGCACCAGGGCAGCCTGCCCCACTCACCCAGGTCGTCCCCCGAGGAGAAGATGGCCGAGCCCAGCCGGGAGCTGTAGTGGCTATTGGCAAAAGCAGTGAAGCTGTTCTGCAGCCTCCGATGCTTGGTGTACAGGACCGCAAACCCGACCCCCAGGCTCAGCAGTATCAGGAACAGGATGGGCACCACCACGGCAGCAACATCAGTAGACCTGGCAGCCCGGAACGCTGATGCGTCCCCACCTGCCAAGGCAAGAGGCCAACACACGTAAGCCTCTGACATCAGGGTGGGAAAATGGACGAGGCAACTCGACACCACCACCGCCCCCCCAACCAAAAACACTAATCGTCGGCAGCTACCCAAGCCACCTGCCTGGTGTGGCATGTTCCTGCATGTGGCGCCTGTTTCCCGACGCCTTGCCATGAGCTGACAGCCCACGGGCCTTGTGCATGCAAATACGGTAATTACATTAGCCTCCTAATCACGGCCTTGTTGTTTATTTAGATAATCTCTTGGAAGGGAGACCTTTGTTGGGGTATCAACATTGATTTCATTAGCATTATTACTTAAGACCACTTGCTTGCCTTACATAAGAGGATGTGAAATCAGACCACTAATTAACGAGATTGCAATTATTTCCCCCTACTTGGCACCAAAGTCACTCTGAACTGCAATTACCTGAAGCTCCATTAAGTGATACAAACGAGATTCCTTTACTGCAACGCTGACTTAACAGCTCATGAAGTTTTATGAGGTTTTTTTTTTTACTTAGATAAAAGAGAGAAAGAACATTTCCATACCCATTTCACATTTTTAAAATGCTCTTTGCAAAGCCAGTTAGGTGTCTATGACCTAACAATGATGCTCACTTGCCCATGTCTTAGACAAATTCCAGCTCTGTGATGATGTGCTGGTAGATCTGCCCCAATAGGGCTCTAGGGCAAAGCCATCCCCCTGTTAGGTTTGGGCCAGTCTTAAAAAATCCTGGGGAAAGTCTAAGCCTGAGGGCAGGAAGTGGAACTTGGGAGTCAGTTTGAGCTACAGAAGCACAGTGGACTTTTCAGGTCCCATAAGGAGCCTCATCAGGCTCGAGGTCATTCCCTGGGATAGGGCTAAGTGGTACGGGCCAGGCCTGTGCCTCACGGGGAAGGCTCAGTAGCTACCCAGGGACTCGTCCCAACCAGATGTTCATCGAGATGGGCCAGAGAACAGCCATTTCTTGCAAGCCCAATCTAACAACTCAATATCCATGCCTTTAATTTCTCTCATTATTGACCCACCAGGAAACGCTGGGGCAAGATCTTATGTCATATGTCCCAACCTAACCCCAGCTGTGAAGTGGTAAATTAGGGGGATGCGCTTAGCTGGAGCAGTCAGGAGGAACCAGTGTGGTGCAGGAAACAGGAATGATTGGACCCCCTCTCCCCCCGACACCCCACTTCTGAGGGGACCGCAAACATAAAGGGACAAGACGAGACTAACCGAGGCCTCACGGAGAGAGTCTTTCTGCTTGACAATCTCGGTTTTATAAAAGCAACACTTTTTCCCAAAGTCTATTTCACAGTCGCTAATTGGTTTTACTTAAAAAGGAGGCTCTATTTAGGAAATGCTAGGTTAACAAGACTTTTGTTGTCTGTTTTCTGTAAGACCTTCTCAGAACCTCTAGTATGCTATGATTCTCCAAAGGGAAGCGGTTTGCAAGGTTTTCCTTTTAGGGAGGTGCCTGGGAAGCATGACATGTCAGAACATACAACAACTCTAACGCAAGATTTTGGCTTGAGCGTTGGTGAGTTCCTGGCTGGGAGTAAATGGAACGAAAAAAGACCAGTGACAAAACATGTTGATATCCTCGCCAAGCTACTACAATACATGCAGAATTTCTGTGTAAAGGAAAGGTTCCTCTCCTCCGCCATCAGCATGACCCAGCACCGATATCTGTGAGTGTTCAGAAGACAAGATGCCAGGCCAAATTCAGGTTCTGCTCTGGACCGACGGCTAAGAATGGGGGAGGCTATAAAATCAGTTACTCTATGGGAAGGAGATTATTTACTGACTTGGAAGAACCACAGGGAACATTAGCATATTGGAGGCTCTGAAAAGTCCTGCAAAAGACAAACACTAAAACTCATACTCAACCTAGTGTTTCCCGAGCAGAATCTCCCTTTGGAACAAAACCTATTTTTAACCCATTCCCTTTCTTGGGCTTTACATTCAGAATGTGGTCACTTTGTAACCCCAGCTCCTCACAGCACGCTTGGCTCAGGAAGTATTTGTTAAATCAGTGCCTGATTAAATTGATATAGAAGCGATTTTCTTTAAACTGAAAGAATATTTTATTTTTTTATTTTATTTTTTTGAGAGAATATTTTAAATACACTTTAGAAAGACACATCTTGGGGTGCCCAGGTGGTTCAGTCAGTTAAGCATCTGACTCCTAGTTTCGGCTCCGGTCATGATCTAAAGCCCTGCGTGAGGCTCCTCACTCAGCAGAGTCTGCTTGGGATTCTCTGCCTCTCCCTCTGCCCCTCCCCCTGCTCTTGCACACGTGTGTGCTCTTTCTCTCTCGCAAATAAATAAATAAAATCTTAAAAAAAAAAAAGACACAAATTCATTACACCATGCTACATCCTTCATCAATTTCCCCAGAGCTGAAGACGGAAACTGGACCCATGAGTGACTTACCAGACCCCAGCTCATCATACAGCAGGACAGCAGGCTCCCCACAAATCTGACTGCCAAAAAGGCATCTTGCTTGCACAGTGAAAGTGTAATTATGACCCAATTTCAGGTTGGAAATTTTAAAGAAATTGTCAGTAGTATTCCCAAGGTAAGCTGAGATATTCATGGCACTATCAAACATGTGTATCTCATAGCCCTGAAAACAAAGACACGAGAGATTGTTCAGGATGTTAGATAAGGAATCTGACAGCTTCTATTACTGGTTCCAACTTTATGTGAGCTCCTTATTGCAGGCTTTTATAGATGCTAAAGCACTTTGGGTTTCTTACTAGATCTTTTTACATTACCACTGAGATACTGGATTCAGAAAATGGTAATTTTCCCATCCCAAATGTCTCAAATAACTACCACGCCCACTTATAAGCTGCAAAGTAGAAGTGAAAAGCATAGCCCTAATAAAAGCCATTTTAACAAATATTCCAGTACACATTCAAAGTTCTGGTCAACAGTCCAGATTAATATTAAATGCCACAAAGAATCCGGACAAGTCAGCAACAGTTCACCGTAATGGGATTTGACTAATAATAAATCCAAGTCGCAGTGGACTCCAGCAGTGGCGTTAAGAAAAGTCAGGACATTTCTCGGTAGAACAGCGTGTGGGAACTCCATCTGCAGCCCACAGCTTGCTCACCAGCTCCTTGAGGCTGATGGTGGCCCCAGACCAACCTGGCTTGAATAGAAAGCCCTTCAAGATCAGGCTGGGATCAGAACTGACTACTGGACTGCTCTGCTAATCTCTAAGTATTCCAGTGTCAAAGCTACCAACTTCCACCCCATCAGCATCAAAAAAAAAAAAAGACCTCCTCTCTTATCTCTATCCACATACTGGGCCCCACTGCATACTCACGGTCTCTTGGCCCCCATTCCACTGACCTGTCTAGTCTCTGAACTCTAAGCTGGGGCGGGGGGTGGGGGTGGGGGTGGAGAAGAACATGCCATCTGCTTATGCGCAAACCCCTGGGAGTGAAGTATTGACCTGCCATCTCAACCTGAAAGGCAGGCTTCCACCACCTCGGAGTGATCCCCGATGACAGCCGGCTGCCAAACTGGGCCTCCCAATGCCACCTGCCCGGAATCCCATCCCTGCATTCTCCATTATAAACTGGCATTAATTATTTTCTATCTAATAAATATTTGCTGTAGAACATTTGCCAAATACATAAAGGTATAAAGAAAAACATTTAAATGACACAAACATCAACCATTTAACTAGTCGTCTTCTGTTGGACATTAAAGTTGTTTTTTCTTTCTTACTATCAGAAATAAAACTGCTCTGAACAGCCTTGCACATAAATTCGTGATGTACATCGTTTCCTTAGAATAAGATCCTGAAAGAATTGCTGGGTCAAAGGGTGTGAACGCTTTTCATGTTTCTGATACACATGACCAAAGTGCCTTATGGGAGGCATTTCCAATTCGTATTTCCAGAGAGCTAATCTCCCCAACTACTACTCATACTGGTAATACTCTTCCCCTAAAACTTAGCCTGTTTAATATGAAAGTGTCCTATCTTTGTGGTTCAGATTATTAGTGAGGTAGGTCCTTCTTTTGCTTACGGCTACTGTAGTTTTTGCTTTGTTACCTGTACCTTTTTCAAAATCAGAATATTTCTGTTTTGAACTGCTTTGAAAGCTTTCTTCATATGTGTATATATTAACCATTTACAAGTCACAGTTGGAAGAGTTGCGAGAATTTTCAAGTTTTAATCTAGCTGTTTCTGGCCTTACACTGCGACTGTTTACAAACCTAGCACTCTTTGCTGCCCCCGAACCCCGAAATAGCCACAGCTGATTCACTGGGTCTCTATTTAGCTCCTGCTTTGTTGACCATGGGGACAAGCCAGGTCCACTCAAGGATCTGTCCACCTTTGTGTGGCAGATCTGTTCCCTGGTGACGCTCTTCTTCTCCTCCCGCCTTCTGCTGTGAATACACAGTAATTGGTCTGCTGATGACAAAACAGTGTTTTCCATATGTCAAGAGACTATCTTCAAGCACTTCCTGCTCCCTCAAACATCACTGGAAAGAAACTACGAGGCCAGGTTGAGATTGTCCCCGGCACAGGGGCCACAGCCCCGCTCTCAGACTGGGGCTATGGAGGATGGGACCCTGGTTCCGATGCTGAGCCCCATCCAGCTTCAGAAGACACAGCACAGGCTCCAGCCCATTCCCCTGTCTTTAGCGAAAGACAAGTTCAGGAATGAAAAGTGCTTAGTGCAGAGATTCTCATCTTTAATGGGCAGTACAAACATTTCACTAATTAGCAAGCCCACAGAAAATGGTCCTTTAATTCTCAAGTTCACTCCCTTGCCCTATTCTTTTTCCCCTATCTGTGCCAGCATGCTGTTAACGAGCTCATCTCTAAAACTGCATTTCAATTAGATTCCCAAAGTCATTGAGAAGGAGGGAGGAACTCACCCTGCTTTCATTAAAATGCTTTTCCTTCAAAGCTAGACTTTTCCAAAACAGAAGAACGTGGTCATTTTCTGTTATGATTTTTAAGGCATCAGGTGCAGATAATGAAACTGAAAATTAAAGATGAAACAGAATATAGTTAGTGGCTATATACTGAAATCACTGTTTTCTTGTCTGTCATAGAGAGATTAAATAAATGCTAACTTGAGGGGTGCCTGGGTGGCTCAGTAGGTTGAGCATCCAACTCTTGGTTTAGGCTCAGGTCATGATCTCAGGGTTGTGAGACTGAGCCCCGTGTCGGGCTCTGTGCTGAGCGTGGAGCCTGCTTGGGATTCTTTCTCTCCCTCCCGATAACCCTCTGCCCCTCCCCCCACCCCGCTCGCACTCTTGGTCTCTAAAAATAAAGAAAATATTAAAAAAAAGAAAAAATGTGTTAACTTGAAAGGCTGGGTTACGGAAGAAATAAAACACACGTGTTGCTTAGCATAGAGCCTAGCACATGGTAGACACTCTCGAATTGGCATCTCTTTTGTTGTTGTTATAATACCTTTAGCCAAGAAATTTGGGCAGTACCTCATTTAGTGGTCCTCAAAGCCACAGATGGCCAAAACCAAAATGGGTCGGGGAGAAAGGGAAGGGAAGGGAAGGGATGGACCACGGTTCCCTAGCCTTGCTGGACTTCTGCTCTGATTCCGGTCTGCTTTCCTGCTCTCCCTAGGGGCGCTCACATGGCTGGCCTGGTGGGGCTGAGCCTCCATCACGGACACTCTGACACTGTCTGCTGCTGCCCAAGTACCCAAGCTCATTACCTGTTTCTGAACCAGAGTCTGACTGCCAAGCCAACCGCGGGCTGGGAGCAAGGCCCCTTCAATCTACTGCGCAGTTACTGGTCTCCCTCCTTGGCTACACACCACCCTGCTTCGAGGAACCACGTGATTTCAGCCCAGGGTCCCATCCTTGGCTTTCGTGGCAAATGCTCAGTTTTATTTCCTAATTCTTTTGGGCATTCCTGCTCTTCTCCCCCAAAAGTGTCAAAACTAGCTAGGCAGCAGAGTGAAAAGAGACACAGCATAACCCCCAGTCCACCACCCTGCCCAGGCACTGGAAGCCCACCCCGCCAGGCCCACTGTGGATACTGAAAGGGGTGTTTGTATTTCCTGCTGTTAATGTCTAGGCATCCTAGCAGCCCTGCAGGCCCCTTGCTGTGTGGGAAGGACCCTAATCTCTCTCCCGTTTACCTGTGGTGATTTTTATACTGGAATCTTTGCTCATGTTCCCCAGTTGGACAACGATGTGGTATTTCCCTCCAGGTTCCAACTTGGTAAGGGTGTATTCCACAGTGCTGTTGCGGGATTTTATTTTGTAGCTTCTGTCACTCTTTCTTATTAGATCTTTGACAGCAATTGCATATAACTGGGACAAGAAAAAGAGACCTTAATGGTATCAGAAACTGGGTGCTTTTTCACTCTTTGCAATTCAATGGCAAACGACGTAACCTAAGTGTGTCAGGGGCTGTGACCCATAGCAACCACCTTCTGAGCCCCGCAGCCTGACTCTGTTCTCTGGAAAGCCGTTGGGGTGGCCAGGTCCAGACTTGGAACAAGCACTCACTCCCAGAACTGTGCACAGAATTATCGATTCGACCCAAAAAAATGAGCCTAGGGAAAGTCACATTTATTGTGGCATCCACAGAGAGGTTGGAACAGGCAAAAGTAATTCAAGTTCAGTGTTCAGTGTATCTCCCCAGCTGTAATAGTTCCAGGTAAGTGTCAGAGGACACAATGAAAGGACAACAAATCCTACTTATTGTCTCCCGGGTTGCTTTTTACATATGTGGAGGCCAGGGCAAACACAGGGACATGTGGTAAGTACAGGAAACTCAATCACCAGAAACAATTGGGAGAGTCAAGGAGAGCCTGAGCAACCGAGTAAAACCACCCACCCCTGGGATGAGGGAGAGGGCACAGAGGATGGAGAGAAAAGCAGCCTGGGCGAAAGGAAAATGGGAGCAGGTTTCCAGAGTTACTGCTGCTTTTTTATTTATTTATTTTTTAATTTTTTTAGAGAGGGGAGGAGAAGGCAGAAGGAGAAGCTCAAGCAGGCTCCACACCCAGCACAGAGCTCGATCTCATGACCCTGAGATCATGACCTGAGCCAAAATCAAGAGGCGGACACTTAATCCACTGAGCCACCCAGGTGCCCCTCGCCTCTTTTTTTAGAGCAAGAGCCAGTAAATGTTTCTGTAAAGGTTCAGACAGAAAATACTTTAGGTTTTGAAGGCCAAATGGTCTCTCCCACAACTATGCAATTCTGCCATTTGTAGTGTGAAAGCCATCACAGATAAGATGTAAATGACTGGGTAGAGCTTGGTTCTAATCAACTGTATTTATAGAAACAGGCAATGAGCTGCACTTGGCCAGCAGACCTTTGTCTGCCAACCCACTTTACAGGCTCAGGGAAGGGAAGGTGAGAAGGCAGAAAAGAACGAATAGAACAGCGGAAAAAATGGGGAAGGGACAACTCCGAAGAGGCACCTATAAGGACCCCATCTTTGGGCACACAGATATGGAAACGAGACCTCCCGCTGAGCTCCCACCGCCAGGCCTAGCTTTCCCATGACACCACCCCCTGCCCTGTCCCCAACCATGCCAAGAACAGGAATGGCTGGCTGGATACCCGGCCCTCTCACCAGGTCCTGGTCAGGAGAATCATATGGGGATTCCCACTTGATGACAGCTGAGGTTTTGCCGGTATGAACCGCATGCAGGTGACGAGGTGGGAGCCTGCTATCTGGGATCATCTTCACCACGACGTAGTCGGAGGATGGCCCTTGGTAGGGCACCACCACCCGGACCTGAAACCAATACCACGGGGACGCATGGAGTTGGCACGAAGCCGTTTTTTTTTTCAACAAAACAGTGACAGGTGCACACAATTAAAATTCAATCTGTACAAAAAAAGATACAAAATGTGAAATAATTCCCCATCTACCCCAGCTCTCTAATCCATCTTCCCAGGAACACAACGGTTTTCTGTGCTTCTTTCCAGAAATGTCCTGTGCTTATGTAAGCAGATACACGTGTGTATGCATACAGATACATACTTATACATATGTGTGCATACACGTAGCCTGTTTTTCTTAAGATTTTTATACAAATGAGAAAATTTTACACATTTTTAGGCTCTTCACTTCTTTCACTTAATAAGATAGCATAGTTTTTTTTTTCCACCTCAGTTCTATTTCTTTTGAAGGGTTGCCCTGTATTCTTAACCGGTCTTCTCTTGATAGCCACTGGTTTCAAATCTTCTGCTATCACAAGCAATAGTATACCACACACCTTTTTCCATCTATCTTTGCACACGTGTAAACATGTGGGCTAAGTTCCTAGTCTTGGAAGTGGAATCCGACAAAAACCATTTATCCATTCCTGCGAATGTTTATCCATTTGCCAAGTTCCCAATCCCCCACAGAGCTGCAGCTGATTACCAGGGCATTCAGTCCGTTCTTCAAGCAGGAATCTGATGCTTTTACAGAAGAGGAAGCACCCTCTTGTACACACATGGATCCTAGAGTCATGCCTCCAGCTCCCCAGGTCCAGGGTCTGAGCTAGGAGCCCAGGATTTAAGCCATCCTTAAAAAATAGAAACTCTTCTGGACTCCCCAGTGTGGGAAACTTACCAGAAACAAATACTGCTCATCCCTACTGACAATGACTGTTTTGTTGTGGAGGGAAGTAGTCAAGCTCTTCGGATTGCGATACAGGTCAAGGAAGGATGTAGCATAGAAAATACCATAAACCTGGCAAACAGAGAGGATGGAAAAGGACATCAGCTCCGTGGCCAGTGACCTCATTCTCTTGAAACCCCTAACTGACAGCCCTGTGAAGAGCTTCAGAAGAGTTCAAAAGAAAGAAGTCTTCCTTCAGCATTTTACAGAGAAGGTACACTGGGGCAGGCACCGGACCCACCACCACCAAGATAAACATGGTGTGCTCTCTGTCCTCAAAGCACTTTTTTTTAAAAAAAGATTTTACTTATTTCAGAAAGAGAGAAAGCGAGCGTGCGTGGGTGCGTGGGGGAGGGGCAGACGGAGAGGGAGAAGTAGATTCTCTGCTGAGCAGGGAGCCAGTGCAGGGCTCAATCCCAGGACCCTGAGATCATGGCCTGAGCTGAAGTCAGACACTTAACCTATTGAGCCATCCAGGTGCCCCTCAAAGCGCTCATTTTTGAGGAAGGAGGCACAGAAAAGAAAAACAGACACAATTATAAATGACGAGTTGCAAATACAGAGCATGAGACACTGTAGGAAAAGACTGCACGATGAGCCAGGGAGAAGAGCGGGGTTCTCAGAGAGCAGATGGCATGCTGAGAAACACGGCTGGAGGTACAGATGGGGAGGAAGCCAGTGCGTTTGTGGAGGGAGGTTGAAGAGGGACGGCAGCAGGGCAGGCATGGGGAGCTGCCCGGAAGACACCCACTCTTCCTCCCCTCCTTACTAGAACCCTGCTTCCTACTAAGAATTGCCTCCTGGAAGAAAATCTACACTTGCCACCTCCCTGAAAGCTAAGAGAGGCCACGTGACAAAGTTCTGGCCAATGAGCTGCAAGCTAGGAGAGACCACGTGACAAAGCTCTGGCCTATGAGCTGCAAACTAGGAGAGATCACGTGACAGAGTTCTGGCCAATGAGCTGCAGGAAGAGATGTCACGTGGGAGCTCAGTGGGCGCTGGGGCAAATGGAGGGAGAAGCCCTTCCTCCCGCCCTCCTGCTGCCTGGAACACCGATGATGGTGTGGCTTCAGAGTTCCTGGACCATGAGCTGACCCTGAAGATGGAGGCCACAGGCAGCCTGGGTTCCCAATCAAACCTGGTGCTGTAGAAACCCAGGCCTGCTGAAGGACTCCGCCTTCTTTTAATGAGGAGGGAAATAAACTGTTAAAGCCACTGTCACCTTCAGCTCTGTTCTATGCAGCCATTCTTAACCCCCACTGATACATGTGGAAAACCGGGAGTTTAAAGCAGGGCAGGGGGTTTTGATGGGCTTGGAGTGGGGGCTCACGGCTGTGGGGTTCATAAGCGGGGGGATAAGGACTAAGGAAGCTTTCTTTGTCAGGCAGCATGGAAGAGCCCACAGGCAGGTAAAGATGGGGACTTGAAGGAAAGCTGTGAAGAAAGTCTGGAGAAGGCATGGGAACGGAGGACACGGATCAGGGATGTGCACAGGGACTTCCGAGTCCCAGACAGCTGTGCATTTTCTCTAAGCTGCTCAGCAGCCAGGGCCGGAGAGGGAAGCATACAGGGAAGGGGAACGGAAGTCCCAAGGGGGTGATGAGAAGGGAGGAAGTGTGGAAAGAAGAATTAGGGGACTCGCGGGAGTCAGAAAGCAAAGCAAATGGAGCAGGAGTAGGGGACCGAGGGCACGGAAAGCACAAGACGGGAGCGGGGCCTCCGGGCTCAGAAGCAGGCCTGGCTTCCGGAGGACAGGCCTGCAGCTGCTGGGGAGTGGGCCGGGCGGCTCTGGCCAGGGGCCAGGAGAGGGCTCCATGCGCCAAGGAGGCCAGGGTGCAGGCAGGTCCGCAGAGATGGACAGCGGCTGCGGCTGTTCTCATGGTGGGGAGGGAGGACTGGGGGTAAGCAACCCGAGTCCACAGTGGACTGAAGTCGGGGAGAAGCTGGGAGCTTCCTAGAGGTGACGTTACCAGAGGGGAGGTGAAAATGTGCCAAGAACCTTGGGAAGATTTTCTCTACTTTGGGGAAATGTGGGAAATAAAAGCCAGATTCAAAAAAGCACATATCAGATCATAGTGCACCAAAATGCATACATAATAACCAAAAAAAAAAAAGGACTTACATAGTGGGGGGGGGGGATGGGCACGTCTGGGAGGAGCAGCCCAAGAAGGCAACCTGTGGGTGGGGGATCACATTGGTGGGGAGAGACAGAGTGACTTGTCACTGCTGCTAATGGGTCACCATGCCTATGAGACCAGGTGAATCCCAAGCATAGGAACACGCCCCCCTCGTCACATTCATGGTCTGTTCCACAGCAAAGACCACAGGCGTTTTCTCTCCGATGCCAGGCCATGGTGTGGACAGGGACAGCAGGTGCCTCTAGAAGGTAATACACAACTGACCAAGAGGATGGTTTGTGTTCGCAGTAGCAGAGGAGAAAGCCCCACGGCCTAGAATCAGGGGAGAGTCCAGACTGTCTCTGTAATGGTCATCCTGGCTGACTTACCACATTCCTGGGGCCAGTCCAGGTACATTCCACTGCAGTTTGATTGATGGCCTTGGCTTTGAGGCTAGGAGCAGGTGGACGGACTCCTTTGGTCGTGACATGCTCAAATGCCAGAGGACTATCTCCTAAATCAGTCTTGGCCCAGGCAGAAATCTCATAGGACGTATGAGCAGTCAGATTGGCAACTGTGAAAACAGGGACAAGAAGATGCCAGGAGGGAGCTGGAGGCGTCAGTCAAGAATTTGTGTCTTGACAAACCAGGAAACAGACTCACAACTACAGAGAACAAACTGACATTACCAGAGGGGAGATGGGTGGGGGGAGGGGTGAAATGGATGAAGGGGATTAAGAGCACACTTACTTTTTTTTTAAAGATTTTTTTATTTATTTGAGAGAAAGAGAGAGAGAGAGCAGATGAGAGGGGGAAGGGTCAGAGGGAGAAGCAGACTCCCTGCCGAGCAGGGAGCCCAATGCGGGACTCGATCCCGGGACTCCAGGATCATGACCTGAGCCGAAGGCAGTTGCTTAACCAACTGCGCCACCCAGGTGCCCAAGAGCACACTTATTTTGACGAGCACTGACTAATGTATAGAATCGTTGAATCACTAGAGGGTACATCTGAAACTAATATAACACTGTTAACTATACTAGAATTAAAAGTAAAAATTTAATAAAAAAAGGAATTATGTTTTGATATACAACGCCCTACTTTTTAAGCCCTTTTTTAAAAAAAAATCTCTATACCCAACGTGTGGCTTGAACTCATGACCCGAAATCAAGAGTTGCTTGCTCTTCCAACTGAGCCAGCCAGGTGCACTGACACCCTATTTTTTAATGCAATCTCTCAATTTAAGTGAGTCCCACATGTTGTAGGATTTTCATTATTTTACAAATTCATACCAGCATTACTTAGTGATGACTACTGCAAATAACACACGTACATGGGCACTGGGTTGTTTCTTAAAAAGCTGACCGTCTGGTGATAGAAATTGGGACAACACTCCTAGAGAGCCATTTGGCCTTGGGTAAACATCTTGAAATTCTTCATGCCCTTCGATCCATATCCCATGGAATCAGAGCATGCAAACATCTGTGGGACATGATGTTACACATCACATACATAATCCCACTGTCCAGAGACAGGGCAATGGTTAAATAATGTGCATTCCATGAACTACTGTGCAGCCACTAAGAGTTGTCTCCAAGAATATTTAATGAGACTAGAAAATTCTTACAATTTTATGTTAAGTGAAAAAGGCAGGATACAAAACTACAGTTTAGCCTTGAACAACACAGGTTTGAACTTATGTGGTTTACTTATACTCAAGTTTGTTTTTTTTTTTATAGTCCAGTGCTATAAATGTATTTTCTCTTCCTTATGATTTTCTTAAGAATATTTTTTTGGGGCACCTGGGTGGCACAGTCGGTTAAGCCTCTGACTCTTGGGTTTCAGCTCAGGTCATGGTCTCCAGATCGTGGGATCAAGCCCCACATCAGACTCTGCACTCAGCAGAGTTTGCTTAAGAATATCTCTCCCTCTCCCTCTCCCTCTGCCCCTTACCCCCCTCCCCTCAAAGATAGATAGATGATAGAGAGATAGATAATAAATAGATAGATAGATAGATAGATAGATAGATAGATAGATAGATAGACAGATGAATATTTTCTTTTCTCTGGATGACTTTATTGTAAGAACACAGTACAGAACATACAGCATACAAAATATGTGTTAATGGACTGTTATCAGTCAGACTTCTGGTCAACAGTAGCCCGTGAGTAGTTAAGTTTTTGGGGGAGTCAAAAGTTATATGCAGATTTTCTACTGGATCAGTGCCCTCTAACCCCCAATTGTTCAGGGTCAACTGTATTTAAAGTGACTCCATCTCCTTGTTTGTAAGACTAAAAAAAACAATAGCACTTAAGAGCAGCTGCTATTGCAGGGATTAAAAAAGAAAAAGCTTGTAAAGTGTCTGGCACGAAGCCTCGTATCAAGCTAGCCCTTAATATATTCCAGGCAACAGCTAGGAAGACTACATGGCTCCTGATTCGGCCAATTTCTGTTGGTGTGACCTTGAGACAATGAGATCACAGTCTTAGGAATTAGAAAGATGCGGGTTCCAATCCTGACACTGTCGCCTTCTGTGGGAATTACTTCATCTCTCAACGTTGGGTTCTCATCAGTGAAATGAGCATATCCTACAGAATTATGACTGGGGTTCTATAAAATGGTACACATAGAACACCTAGGTAAATGCCTATGCACAGCAGGTGCACAGATACAAGAGGGACTAGGACATTACCTTCCCTCGTCCCTTAGCTCAGCTTGTTTGTCCATTCACTCAACAAACGTGCACTGAATAGCAACTATGCCCCATGTCCTGTGTACCTTGTATTAGCAAAGGAGGAGTAAACCACGCCAGAAAGGAGGGGCAGGCATCTCACTCTCAGAACTTTTTTTTGGACCCCAAAAATAATTGGTATAGGGTTAATCTGGCTTCTTTCTAGTTTCTCCTCTTTTAAGCCCCCGACTTCCATTAAGGGCCAACGAGCTAGAGAAGGGGGCTGAGGAGCCACCAAGTGGACCCGCCCCCAGAGGCAGGAGTCATTCACAGTCTCTTTAATCTGCTCACCCAGAATAACAGCCAGAGAGGAGCCCCTCTCTGGCAGGCAGGCCCCACACAAGCTCTGCTACCAGGCAGGCCCCAGGCAGGCCCCACACAAGCTCTGCTACCAGGAGGTCTCGATCTCCCTACTCCTCCCTGCTCACACACCAACTAGCTCCAAGGTGTTACCTTTGTGTGACAAGATGCTCCCCCGGAAGTTCAAAGTTCTCTTCTCTTGCTTGTGGGTGTCAAATGCCCAGAAAAGGTTCACCACATAGCCATTCACCTGCCAGGAACCAAGAAACGTGTTAGGGGAACAGCACAAAGCCAGGAAGCATAGCAAACACAGAAGGCAGCCCTTTGCTCTTGTTCCTTTAGGCATCTCCTTTCTTAATGGACGGGTTGTTTCTTTTGATCTTTAGACAGGCTCCCTGTGTGCTATCATTGAATATTTAGTTATATGGCACCTACTTCTAAAAACAAACATGAGACTGTAATATACACTATAGATGTGATGAAACAAACAAAAAAACTGGGTGCAGAATAAAAGGACAAGGGCCAATTCATAAGGAACCCAACTTTAAAGAGAATTACATTATGGTAATGAAGGATACACCTTAGCTCAGGTGATCCTTGCAGTCAAGGCCAAGAGGTCAATACGAAAGGGGCTTGTTTAGCTCCCACTGTCTTAACAGGAGCAAATATACCCAGGCCTCAGGAAACATTACCTTTTCTAAGTCCTGAGCTCATAAAAGGATTTGATCTGAAGATCTTTAAATATGGGGCGACAACAAAAAAATCAAAATGCTTTCAAGAGCGAAGACTGTATAGATAGGGTTTAGGGAAAGGTCATCCCTTGCAGCAACAGTCTCTGAAGCCAAGGGCAGGCCACCAAATTGTGGTTCAGTAAGTGGCACGAGGGCTCTGAAGGCTGTTTGTTCCACCACAGCTTCAGACAGGGAGGTATGTGAGGAAAAACATATAAGAAAGAAAGAACGTTATGGAAGGTGAATCTCAACTTGGAAAACCAAAGGCACACAGAGGCTTATGGTGGAGCGGGCCCTGCAGACGGGCCACGTGGAAGGCATGTTGGCGCCAGAAGGGGAGGATGGGTAGTAGCTGTAAGTGGATATGTTTCTAAGGTATCTGACTCTCTCCCTCTCTCACTGTGGGAACTTCTGCCTTAGTGCTTTGCACCAGGAAATCCAATAAAGCTGAAAATTACAGGGCATACATATTCTGTTAACACCAACTCTTTATTTGCACTGTAGCTGTGAACCATTTAATTATATGGCTTTAAAAAAAAAAAAAAAAAAGGCACCAGGCTGAGGCAGAATAATTACACGAGAAGGACTCAAGTTGTTCTTCCTGGGGGAAGGAACCAACCTAGTCCTGGTATTTGGGTTTTACTGTATCGAGTCATTCACTCTTCTTCCTCGTACTGTGCCGGGCCACAGCGGTTCCATCACAAGGAGAGCCCCACCCAACTGCCAGTTTGAAATCCCAATGTTACCTTGATGTCACTCTCCATGGTCAGGGTGAAGCTCAGAGAATTCTCACTGTAGCTGTCGATGTGGATATCTGGTGGTGGGATCACTAAAAACAAAAAAAGGAATTCAAAAAGAGAAACCACGTGATGAAAAGTGAGGAAGGCAGGACTTCACAGCTTTCAACTCAACAGACAAAGCGATTTTTTAGTGCGGGAGGAAAGGGCAGGTCTTTGGCTGTTCTCACTCGTCTCTTTTACCGCCATTGTCCTGAAGCTGAGGGTGGATCACACAACTACCTTGGCTCCGTCAGCTATCCTGGCAACTGGGTCGAGCAGGAAAGTTCCATGATGTAAATGTCCCCAAACAGCCCAGCTGCAGCCTGCTTCTAAAAAGTGCCATCCCATCAAAATCAGACGAAAGAACTGTAAGAGACTTTCCAAGGCAGGTGTGATTTGTGCTCAGGGAATTCAAGGTACGTGTACGTGTCTTATTGCTGACCTTCCAGTGTCCCTTCTTTTCAGTATGTATGTTTTGATCGATTTTGTAAAGAGAAATGACAACCCCATCAAAACTCTAGGGGAGTGTGCACTCGGTACACTTTTTCTAATTACCGCCAAGCACCCTATTACAAAGACTGGCTGGCCTCCTGCCCTGATCTCCATGAGCCCAAATTTTACAGTGACTCTCCATAACCCACAGCCCACCTCTCAAAGGCTCAGGTTAAGGTAAAACCCCCCAACCACATTCCATGTTGACACTTCTGTCCAGAAACGAAAGCCACAGGTGCCAAGGCTACGTTCTGGAAACCATTGGGGAACAGGAGCCATAGTTGGTCTCCCCAAGTGTGCCAGAAGCCTTCCTTTTAATTGCTTTAATTCACTCCTTCATCAATGATTTCACCAGCTTCCTCCTTGACACCAGTGAGAGAGCGGAGGAAACCAGACGGGACCCCGGCCCTCGTGAGGCACACATGCAAGCAGGACAGTGCATGGGGGCAGGGATCTCAGCCCAGGGCAGGCAGGGCAGCCTGGCGGTTAAAGGTACAGGCTTTGGAGTCGGGAGGATCAGGCTCCTATCCCAGCTCTCTGCCGTTTACTGACTGTGCAGGAAATGACTTAACTGCTTTCTAGTTCCTTATCTGTTCTTATAGATACTGTTCGGAGGGTGCTAAGGGTTCAATGAGATGGGCTGATGTATGCAAAGCACTAGAAACTACCATCTTGGCATCGTTTGTCAGTGCCACTGGGGAAGTTACAAGTGTCAGCATGGCACTCTAACGAACACCATCAACGGACACATACAAAATCATCCGTATCTGCTGTGAGAAGGAATGAGTCCTTTTATTTTGGATATCGCGCGTGAGCACAAGAGCTGGGCATGACAGCCTCTGGAAATCCCCTTGTATGTCTGCACCATAAGAACTGTGCGGCTCTGGGGGGAGAAGTGCCTTCAGACAGCCCCCAGAGAAACTCCATATCTAAAGCACTACGGAAACCCCTGGAAATGCGTGCATGTTGGCAGGGCGAAGGAGGTCGTGTGAAGTTTTCTCATCTACGCTTCTCCGTCTCCTAGTCACGCTGAAAGTCATTTCCAAAGGGTTTCTATCCTCTCTCAATCTGCAAACGCTGGGATCATTTACCTTTTCCTTTGACGGTGGTAATGGATTTAGAATCGCTCCAGTTTCCTACTCCACGACTCGTCACTGCAGCCACCTTGTCAAATGAGAGCATGAATTAGTATAAAATAAAGGCAATGCGCCATACACTGAGGGTTCTGAAGGAGCTACGGGGCCAAGACTCTGGCAGTGAGGGTGGCAAACAGTCTATGCAGGGCGATCCCAGACACGCAGAGGCCCCAGCAAATGCAACAACAGAGGGGGAGGAGAAAACAGGAGGGATCTGGGCAAAGGGAGCTGTGACAGTGCAGGCATGATGGATTTCTGTTGATTGACAGGTCTCAGGTTCTTCTATAGGATGGGGGATGGGGGGTATGTGCACACGATGTTTATGACATAAACATACGTGTATATGAAAAAGGGGACCGAGAAAATCATCAGTGTCATGGAGTCTGGGTGCACAGTTAATGGTCCCAACAAACATTTCTGCACAAAATCGGTCTCTTTTCTGCTAAAGGTATTGATAGCATGTTGCCTAAGAGCCCTACGATAGCGGCTTCTAAATGCCACTTACCGTAGCTCTGCAACACTCTGCAGCTAAGGAGAAGCAGAAAAGTGGCAAGTGCAAGAGTAAAGGAGCTGGAACGCTAGCAGAAAATCCAGGTTAAAAGCAGGTAAAGCTGCATTACCATAAATTCTTGGTTATCTGAGGGAAATTTGATTTCAAGTTCTCTGTGGCACTGGTTTAAGAGACTGAAATGATGATGACCTCCCAGAGCAAGGGGTTAGGCTTTTAGCAGACTACTAGCAAGTATCTCATAAAGGTAAGCACGGAGTTCTTGTGTTCTGAGACTGCCCAGGTGGCTGAAATGGGGGCTGATACTCACTCTGACAGTATATGGAGCGTTGACCAGTAAATTCTTTATTTCAGTAAAGTTACTAGCAGTCCTCTGGGAGGCCCACATCTTGGAACCACTCCTGCTGTATTCCACCTAAAGTGAAAAGAAGAAATTATTAGTAAGGTAACCAATGGTCTGGGACATCCTGATACCTTACAAGGAGGCAGGAAGAGAGAGGGAGGTGAGATGCCAAGTGTTCTAATGGGTGGATCACTATTTACCCGGCTACACCAATCCAAGTCCTAGCCATTCAGAACACGTTTCTGCTCTGGCAGACCCAGAAATCTGTTCACGTAGACACACAACGCCCGCCACTCCTAGAAGTTACTTACAATGTACTCGCGAATGAGGCCATGGGTGTGGGTGGGAGGAATCCAGTGGGCCACAATCACACCTTCCTCTTCCCTGTGGAGTGACAGCTGCAGATTTTGAGGGGCGTCCGGCACTAGAAAAGAGTCAGCTCAGGGTTAAAACCCATCCGCATATTGGTAAAGGAGAGGAACTTTCCTGAGATTGAAACAAAGACTAGAAAGAATCCAGAGCCAGCATTGGGACCTATTCACCAATAAAGGCTGTAAGCTTGGTCTTCACATCGACAAACCCCTTCTCTCTTCCAGAACCCAAGGTGTGCAGTGCACACATCAGATCGCGGCTTAGTCCAGTGTGATGGACGTTTATGGCTCACAAGGGCTGCAGGATGGAATCACTTGCTGGCACTAGACCTTCAATGCTGCGATCTCAATTGCCAAGGACAACACCTCCTGCCTCGACTTCTCATCCAACCCCATGATCATGGGCATGACTACGAAGGAATGAGGAGACTTCCTTTCTAACAGCACAGAACTTCTATACCCAAATGAATGGGATCACCTTCAAAGCAAGGTCCTTAATGACTTTAGTGTCGAGACATTTCTAGATCTTCTCTTTTGTGACTGCCTTCAGAATGGGGTTAGAAGCCACACCCATGCCTGTACCCTGCCTGCACCCTGCCTGCACCCATGCCTGCACCCATGCCTGCACCCTGCCTGCACCCATGCCTACACCCTGCCTGCAGCCTGCCTGCACCCATGCCTGCAGCCTGCCTCCAGCCTGCCTGCACCCTGCCTGCACCTGTGCCCCAGGGTCACATGGGATGTGCTGTGTACTTCCTCGGGACCTATTTCAATTCTCCCTTGCGGGCTTTGGATGACCGTCTGACACCCCCGGGCTCTACTAAACAAGTGTTAACAAAATCATAACACACAGGTGTCAGTGAGTTTTGCTGTGCTTCACACCTCCGTGCTTTCTCCAGGCTCCCCCTGTAGGTATCCTGCCCTTGTGCTGGAAGCAACCAAGGAGTTTCAAGGAGCTTCAAGGAGCCCTGGTTCCCTTTTATGAAGAATGGCACAGAAGCCTCGATCTTAGTGATGGGTGTGCTCACTGCTATGGAAGTGTCATCTGTCTGGGCCTTCCCAGCTGACAGAGCAAGGAACTATCTATGTGATACCAGCCTGCCTGTGGACACGGATCTGTAACTATTTTATACGTAAGCATCTGCACGTACATCAAGACCGACCGGAGCTCATACAGAGGTCTCCAACCGTAACCCAAATGTAAGCATGGGCCCTCGCAAATGCAAAGTTCACAAGACCCTGGGGACAAAGATCACTGGAATAAGCATGGAGTCACCCGACGTCAGCTACCGTGAGAGGTGAGGAAGCAGGGAATTCTCTAGGACATGTGAGTTTCGGTAAATCTCTTGAAAACGGAGCCTTAGTACTCCTGATGTGCCTCATGTTTTAACAATGATGATCTCACAAATACTGAGTACTAGGAGATGGAAGGCAGAGACAGGAGCTAGAGAAGCAATGCAAAAGAGGCCATGTTGGGCACGATCTGAAGTTAACTTCCGAAGGTAGCAAAACCCCACATGACCTAATAAGGAGAATACGTGCTCAACAGCTCAGGCAGGACCATCAAGCTTCGCCACAAATCTTCTGTATACATGCGGCCCATGTCATTAGGTTCCCACACTCCTGAGTGTCCTTGGGAAACTCTCTGCAAATCCCACAGTCGGTCTTGGACACACCATAAACAGAAACTAGAATACTTACGTCCTTCTGGTGTCCGCAGGGTCACAAAGTCGTTGGTATTGTGCACTTTGCTGAGACACTGGACCTGCACTTTGACCTGATACGTGGTGTCTGGCTTCAAAACTTTTAATATGGTGTTGGTTTTATTGCTGTGGGTCTCCACGGTCTTCCAGATGCCCTCTCCGACCACCCTGGCCGGAAGAAGAAAGATATGGTCACATCAGAGCAGTGTGGGGTCGCAGAGGACGCTGGGCTCAGCTAATGAAGAGCCGCTCTGTGCACACCACAAGAGTTTGCAGAACATCCAGTGCTGGTAAGAACACTGTTTTCTTTTCTCATGGCAAAGATGGGACCCACCTGTAGTAGACGTTATAGACACAACCAGCAGGGGGCATTTTCTTGGGCCGTGTCCAGGTCAACGTTACGTCCCCAGAGAAGTCGGCCGTCCACTGAAGATTCTGTACTTTGTATACAGTTAGTTCATCTACAGACATGAAGGGGGAAAGGGAAAGAAAGTGGTATCTCACAAATCCTTGCATTTCAAAGGACCCAAGAGGTCCCTGATGTTTAGGCAGACCTACCAGGATCTAGATTGTCAGGCCATGGTCAGCCTCTTAAGACATCACAGAAAAAAAAGAGTTCAAGCCTTCCTATACGACCTTGCCCAGGGTCTCCTAAATTTCCAGTCACGGTATTTTCCTTGCATTTTGCCTCCTTGTCTACACGGAGGTAAGCCTGTTTCTCAAGAGAGGACTCTACAGGTCCAGGGACAATGTCATAGCAGCATCCATTACTGCGACAGACCGAATGTGCGTGTCCCTCCAAATTCATATGCTGAAACCCAATCCCCAACGTGATGGGATCAGGAAGCAAGGCCGTTGGGAGGTGATCAGGTCCTAAGGATGGAGTCCTCAGGAGTGAGATGAGTGTCCTCATAAAAGCAACCCCAGAGAGCTCCCTCACCCCTTCCGCCATGTGAGGACACAGGGAAGACGGCCATCTATGAACCAGGAAGCAAGCCCTCACCAGACGTGGAACCTGCCGGTGCTCTGACCCGGGCTTCCAGCCTCCAGAACCGAGAGAAGAGCTTTGCGTAGTGGCAGTATCGTAGCCAATGAGGTTTATCTGAGGCGCGATTATTGCTAATTGAAAACTTTTCCCAGAATTGAGAGAAGTAAGTTTCTGTTGTTTAGAAGCCCTTCAGTCCGTGATGTTCTGTTAATGGCAGCCCCAAAAGACTAGGACAATTACTAGAGGCGCTCCAGACGGAAGGACTGTGTCCACCCCGCCACGAAGCCTGAGGCTCTGCGAGCATAGTGCCCCTGGGCAGTGGCAGGACAAGCCTCCCTTCACCGGGTGCTCCAAAACCGGACAAAAAGCGGTTTCCCCTTCAGGCTGAGGAAAGGCTCACAAGGTCCCCGGCAGAGTGCCCACAGGGGATGGAGGCGGAGCCCAAGGCCCGAGCGCTGGCACTCACCACTGCAGGCCCTCTCATCGCTCTCGTCCGAGCAGTCCAGGAAGCCATCACAGCGCTCCGAGAGCACGATGCACGCCTCACCGTCCTCACACTTGAACTCCCTGCTCGTACAGGTCAAGGTGCCGTGTGTGGCTGCAATACAGGGGAGGGCACGTTGTGGTGACAGCAGATCGTGTTTAGGAAAAGTGGTCTGCACTAATCGGCTTCGGATGCGAAACACGTCTCTGGAACGAGGGGTAGTAATCCCCACGGTGGCACTGGGACGCCTCCTTATCTGACATGAACAACAGGAATCTGCCTCCAGGAAGACAAGAGCTTTGGGGTCAAATGATCTAGAGTGGGTGCAATAATTGACAGGCTCCACGGTGATTCACCGGAATTGGCCAGGGCTCAAAACTTCGGTACTAGAATGAGAACAAGGAATCTTGTTTTCTCTCTGAGACACTGCATCTGCTTCCGAAAACCACACTTTGAGATGCAGGTAGAAAAACTGGATAATGTTCTTGTGAGAGAACCAGTATGGCCAACAGGAATGGATAATGGATCCAGAATTACGCTCCTAGAGGCAAAAAGATACAGGGGGTCGGGGTGGGTTGAAAAGCTTTAACAACTATCCTCAACTGGCGAGTGCTCACGTGAATGACGAGTTAAGACTGTGCATGTCGCTAGTGTGGAGGTACAGACTTCAATTAAATATACTTCTAAAAAGAGCTCTCTATTATAGTAATTGTCATTGAAAGAAAGGAAATGTGGGGCTTTTTACAAACTATAATCCCCCATCTCCTGGAAAATCATTGTATTATAGAGCTCTGTGACATGCTGAGCTGAAACTGGTTTGCCTTGGGGAGGTTGGGGGCGGGGGGCTTGGTTACAAATAAAACTGCACTAGAGGATTTAGAAAACATTGGAGACCCACTAGTATAAGAAACCCAAGATGGAATTCATCCTTCCATCTATCCATCCACCTACCCACCCATTCACCCACTTACCCGTCCAATTCAACCAGCCACCCAGTATCCACCCACCCACCCACCCATCTAGACACCCATCCATCCATCTGCCCCTTCATTTATCCATCTACCCATCCATTCATCCACTCATCCACCCATCCATCTACCCCTCCATTTATCCATCTACCCATCCATCCATCTATCCATCCACCCATCTTCCCAACCATCTACCCAACCAGTGAATACTCATGGAAGGCCTACCATGAATCAGGTACTGTTCAAGATGCTAAGAATACGGTGATGTGTACAACAAAGGACCTAACCTCACAGAGCTTACTTTCTATTGAGAGAAACAGCAAAAAAGTAAGCAAATCACTCTGTGGTTTTAGATAGTGATTAAAAACTACAAAGAAACATGAAAGGAGAAACAGCAACAGAATGATCGACAGGGGTCATTTCATGCAGAAGAGTCTAGGAGAAACTCTATGAAGGGCATTGTTTTAGAAAATACCAAGATCCCCCTTCCAGAATTATTCCACCTGGTAAAATATATCCAAACAACAGGTGAGTCATAAAGCTGGTGGGTGTTTGAGGTTTCTTTATGAAACATGTCTCAGCGTTTTTTAAAGTGGGAAAACATAGGTTTTAGAAATAGAGAATACAGGGGGTGCCTGGGTGGCTCAGTCGTTAAGCATCTGCTTTCAGCTCAGGTCGTAATCCCAGGGTCCTGGGATAGAGTCCCACATCGGGCTCCCTGCTCGGCAGGAAGCCTGCTTCTCCCTCTCCCACTCCCCCTGCCTTATGTTCCTGCTCTCGCTCTCTCTCTGTCAAATAAATAAAATCTTTAAAAAAAAAAAGAAATAGAGAATATGGTTGTTATTAATCTCTGAAAATCCTTAAGCTGATAATTAAACAGATGATTAATTGGCACTTGGAAGAGAATGTGGCGGCCTTCAGGGGCCAGTTTCTCCAAGAAGAATCTTGTCATGTTAATCTCATTTCCTTTTTTGATAGGGCTCTCAGATTAATGGATTGAGGAAGACTGGAAATAGAGCACATCTTGATTTTAAGACCCTTAACCAGGCAACATCCTGATGAATAAGGCTGATTTGGAACAGGTAAAAGAAACTTAAAGAATGCCAATTAACGAATTAATCTCACCCCGGAGGAAGGTCCTATTTCATTTCCTCTGTTAATTATTTTCAATGTTCATCTTACCGTGCAGTTACTTATTTGCCTGAAATGTTCCTATTATGATTTTGGAAAGTATGGGATCAATCTGCCCTGTTATCTTGATGTCCCAAAGATCCATTTGAATTTTACCCTACTCCCTTGTTTCCCTCTGTTATTTCAGAGTATTCCACTATAAGAACTTTGAATGTGGCATGATGAAAAGGTCACAACCTCGTGCAAAAAAAAAAACAAAACAAAAACAAAACAAACAAACAAACAAAAAAACAACTAAATAAATATCCCAGTCTGGTACTGACAAGGTGATCTCTGAAGCTGATTCTCCTATCTCTTAAATGGAGATAATCCCAAAATCGCAAGGTTATCATGAGAAACGAAGCAGGAGTGATGAGGTCTCCTGCTCTCCCGAAATCCTCCCAAGCGGTGAATTCCTCCAAGACTACTCACGACAGTTGGCCTCATCCTGGCCATCCTGGCAATCTTGGTGGCCGTCACAGCGCTTCCAGTTGGGGATACACTTCTTTGGCTGGTGACACTCGAATTCAAATCGGTCACAGCGCCCATGGTGAGTGGGAACGGAGGCAGCCGTGACATTCGCTAGAAGAAAAAGTTTTGAAAATTCACTTTTTGAGTACTGAGGGAGCTGGTCAGCAAGAGCAACCAACTCAACCTGGTAGGAAATTCGGGAAATTATGGTGCTTTCGGAATGACGATGGGGGCCTGGAGACAAATATAAGTTCTGGATAGGGAAGGCAGATCAACAGGACACAGCCATCTAATTTTGGAAGCTGGAATGCAGACAGCGGTAAGTGACTCAAGGGACCGGAGGAGGCTGTACCCCATCCTAAGCCGTCACGGCAGAAAGCAAAGAACCCACAAGATCAACATCACAGAATCTTCAAAAAGCTGAAAAATGGTATCTGTGAACAGAGAAGAGGAGTAAAGACAGTAAGGGAACAAACCGAAGAATGTTTGAGCAGCAGCAAGATTCCCTACGTGCCCTGCCCCTACCAGCCCCATGCGACCATCACCCTGGACGTCACCGCCCCAGAAGCCTGGAGGATTGTTACGTGGAGGGTAAAAAGGGCTGGTTAGAAGGGCCTAGTGAAGAGCAAGAATGCCATACTGCAGAGAGGGGGTTAAACCCTCCGATTGCTGAATGCGAGGACCCTGGTCCCCGTCCCTCATAAGCCCTGGCAGGAACACCTGTATTCCCTAGGCAGGAGGTTGTAAAATTCTCCTCAAGGGAAATCGACCCGCCTCGGAAACAAATCCTCCAGCAACCCAGATCAAAAGTTCCCCACCAAACAGCCCCACCATGAAACTCAAAGCTGACAAGCTTACCTGTGTGCAGAATCGCTTGCATTTTTGTCCCCATCCTTAAACACAAGTAAGCAACCCAGGATTATTTGGGGGAAAACCTTTGACATGAAAGACAGAAGCGAGTACAGACCCCTTCCCTGCAAAAAAAGAACATTTGGAAGAAAGAGAGACTCTGTAAGAATAAAACCTCGAATATAAATATCCTCAATATGCTCAGAACAAAAGAATATCTATTTCTGCATGAAAAAAGAACAGGATGCCATGCAAAAGGAAGAGTATGAGAAATTTCAAAGGTAACTGTAATGGAAAACTCAGAAGCAGAGCTGGAAGACAGAGCTGGATCTTCCAGAAAATAGAAAGGGGAAAAAGGGGGGGGGATCAATTAAAAAATAGAAAGGTGACAGGACCACATCAGTAGATCTAATGTATGAATGACAGGAGTTTCCAGGAGGAAAGAGAAAACAGAAAAGATTAATGGAATAATTCAAGAAAAATTCCCCAAACTCAAATATGTAAGTTTCCAGAATGAAAGAGGCTATCAGTGTCCATCCACCACACTGGATGGAAAGGGACCCACATCAAAGCACATCGTTGTGAAATTTCAAAACACTGGAGCCAAAAGGGTATACCCTACACGCGTCCAGAGGGTAAAAACACGTGACATGCGCAAGATCACAATCAAAATGGCTTTGGATTTCCCAGGAGCTGCTCAGTGACAGGAGCAATACCTTCAAAATTCTGAAGAATTACTGACAACAAAGAATTCCAAACCCAGACGAACAACTATCACTCACATGTGAAGACAGAAAAAAAACACTTTCAGAGAAGCAAGACCTCAATGATGCCTCCCACGTTCTGTTTCCCAGGGAACCTTCTGGAAAATGTGCTCTACCAAAAAAAATGGGATTAAACTTAAAAAAAAAGAGAGAGAGATAAAAGAGAGAGAGAGGGAAATGAAGAATGAGGGAGAGAAATCTGGGATATAGAAAACAGGATCTCTAAAATAAGAGAAGTCAAACAAGTCCTTAGAATGGAGAAGCCACATCCCACGAGACACGTGTGGCCCAGGCATAGAGAGTGACAGGCACAAACCCCAAGCAGCAAACTCAGAAGACAAACACGTTGAAGGCTGTCTTCTCTGTGTCCTTGGCCTCTGCACCACCTTGTCACTGGACAAAACTACTGGAGGGTGCACTTCAACAACACAAGGGAGCAAACCAAGAAAAGCAAGACACAAGACCCAGGAAACAGAGACTCTAAACCAGGAGAAAGGCAAAAGGAGTCCCAAGGAGGGCAGTGAAGGCCCAGGGGAGGGGCGTGCAGCAGGCCCGGACAGCACTGGGCCCACAGAGGAGGATCCAGGCTGGTAGAAGGGATACCCTCAAAAGAAACTCTGGGGCTGAGAAATCACTGATACGGTGACATTGCAGAAAGTGACCCCTAAAGGCAACTGAGAAGGAGAAAGCATTAGCAGACGGCACCGATAACCTGAGCTAATAAATGAAACAACAAGAACCAATTACTAATTTGGGGATATTGTGCACATTCCATGGTTTTAACTGGATTTTCAAAGGGGCCTCTCTTACACCTAGAACCCCTCTGCTAAAACACGGTGCACGGGGAAAAACAGTAAAAAATGAGGCTAGAAAGCCAAGCTAAGGCACATCACAACACTAATGCGTGGACAGTAAGGGGGCCACCAGAAGGTTCCAGACCGGGGAAGGCATGATCATGCATCCATATGCAGCCTCTCCGAAGGTAAACTGTGAAGGGGAGAGACACAAGGCCCAGAGACCAGTTAGGAGACTTGCAGTGCAAAAACCAGATCTGAGAGTGGGAGAAGACCCAATTAAATTTGCCCTGATGACATACATATGAAAGAAATCACAGAAGCTGAAGGAAAGATGGAAATAGGAATCTGCTCCCTGCATTAAGCAGAATTTGCTAGAGCCTGTTAACACCTGCTCAGAGGTTTCAGTAACCAAAAGACAATTTTGAGAGGAGAATCGAATCATTAAACAGACAGGTGGGTCCTGGGGGCCAAGGACAGAGATAACAAATAATTTTACAATTTGTTTTAATTTGAGAAGCATTTATAGGATGCTATCTGCCTATTATTGGAATAAACACGGGGGCGTTCAAAGTAGTACGTGGCACAATCCCAAAGCATGAGGTCCGTATAATCACTTGGGAAAGAAAGATGCCCATGCATGAGATGACCAGGAAGCAGTGCATGGCAGATCGTAGCGAAGAATCAAAAGGACAACAGGAAAGTAGGAGACTGGAAAAAAGATGCGTGCCGATTACAGGACTCAGTGAACGCTCCGTGGTGGTGGGCTTGCGAGGGAAGGTAACAGTGCACTCGCTTCAAGCAGGAATCTCAAACTTCAGTGAACCCAGCAGTCACGTGGGGAGCTCCTGAGCTCCATGCAGAAATCCTAATTCTGCAGTTCTTACAAATGCCCCCAAGTGATTCCGTTACAGGTGGTCTCTGTTCCGTACGTTGATAAACTCTGGTGACATATCAAGGTCTCTTTTAGCTACAAAAACCATGCTTCTGTCTGCTGCGATGGACAGTGGGTTTCGCAGAGGGGTAAGTGCGAGGGAAAGGTCGAGGAGGACAGGGGTCTCTGGTAAGGCAGAAACTGCTGAAGGAATATCAACAGAGAAGCAGCAGGTCTGTTCAGAGAGGATGAGGAACCCGGCTTGGCAGACATGCAAAGTAATGGCAGGTAAGGAAGGACCTTGAAAACAGGACTCAGGGGTTGGGATCTATGCTCTGGACAAGAGAAACCCACTGATGCTTTCAAACAGTGAAGCACTGGGACGATTTACTTTTAAAGGAGGAAAATGCTGATCTAGAAGTTTGCTAGGAAAAGGATTTGCAAAGCATAGAAAACAACTGTCTATGCTCTTACTGTAACCGAGTTTGAAATAGAATCCCGCTCAGGAAAGGACACAGCACCCTTACCTCTGTACTGCCTACAGTTAAGGGTCTCAGGGTTGACTCCCACCTCCCGCAACACGGTTACTGCCCACGCCTTCAGATGCCTCTCTGGGACTGGCCACTAGATGGCAGTGCTTACCCTCCTTTAGCAGGATGGCCGCCAACTAGCCAGCACCCTGTGAGTTTAACACACAGGCAAACACTGCCCCTGTAATTGCCATTGTAATTTCCTGTGGAGAAGGAAGCAAAGGGGGCCCAACCGCAGCCAAAGCCGGGCGGCTGGCCTTTTCGTGCAAGAAGATGAGAAGGCGGTTAGAGGAGAGGAGACCCTCCAGCTCTTGAGTGCTCTGGAGGTGAGAAGCAGCCCGGGCCACAGAGCACAGGGTCCCAGAAAGCAGGGGGCACTGAGCCGGGCCATTCTGGGCGTACCCCCGAGAAGGTCCGTTCCACAAAGGCAGGTGCCACAGGAGCGGGCAGGGCCAGCACTCACCAGGCGAGGGGCAGGCTTCTTCATCCGAGCCATCTGCACAATCCCGGTACCCGTCGCACACCCAGCCGTCCATCACGCACGCCCCACTGCTGCAGCGGTAGAAATTGGGCAGACACGTAGAGGGCCCGGGCGTAGGGGATGGAAGGATATGTGAATCTGAGCAAAACATAAGCAAGCAAGAACACCCAAAGTGTTACAAGACGCTTGATCCCAGACCAAAATGTGTCCCCAAACTTAGCGTGGACGTCCCCGTTTGAGCCGCCCCAGCCCAGGGAGGCCAGCATCAGGCACGGTTCTGACAGCAGCTCATCTAAAAATCATTTATAACGGGGTATCGGAATAGACCGCAACCTCTTCCCTTTTCTGGAGCAGACACACCTAACCCCTTTTATCTGATTTGGCTTAATATTTGAATGAGTTTGCTTTTGCAGGGGCTCAACAGGGGCTCGATGCTTCTGCAGGCTGATGGAAGGAAGGTGACTCAGAACGCAAGGGCGGATGGAGAACTCCCACTTAGTCGACACACTGTGCTGGTTACAACTCCACTGCAGCTGCCCTGAGACCCAGTTGAGAGAGGAGAACCCCAAAAAGGAAAGCAATGAGCATGCGTCCCACACCAGTGCTCCTCGGACACAACACAGCACCTGTATCACCTAGAGATCTTGTTACAATGCAGAGTCTGACTCAGAAGGGAGGCCTGGGGTGGGGGTTGGAGACCCTGCATTTCTCACAAGCTCCAAGCAGACGTGGACACTGCTGGTCCGCAGGCCACGCCTGGAGTTGCCAGGCTCCAGAGCGCTCACTGTGGCCTGCAAAATATGGCCCTCGAAACAGGACAAACCAACCATGCTGCTTTTAAAGTGGGCGGGGGTAGAAAAGAACTCAGAGAGTTGCGCCCCAAAAATCACTGAATAAGCCCAGCAGCAAGGAAACCAACTCCGATTCTGTGCGGAAAGGGGGCCGGGTGTGTCCTGGTGACGGGCTGACCCAGGACCCTCACCTCCACAGTCCCTCTCATCAGACCAGTCGCCACAGTCGTTCTCCCGGTCACATTTCCACCTGTTGGGGATGCAGTGGCCGTTCTCACACTGGAACTGGAAGTAGCGGGAGCAGTTCGGGGCTTCAGTGGGGTTTTCTGGGGAGATGAACCACACCGCAGTCAGTCGCCCTGCACCAGTGTGAACGTACACACCAACCAGACAGACACAGCCTCCTCAAGGCCCAAGTCCCCAGGCAGCCTGCAGAGTCCTACCAGATACAGGTAAGGCAGCTTCTTGGACCCAAACCCCATCTTCCTGGATCCCAACCCATGCTTCTCTGAGCCACGTTTCTGGATCTTACAAATAATACCAAAATTTTCATTTTGACGCTTTACCAAAGGAATGATATAATTACTGACTCTGACCCAACAGTAACAACGACTCTTATAAAGTTGTGGAATCTGTAACCTTTAGGAGAGGAGAGGGAAGCACTCTCCAAAAGATTTACCGTAATTCCTCTACTGTATTTCTTAGAGATCATGCAAACTTCCTGACTGGGCAAAGAAAAGGAACCGGAACAAACATCCCCCAACACCGACTGAGGGCAGGCTGCCACTTCAAGACTCAATTCTTTACACAGAGATTCGAGAGCTGGCAGGAACCAGCGCTGAGGAAGGAGAAGGCGGAGCCTGCATGGGAGTGGGCTGAGAATGGCCTCCTTAACCACAGGCAGCACTGTGACCCGGAGGTTAGGGACGAGAGGATGAAGGTCCAAGCTCTTACCACAGTTGGCTTCATCCGAGTAGTCACCGCAATCATCCATGCCGTCGCATTTCCAGATCAAGCTGATGCACACTCCGTTCTGGCACTGGAAACTGAACTCATCACAAACCTTGTGGAATTCGGGGTCTTGGGCTAGATAAGGAACAAGCATCCATGAATTCCAGGTTACTGCCATACAGAAAAGCTCAAAGTGGGACGCTGCTTGGAAACGAAAAGAAAGAGCAAACTGTCCTCCACCAAGAGATAGACCAGCTACCAGGCTCCTTGATGGCAAAAGCCAATTGAAGGCCTAACCCCCAGTAGCTCAGAAGGTGACTATATTTGGAAACACGGTCTTTAAAGAGGTGATTAAGTGACAATGAGGTCATTAGGGTGGACCCTCATCTAATAGGACTGGAAAGAAAAGGAAAGCAAGGCACAGACAGGCACAGAGGGGACACTGAAAGAAGGCAGCCATCAGCAAGTCAAGGATGGGGGCTGCAGAAGAACCAACTCTTGACCCGACATCTTGACCTCAAGCTTGTGGTCTCCAGAACTTAAAATGAATTTTGCCGTTTTAGCCACCCAGGCTGCGGTCTCTAGTAATGGCGGCCAAGCAGACTAGCACGAGTCGCTACCACAGGCAGGGCCCAGTTTTAGGGGCGGGGCTAGGGCAGTGCACGAGACAAAGGCCCTGCGCTCGTGAAGCCCACATTCCAGCTAGGAGAGACAGGCAGTCCAATAAACGCATCGCGTGCAAAGCGGTGACTCGCGCTGGGATGACCCCTGGCGCCAGGCAAGAGCTACAGAGGGACGGGTGCGCGGGAAAGGCCGGTCGGAGAAGGGGCTCTCTGGGCCAAGACCCCGGTCCTCCCACACCTTCCGCTGATACGGACAGCAACCACCAAAGAGCAGTACTTCTGAAGGAACAAAGGTCAGTCTTTCTCAGAAAGGGCCACACTGGACCCTCAAGCAAGACCCGTGAACCAGAGCGGCCCAGCCCTTTGCAGTGTCTCCAGGGCCTCGCCCCCGAACCCCCGCACCGCCCCCCCCCACTCACAGCATCCTGCGAACTCTGCGTCCTCATCAGAACCGTCGCGGCACTGGACGATTCCGTCGCACACCATGGAGTGGAACAGGCACTGCTGGCGGTTCTTGCACACGAAGTCCATGAAGCGTGTGCACAAAGGCTCTGAAAGGGGTCCGGGACGGGGAGAAGGCCATGAGCGCCCAGGACTGGGAGGGGGAGGGCTGGTACAGATGTGCCCTCAGGAGACAGCAGGAAGACCCACTTATTGGGCACTTGCTGTGTGCCCAGCCCTGCGCTACAGCAACTGACCCTCGAGACAAGGTCATGAGAGATTTTACTGCCCAGTTACCACAGGAGAACAGAGGGGATGGCAGCATTGAGTATTTTGCCAAGAGTACCCAGCGAATGAGGGGGGAGCCAGCCAAAACAGACATCCAGACCTGAGTGTCTGCCGTCCAAGCTCACGACCTTAATCACTAGGCACAGAATCCTGGCTCTCTACTACTTTTTCTATAAAGGACCAGAGTTACGGACTGAATCGTATCCCTAAAAATTCGTATGTTAAGGCCCTAACCCCCAGGGTAACTGTATTTGCAGACAGGGCCTTTAAAGAGGTAATGAAGGTTAAATGAGGTCATCCAGGGGAGGGGGGTCCCTGATCCAACAGGGACCGGGTCCTTCGAAGAGGAGACACCGGGGATGTGGGCACAGACAAAAGGCCACCCAGGATGCAGCCAGAAGATGATGGCCTTTGGACTCAAACTACGACATCAGCCTGTCACCTGGGTCTCCAGCCTGCCAGCCTACCCTGCAGATTTGGACTTGCCAGCCCTCATCACCGCATGAACGGATTCCCAAAAATAAATCTCTCTCCAGAGATTCACACATGCTATGGGTTCTGTTTCTCTAGAGAATGGTGGCTGACACAACCAGAGAGCGAATTCTCCAGGGTGTGCGAGTCCTACAGTCTCTATCACGACTACTCCACGCTGCCGTTCTTGCATGGAAGCGGCCCCAGACAACACATAAACAAGACATGACCATGTTTAAAGAAAATTTCATTCCATAGAACGGCTTACGTCTGGGCTGGCTTTCCCCCGCAGTCCAGCCTGCCAACCCCTGCACCGCGACATCGGTTCTCAAGCTGGGCTGTCCATCACAATCACCTGCGGCACTTTTTAAAAAAAATCCCAATGCCCGGGCCACGCTCCAGATGAATTACATCAGAATCCGGGGGGAGGGGGGTGGACCCAAGCACAGTATACTCACAGATGAGCACCACTGACCCAAGACAACCTCTGTGAGTCTAAAGGAAACTGGGATAAAAGAGTCACCTGGCCGAAAATGTTACCTAAGCAACACTAATAAAACCAATAAAGTAGGATAAGTAAGTGTTCAATTCAAAACAGTAGGTCGACTCCTGGAACATACTGCAATTAAACAACAGCGTTCACCGAGCTACAACCCATTCTGCCATCACCCCACTGCTAACCCCCTCCCTGGCTCCTCTTCACCCAAACCACTATGCCTTGCCACCGTCAGCCTCCCAGAGTCCTGCATCAACTCGGGTTAAAAGCGAACCACCAGCACGTACTGAGGAAATGCAACAATTTAGTCCACTATATGCGCTTCCCCAGGGCAGGGAGAGGACTCACCGCAGTGCTGTTCGTCCGCGCCATCCGAGCAATCCCGCAGACCATCACAGTGCTTGCTGGATGGGATGCACGTGCCATTCGGACAACGGAATCCGTTGCACTTCTTCTCTGAAATGCAATTCGACAACGGAAGGAAATGACGGAGAGGAAACAGGCAGGCATTCACATGCGTCGTTGCGCAGGTGGAAAGCTGCACCACCCCTAGGGAAGGTGGGTGATTGGTAACCACGGCCATGGTTACCGACGCGTGCACACTGTGCCCGGCAATGCCATTGTAAAAATGTAACCTACCCACCCAAGTGTAAAATAGTGTAAGTATGAGGTTATTCGTTGTAAGGCTCTTTGTAACGCACGGAAAACCGTCTGCGTGTCCATTAATAGGGGACTCTGCAATGCCTTATTGTGCACAGGACCACGAGACTGTCATAAAGACACTGAGGAAGCACTCTGTAAAAATGTGTCATTGGATACACAGCTGTACAAAAAAAACAAGGTACAAAACAACATGCATAGCACACTATTTGTATAAAAGAGAACAAGAATACACAGTACATTTAAATTTGCACATATGCACAAAAAATATCCAAAAGGGTATACAACCATAATTTCCTATGTGGACAGGGTTGGAATTTGGCAGATGGGGAGAAAAATGTTTATAGTACACCTCTTGATACTTTTTCCATTTTGAACCATGAAAACATGTTACCTACTCAAGAGTACATATTTTTAAGAAAAGCTTCAGTGAATTTAAAAAAAAAGGGGGGACATGAATTCTGATTATAAATCCTGGTCTTTGAAAGCTCTCATAAATCACCATCTTAATTCTTCAGGAATTCTAAACCAAAGCCCTTTTGGAGAAAGTCCATCCTAGAAATGTTAAGAATCTTAGGTTTTGCACTTAGTAGAGAATTCTTAGCATGAGGTAACCCTTTCTCCTGAACACAGAGCTACTGCCCAACGTTAGGCTTAAAAGTAAATTCTAGCAGGTCAGTCGTGGCCACTGCAAACCCAACTCTTAGGAGAACGGTTCCAGGAGGGTCAGGTGTAAGGCAAGAAAATGTGTTTTAATCCCATAAAAGGTCATCATGGAATAGGAAATTATTCAAAGGACATCAAACAGAAATAGGAAGTGAGTACCATGAGTTGGGGAAATATTTAATGTCACTAAGTATAAAAGCTTTTTTAAAAAAAGTATAAAATTAAAATTACACGAAGGGTTCTAGAGGGGAGGGGGGTGGGGGGATGGGTTAGCCTGGTGATGGGTATTAAAGAGGGCACATTCTGCGTGGAGCACTGGGTGTTATGCACAAACAATGAATCATGGAACACTGCATCAAAAACTAATGATGTAATGTATGGTGGTTAACATAACAATAAAAAAAATTATTAAAAAAAAATTACACGAGACAAACTCCCATTCATTAAATCAGTGAAAACAGCTAAAATGTAAGATCAAGGGAGACTTAGGGAAACAGACACTACACTACTGACAGAGATGCTTTGGGTATCATCACTTGGAAACTCAATATGGAGACACTTAATGAGAATCACTGAAGTCCATCAGAACCTTTGACCCAGCAATGCCATACTGAGGAACATATCCTAGGAAGTATCTTCAAGAAAAAATAAGCCTTCATTTCCAAAGAAATAGATAATTTTACTATGCATAATAGTGTAAAACTAAAAACACTCAAATGCCTGACCAGGAAGCAACTAAGTAAGTCAGAGAAACACAAAGTGAATGTGCATCTGCCATGAAAATGCTGACTATAGCAAAATACAGACATGTTTGCCTATGCAAACATCTTTAATACTTTGATATGAGAGCAATAGGGTATACAACATGCAGACAATGACTTCAATCCCATGAAGATCTGGAAGTATGGTGTCAAGTAACAGGAAATATATATATACTGGTCTCTGCCCCTGGTTACTGGCACAGAGCTCTTGAAACCCTTGTAATTCCCTAGGGGAGAGAAGTCTCGTGTTCTAATGGGGGAACTCTGGGTGGGCTCCTGCATAGCTTTCAGATGGGGGCTGGTCACCGGAAAAACCATGCCATGATTAGAGGCTTGGCACTCTGAACCCCACCCCTGATCCTCTAGGAAGGGGCAAAGGATGGAGACTGAAGTAATGATCAGTCGTACCTATGTGGTAAAGCCGCTATAAAAATCCCAAAAGTATGGGGCTCAGAGAGCCGTCCAGGTTGCTGAACAGAGATGCTGGGAGAGCGGCAGGTCCGGACAGGGCACGGAAGCCCCACAACCCTTCCCCATACTTTGCCCTATGCACCTGTTCCATCTGGATGTTCCTTCTATCCTTTATCACATCCTTTTCTAACAAACTAGGAAACGTGTTTCCCTGCATTCTGTGAGACATTCTAGTAAATCACTGACCCCAAGGAGGGGGACCCGGATATATAGGTGGTCAGTCAGAAGTACGGGTGACAACTCGGAGGCTGGTGACTGGCATGGGAGGTGGGGGCAGGGCTGGGGACCGCACCCCTCACCCGTGAGATCTGACACCATTCCAAGGAAGAAAGAGTAAGGAATGAGTTAACTGGAGGACACGCCCCCAGCTGCTGCTGAAGAGTTACTTGATGTGGAAAACACACATGTGGTGGCCAAGAAGTGTTGGAAGTACCGTGTGAGCAGAATACTGAGAGCAAAGGAGAAACACAGGGATTTTTTTCCTACCGACATTAGAAAAAAAGGATAATGATAGAGAACCTTAAAGTTATTTGGCATTGGGACGCCTGGGTGGCTCAGTCGTTAAGCGTCTGCCTTCGGCTCAGGTCATGATGCCAGGGTCCTGGGACCGAGCCCCGCATCGGGCTCCCTGCTGTGCGGGAAGCCTGCTTCTCCCTCTCCCACTCCCCCTGCTTGTGTTCCCTCTCTCGCTGTGTCTCTCTCTGTCAAATAAATAAAATCTTTTTTTAAAAAAACAATATTTGGCATAAAACAGAATTTCATGTATTTGCATTTGTGTGGCGACTATTTTGTGAAGGTAAGTGACTACCTCAGAGTTCTTTTTGAAATCAGTTATGCTGAAAAAGTCCTACCTTCGGGGTGGTGAGCCATTTTCCTACAGGATGGTAACAGAGTACTCTTAGTCACAAAGTATGCGATTTATACAGAAACTGTTGGCTAATTTCTGGTGGAATACTGGTCATTTCTGTATGTGTGGTGACTGTATTTAGCACTCTGGGTGGGTGAACTGGTTTCCATTTCTTCTCTTCAAAGTTGTTATGGAAAAGCAGTGAGGCAAAACAGCTTGCCTGCCAACGAGGACAACACAACACACCCCTCGATATCCTACGGCAGTGCCATATAGAAGCTGGAACGGTGTGTTCGGTTGTCCGCGTGGGCACCTGGGCACAGCAGAACAGTACTCCAGTCCCTGGCCCATTTGTTGCCTCTTTTCCTGAATGGCAGACACTAGGGACGCTCCAGGTGGAGGCCAAAGCATGGGCATTTACCACAGTTCACTGGGTCCTCATCAGAACCGTCTTGGCAGTCCATGTCACCATCACACGCCCACCGCTGGGGGATACAATGTCCATTGCGGCATTGGAAGTTGGAGGCCTCGCAGGTGTGATAGATGGCTGTCAGCAAGAGAGAAGAGAGAAAGTGTCAACGCCACCCTCACCTCTGCTCCCCCACCAACTGCCGAGGAGCTGACCAAGGAGAGACTGTGCTGGGTAATATGGTATGGACCGGAGTGCCGGAGTTCCTCCCTGGCCAGGAGCCAGGCACCTGGGGTTGCCCTGAAGGTGGGGTGCAGCCTCCTGATCAAGCAAATCACTTGACTCTGTGAGTCTGTGAAGTTACACAAGCATGGATGTACAGGTTTAAAAAAAAAATCATTCACTTTTCGCAACCACCTATGACATGAGGGTTATTCTCCATTCACAGATAAGCAGCCTTAGAGGGGCGCCTGGGTGGCTCAGTCGGTTAAGAGTCTGCCTTGGGCTCAGGTCATGATCTCAGGGTCCTGGGATCCAGCCCCAAATGGGGCTCTCTGCTCGGTGGGGAGTCTGCTTCTCCCTCTGTCCCTCACCCCGCTCTTGTGCTCTCTCTCACTCTCTCTCTCAAATTAATAAAATCTTTAAAAAAAAAATAAAAAGAATTAAAAAAAAAAAAAAACAGCCTTAGAGAGATTAAGAAACTCGCCCACGTTCACAAAGATAAGAGCCCCAGCGCTCTCCAAGTCCAAAGCCTGTGCAGTTTCTGCTCTGTCTTGCTACTTTATCTTCTCACATGAACCCACTCACTCATCCAGATTCTGTGGGACAAGGAGAGGTGGTGTGTGCTCCGGGGACTGCCTCTAGACCTGGTCCAGACCTGGGGGCGTCAATCTCATCTATATTGACATACAGGGACCCTTGTAAGCTCTGAGAGGCTGTGATTTCATAATTCTCAATAAACGACCCAATTTCAAATGTGGAAAACCTCAGATCCAGAGAGCACGGAAGATTTATCCAAACTCACACAGAAAGGTCCCAGAACCTCGACTTGTCTAACTCTCCCAACTGACATCTACCAGCCCACAACACATGGTGTCCACTACAAACATTAAAAGAAAAAGACACAAGTGAAACAGTGCTGTTGTTATAAACCAACAGCCTTGTTTGCATACACGGGCTGAGGCCACCTGGAAGTCCTTTAGAAACATCTCAAAAAGACTAGTTTGAACGCAGAGTAACTGCCTCAAACCCAACCGGCACTACTAACCACCTCTCCATTAGATTTCCCCTTCCTCTGCTAAAACAGAAAGCTGTTTGTGTCTCTTCGTTGCTGAATGAAAGCCAGGGCTGGCCTTGTTTACCTCTGATATAAAATAACACAATCGAGATGGATGGGCTCTCTGTTAGCTTAACTATGTGGACAGGATGTCTTTGCAACAGATGAGGCAGAACAAACAAAAGTGGCTTATTGAGTGCGTACTATAGTTATTTATTCAATCAAGATGGTTGGCAATTGCTACTCAAGGGTTGGGAAAATTGGCTTCCAATGCCCTCTAGAATTTCTACTGAATTTTAGGCTATTTTGCGCAGCAGTCTGAAATACAAAGAACCTGATTTTTCAAACCACTTTAAAACAAGTGGTGGTCCATTACCTGTTGTCTTCTTATCTCTCTGAAGATCAAGGCTATATGTGTAGCATGCAAATGGGTCTATAGGAAGTTTTAATATTTTACAACTTTTGGCACTCAGAATCCATCAAACATCTTTTAAAGATATACTCATATCTCTGATAAGAGGAGTACGTATATGTTGCATGTTACGTGAGTTTTTGCCCAAGTAAGCCATCGTCTGGAAGACTTTTGATCTGGTTGTTTTACAAGTCTGACAGCCCTTGAAAATATTCCTCAGCAAAGCCTTGCTCATTTTCATAAAATATACTGCTGCCTAAGCTCATTGCCATACTGATCTACTTGTTATTATTCAGCTTATGCATCTCATTTTTAACTGAAAACAATTTCAGAGTGCTAATGGAGTTTCCAAATGACCATTCTGGGAGGCATGTCTGAGATCTCCAAACTCAATCACGGAAGCTGAGCTCAGAAAGACTAATCAGTTTGTATAATTTCATTTAAGTGGCCAGGTATGAATGGAATTCTTAACACATTCTCTTTCTGAATTTTCCCATCTTCTGAGTAACTTATTAGGTCTCTGACATGGAGTGTCTGGTAATTAATACATGTTTAATTATTACCTTTTTCTTTTAATTATAAGGATGGAGGAGATTGACTTTAATACAGACTAAAGAATGGGGGGAGAAAAATAAGAATCCTTTGCACGGCAGGAATCATTGTAACTGTGAGAAAGGATGGGCTAATGGGGTAAATGACCATGAAATTAGAGGATCAGGATTTCTAATAGAGGCCACTATCCTACACCTTACTCTCGGACTTGGACAGATCTTCCTTGACTTCCTTTCCCTCTGGAACACTTGATCAGAAGCATTAACCGAATACAGGAGGGGCAGAAGAGATGGATGAATTTATATGGTAAGAAAGCACTTCCAGATTCATTACAAAGCACTGGACTATGAGGAGGCGAATGAGGGGAGAAAAAAATGCGACTATCAATTCAATTTGTATGATGAATGACACGAAATAATAACATAAAGCATAAAGAAAGGGCCCTGAAAAATTAAAGGCAGACTTTGAAAAAGAATCAGATAGAAATTCTAGATGTAAAAAATATAGTAGTGGAAATAAACATAGCTCAGTGGATGTGTGAAACAGCCAATCAGATTCAGCTGAAAAGAGAATTGTTGAACTGGAAGAGAAGACTGAGGAAGTAACTCAGATTCTAGCACAGAGTCAGAAGGAGACTGCAAATACAAAAACAGGAAGCATGAACAACAGAAGGACACAGCCCGACAGATGGCTGAAAGTAACTGCTAAAGACGAGACCAGAGAAAGTAGCAAACAGAGTTGAAAAGATCACGGCTGTTAATTCCCCAGAATTGGTGAAAAACAAATCCTCAGCCTCTAGAAGGAAAACAAGACTCAGGAGCAGGATGAATAAAAATAATTTCACTTAAGGAGGTGAAACCACATAACAAGAACAAACAAACAAACAAAAACCTACAGATACCTGGAGAGAAAAGAACGTCTGATTGTTGTTTGAACAGATCACCTGCCAGGAGAATTTAAATCAACATAGAAGAGGCCAGAAGGAAATAGGACAATCCCAACAAAACACTTAACGGAAAATTAGTACCAACCAAGAAACCCAGATCCATCTGAATTCAGGATTGAGAGTGAAATAAAGATACGTTTATAGAAACAAAATCTTGAAAGAGCTTACTATTCACGGACTCCTGTTGCAAGAAACAGAGAAAGATGTACACGGGGAAAGGAGACACCAGGTACAAGAAGCAAAGTTAAACGGTTACTAAAATATGATAACAATGATGAACATTAGGATTCTTAAAATGTACAACTAAAATACTAAATATTTATGGAGTCTGTTCAGAAGTCCCTACAGGTCTCAGAGAGGGGAAAGTTACTACATGAAGACCATTAACCACTGAAAGAACAGAAATCAAATGTTTAAGCTCAAAATCGATGCAGGGAGGTGGGGAGAGGGAATAAAGAAAACTCAGTCCCATTGAAAACAAAAAGCAGGGAGGACAAGAGCAAAGACCATGCACGAGAGCTGAGGCCAACAGGAAATCCGCTGACCCCGTCCACCGACCCCGACTGATTTTTCTCTAGCTTTGCAGATGATTTAGTTTATTAGGTCAGGAAATGAAGGGACACGCCACACATTCTAATGAGCTCGCAGCTGACCGCCAACTATTTTGAGATAACGGGGAAGGGGAATCATCTTTAATAGGTTTGGAAGAACAGTCACTGGAACAAGGGAGCAGGTGAGGTGCAAGCACTTTACATTTTCCCCAGACAGCCCTGCCAAAAAAAATCGGAGAGAAAATCAGGAGTCTCGGACGAACCCACCCATAGAAATGAGTTGTTAATTCATCCCGGAGGAGCGGCACACGCTGCTGAAACACAAAATTGACTAATGTGATTGTGCTAACAAGATGTTCAATCATTTTGCAACTTACAAACTGAAATGCCCAAGTGCACCCCTCTAATTTATTAACCAATTATCCACCCAAGCCCAACACTTCCAAACAGTACTCCGTGTGGTTCCTGGGCTGATGGCAGGACAGCAGTTCCTTCATGGACCCTGGCTTTTCCTCCTTCTGCAGGCCTTGCTTGTATTTGGAGAGAAGCCTTTTCCCGCAGTCCTTCCTGAAGCAGAGGTGCAGACATGGAGATTGCACCAGAAAGGACAAAGGGGCAAGTTTAGGGTAAGTTTGTAAGAATTGGGATCATCCTGTGTGATGATACTGCATTTGAGGAGATCCGTTTACTCCTGAAGGCTATAGAAGGGTCATCTCCAAATGAAAATGAATGCAGAGAAGTGCTTATGTAAATTGCCCAATGGACAGAGGTACTTGCCAGGTGCTGGGCACCGGGAGAATACAAAGGAGTCAAAGTTCATTTCCTGCCCTTCAGGAACCAAATCTAAACTATAGCGTAACAACAGCCGTCTTTTTGTTTGCTTTTGCAAATTAGTAGGCATGCTTTGAGCTCCCGGGTGCTGGGCAGTGTAGGAACTGGTGGGGTATGCAGGGGCAAGGGAGATTAAGACAGGGGACTTGGGAGGTCTGCCACAAGAGTAATGATCCACGCCACGTGAAGGACAAATTAATCCAGTAACAGTGAATGGCGAAACAAAGCCTAGAAGCAGATCTGCCCTCACCACGAAATGGTTACATGAAATAACCTTAGCCCCATCACTGGAGGGATTTAGGAGAGAACTGAGTGATCATTCTAGAGGTTGCAGAGAAAGTGTACTCATCAGGTAGTGGGATCGGATTTTATTCCTCCATGGTTTCCCCAATTCCTTGCTCTCCCTGTTCCACCATACTGTAAAATGGGTCTCATTCATTCATTCATTCATTCATTCATAAAAAGTAGTGTAATGAACATGCATGAGAATAATGAGAACATGACCTCCACCTCACACCACCTAGCTTTCCTCTCACATTATTATGCTGTTCCCAACTTTATTTTGCATGAAATTTTACCCAAAATGGGTACAAGCAGAGTATAGGTTTCCACTGTTTAGGGAACACTCGGATGCTCCATTCAAAATCATAAGCTAGTTCAGTGCTACTCAAGATGTGGTCCCCAGACCAGGGGCCCGTCTATAAACTGTGTATTACTGACCCTGAAGAAACAAGCTCAGGCCAGAATGTGACTCGGACCATATCACTCGGGGACACTTGTTTAGTTCAGTTAACGCTTTTTTCACAGCAAGACCTTCTCAGTGAAGAAAGCAGGATGTCGGTTTATCTTTCAGCACAAGCTCATCACAGTCCAGCTGATGGCTAAGGTAGCACCTAGAGTCGACGATCACATAGGGCTGCGGGGCTAAGCAGCACGCACACACACACACACACACACAGGTGCTGTCAGGGGAGAGCAGGAAACACTGACCAGTACAGTTGGCTTCATCAGACCAGTCCCTGCAGTCATTGTCTCCATCACACACCCAGGAGGAGCGGATGCACATGCCAGAGCTGCAGCTGTATTCGTCACTCCGGCACTGGTGCATTTCTGCAGGTGAGATCACAAACACAGAGTTGTGAGGACAAATGCTTACTCGGAAATCCATCTCAAGTCGAGCTCAGGCGTCAGCGCTCCTAAGGGCTGGAGATGCATGCATTATCCACATTATTATCATTGATTATCCAGAGACAGAGTGGACTTGAACCAGGGATATGCCAGCTCATCAAGGATGGACTCCAGGTGTGCTGATACTCTCACATTCTGCTTTTAAAGATTTTATTTATTTATTTGAGAGAGAGACAGAGAGAGAGGCAAGTGGGTGGGGGGGGTGGAGGGACAGGGAGAGGGAGAGGGAGAGGGAAATCTCAAGCAGACTCCTCACTGAACGTGGAGCCTGATGCAGGGCTTGATCCCAGGACCCTGAGATCAGGACCTGAGCCAAAATCAAGAGTCAGACGCTTAACCGACTGAGCCACCCAGGCGCTCCTGACACCCTCACATCCTTGCCACTGGTTGCCTCCAGGCCAAGAACAGCATTACCCATGTATCTCAGTGCACTTCACAAATATTGTCTAAGCTTGCTACAATGGGAAGGTTAGGAGGCAATGCTCCAGTTGCCCAGAAAGCAGAATCCTCAAGAATTCCCAAGAAACAAAAGCCTTCTAGAGACAGCGCCAGTGGTTTCAGAAAAGGAGTAATGAGAACTCCGAGTGAGCTGATCAGTACGAGATCCTCAGTTTGGGGAAAGCGAGATCAGTGCCAAGCTCCCAACATAAATGAAACTGGGGACCTTCTGTGGGCAGAGCTCCAGGGCTGCTGGCTGATGGGCTGCCTCTAGAAAGGTGGGGTCCTGAAGCAAACGAACCCGTGCAGCCTGACCAAGACTTGCAAGCAGGCTACACTGGCAACACCTTTTACAGACCCTGGAAATGTCACCCAAATGGTATTTCAAAGATTCTATGGAAACATGGGTAGCCAAGCCTGGGTCCCAGGGTGGCTGCCTGAGCTGTGTCATCCAGGAGACAAGTTGATGGTGAAGCTGGGGTTTCGGGTATTTGTGAAGAAACAGTCTGGAGACCTAAGAAGAGGACCTGGCTCTGAGGACATCAGGGACCGAAACCCTGGGATGGATTCGAGAGACATTAACGGGAACAGGCTGTGAACAGGGAATCTGATGCGGGCCCAGTACGTGCGAGAGACGACATCACTGCAGTCTCCTTCCCACCGAGCTGTGCCCTTCAACCCTGGGTAGGTGCTAAGGAGGAGGTGGGAGGAATGCAGGGAAAACAGCCCTGAAGCCCAAAGACTGCTTTCCGGAACTTTCTATTTTTACAAAGATGAGGGAAAATGATGGGACCCCCGTACACATAAAATTCCTCTGAGAGCCAGACAAGGGGCATTTCCCCTGCCCCCCTCGTTTCAGTCCCTGGGGTCAAACGACCTGCTGGTGAAAAAGCAGGCCCCGTCCATAAACACGTGCGCAGCTAGACTGAACCTGACCCATGGGTGGGCAGGGAGAGCCACCAACTCATCACGCTGTCTGGGTCCACATCTGGCCTCTGTTCTCACTTCCCCTTCTCAGTCAGGACCCCTCCAGTCTGGAGCACTATGTGTACCGCATGACGTTTCCTCCTTGGACGGTCAGCAATGGTGGTGTGGTACCAGAGCCATTCCCAAAAACAGGCCTCCCGCGGCGGGCAGGGCTGGGCTGTGCAGCATCGAGGCTGGGAACCACAGGCTCTGGGTCCCCATCCCGACACAAACTAATAGTGTCACCTCGAATAAGTCCCCTCAGCCATTTAACTGGAAATTAAGAGGACTGAACTAGAGAACCCCTATCACTCCTGGCAATTCCAACACACTGTTTTTCTAAATGCAAAAATTTCCATTCAGAAAACAGATGTTCGAACAACATTTGTGCTATCTGCTGGCTTCCAACGGAGTTTACTGAATCAGATTGGTTAAAAAAAAAAAAAAAAAAAAAACACGTTCATAAAGGTATAGATCTGTGTCTTCAGGAGGCTAATCTCATAGCCACCCAGACATGTGGGCCAAGTCTATGTCATATACAGCTGTTAATAACCACCTAAAATCAGTTAGAAATCTTCCTTACTATCACATTCATGCTTACAGCATCTCTGCACGGTAAAGCAGGGTCCACGATCTTTCGAATGAATCATTCCTGCCAAGGGGATGGAGGTGGTCATACAGCTGGGTATCAGAAACCCTGATGGGGGCATCTGGATGGCTCAGTCGGTTAAGCGTCCAACTCTTGGCTTCAGCTCAGGTCATGATCTCGGGGTCCTGAGATGGAGCCCCACTTTGGCCTCCATGCTCAGCGAGGAGCCTACTTAGGATTCTCGAGTGCTCTCTCTCTCTCCCTCTGCCCCTCCTCCTCTGCCATGTCTCCCCTCCCCCCACCACCTGCACACGCATGTGCGTTTTCTCTCTCCAGAAAAAAAGAAAGAAAGAAAGAAAGAAAGAAAGAAAGAAAGAAAGAAAGAGAAAGAAAGAAAAAGAAAGAAAGAAAGAAAGAAAGAAAGAAAGAAAAAACAAACCCCGAGATGCTTTTGGAAACCCTCCATCTGCAACCCACGGAAGCCCATGGAGCAAGGGTGCTGCCCCCCTCAGGAGTGGGGTCCCTGGACTTCATGTCACCTTACCACAGTGACTTTCATCGCTGTTGTCTCCACAATCATCCTCCAGGTCACATTTGTAGGAGAGTGGGATGCAGGTCCCAGACTCCTGGCAGCGGAACTGGGTGTCCAAATCACAAATGGTAGTAGCTAAAAGGGAAGAGACGACATACTCATGAGGAACAATTTATCCCCCCCACCCAATACACACATCCCCATGGAAAACAAACTAAAACAGAGAAGAAAGTAGATTTGAATTGCAGCAAGAGACCAAAAAAACAAAAAAAAATTTACAACCAAGGAAAAGAAGAGCCTATCTTTCCGTGGAAGTTTCCAGGCACCGGGCTGGGAAGGTGAGAAACTGCCCTCCAGCTGGGAGAGAGACTGATGGGCTGGATCACCTCCTACGACCCCTAAGTCAGCAGCAGAGATACCTTCATCTAGACAACGACCATGAGGAAGCCCAATTCCATGCGAGGAGCTGGCACCTCCTCGTATCGATGACATGGGGAGTGTTGGGCAAGAATCTTTGCAGTGGGCACCTGGGCCCTGTCATCAGGCGGGACTGGGTTTCAGATCCTGGCTCTGCCTCTGCCTCGAGCATTAATTAACTTTAACCTCCTTGAGCCCGTTTCAGGCACGGCAGGAGGAGCATAAGGTCATGTGGCCAAGTGCTGTGATGACAGAAAGACTAGATATGGATCTCAATTCTATAATTTATGTAACCTAACTGATGCACGCCTCTGTTTTCTCTACTGTAAAATGGAGATAATAGAACACCTACCCCGGGGCAGTTTATGAATGTAAATAAGCAAACCGGTTTGGGACCAGAGCCCATTACATAGGCTGCAAAACAGACTAGGCTCCAAACAAATGTCATGTGTCTTCCCTGTCCTTCCTCTGCCCTCCTGCACCAGAACGGGTATAGACATAGACCCTTCTCCCTCTTCTAAGCAGAAAGTATCTGGGAGTAAGCACAATCCCTAGAACCCAGGAAAAGACCCTCTAGGCAAGGCTTTGGGAAGGAAGGCTGTGCTCAGGAGGGGCTGACACATAAGGTACGATGTGACAGAACAGAATCCTGGGTAGAGGAGGGGGGCTGCCGGGAAATGAAAAGCCAAGGGCAACATTATACAGTTAGACATCCCAGCGGCTCTTATTTGAGGCTCCATTTCTTCTCTGTAATTGAGCTCATGGTGGGAGGATGAATACAAAAATGACAAGGCTGCAGGGCATTCGTGTCAAAACCCGGAGCACCTGACAACTACCCAGCGCAGGAGTGTGTGTGTGCAGGAGGGAGATGTGCTGACATCTCTCCCCAGCTCCCCGGTCACCACTCCCCTTCTCCTCCCCAGGCAGCTGCCTTTCACTTCCCAGACAGCAGCAGCACCCAGTTGCAGCCTGTCCCTTCCCTGCAGCCCTGCCCGTGGACGGCGCACCTCCACCATCAGGATAAGCACACCTCCACCATCAGGATAAACACGCCTCCACCATCAGGATAAGCAGGACTCTCCTCCTCCTGGATAAGGGAGCCACTTCTGCCGGTGCGATCAAGCACCTCTCTCCTGGTTCCCAGCCTCCATATGAAGATGGATGGAGCTCCCTCTCTCAGAACACTGCACCAATACAAGATCCCCAGTTGTCATCTAGTGGAACCCAAAGCCCCTGGGTGGAATCCCCATTTATCAGACACAAGGTCATCTAGTTTAAATCTCTGCTTCCACTAAAGCCTAATCATGTCTGGGCAATCTTCGTGCAATGTGTTAATTCTGAGAAGCGTCCCCTCTCCCACCCCATTATGTAATAAAGTCCTTTCCAGGCTCAGCTCCAGTGATGTTAATATTTATTGTTTTTAAGGAGCTTTGGCTCTTCCCCCACAAATATCACCCCTTCCTGAGACTCTGGTAGGTAGAGAAGGCTTTTATCGGTGTCCTTTTTGCAGAAAAGAAAAAACACACAGACAGCCTAACGCTTCTCCGAATCTCCCATTCAGTAAGCTCTTCTCCCTGCCTGTGAATGGCATCCACTGAAACGAAGGAAAGATAATTAAGAAAAGGTTAAATAACCTCCTACGCACCAGCAAGGGCAGCACATAGTTTTGCTGGGCCCGGACGAGTTCAGGGAGTTGACTGCTTCTAAGGTTGCTTTCTGGCTGGAGGGACGTGGGAACCTGGCGCAGACTCCACACATGGCTGGCTACATATGGCCAGCCCGGAGCCAGGAGTCACCCCCTAACCTGTTCTCAGAGCACAAAATGGTAAATGAGCTTCTGGATTCCCAATGGGAAAATATTTGCAAGAGAAGCCTTCACACTGGTTTCTGGCTTCCCTGCTTCTGGTCTTCCTCCCATCCAGTGCCTTCTGCCCACTGCTTATTTTTCCAAAGACAAGAATCTTATCATATTATTTCAGTGGTTCTCAACGGCTCTTCTGAGTGAAGTCCACAGGCACTTGCTGCTCCGGACACCCTCACTAGCCAGTCTTCCCCTTGCCCCATGGCTTCCATATTCATATTATTGATGAGCCACACCAGCCTCCTAACCATGTCACATACCCTCTGACTTCTGGTCTTTCATATCTGCTGTTCTCCTGCCGACAACTATGTTCCCTCCACCTCTGCTTGGTTCACCTCTACCCACCCTTCAGGGCTCTCCATAAATACCTATCCAAGTTTGATTTGTGTGCTCTTCCTGTATGCATATGGCACTTCCCCATCACAGAACTCACTGGCTGTACCGTAACTGCCCCTCTACTCTTCAGACTCCCCTACGGAGTAAACTCCATGTCCACCTGATCACCTGGTATCCCCAGGCCGAGCACAGAGCCTAGAACAAGGAGTCCTCAACAAATACTTGCCGAGTGAATGTATGAACATATTACTCACTGTCAGAGGGCAAAGCACCTCCTTAGAAGATAATGTCGAAGCTATCAAAAATTAAAACCTTGCAGTAAATAAATTACTCACTGTAAGTAGTTATTTGTCTTTAAACCCTGCTGAACAGAACCATGCTTTAGTAGTGACCCTTAGAAAGCATACAGTCCAAAGACGACGCTTCCATGCACACAGATCAACGTCCCCACATTTCAAGCCAAAGAAGGCATCATCAAGCAGTTGGAACCATCTCTCTGGAGCCTGGCGGGCAGCCAATATCCGCTGATCGGACGGCGTACAAAATGAAACCTGTTTCCCATCTCTGAAAAGGCTGAATTTACAGATCAAGGGATGTCACCTGGTCACCAGCTTTATCACAGTGGTAAAGCCACAATGAGAGCCCAGACTGCCCGACTCGGCTCAGTTTCAGCCAGACGATGCTTACTGGCAAACCCTTTGTAACGAGTAGTTCCCTTACCGGTGGGGGGTTGGGTTTTCAATAACAACCTATATCTAAGGGTCTTCTCTGTTCTCCAAGCCCCATCAGCTTCCATGAGCATCACCGATCACGAGGGGCCACCAGCCGGAACCCCAGGCTTCAGGCCCCCCACCCGGGCGGAGCTGGCTGGCCAGCCTTCCGAGCACAGTCCATGCGCCCCCTCCCGAAAGCCCGGCCGAGCCGGGAAGACTCACGGCAGTTTCTCTCATCGCTCATGTCACCGCAGTCATTGTCAAAATCGCACCACCAGATGCTGTTGATACAGTTCCCGTTGCTGCAGCGATACTGGTTACGGAGACAGGTGTTCTCTGGATGGCGGGCCAGGCAGAGGAGGAAACGGGACACATATTATTCTTATGGCTGGACTGCAAGACTCTCACTTTTCACTGAGTTTCCATTTCTCTTCCTCAAGCAGCATGCCTTACGTGGTAAAGCGGAATAGGGGTGCCAAGCTCACCTGGATGCGGGAGCATACCACAGAGGCCTCCTGCTTTCCTCTTTTAGTTACAATTTAAGGACAAGAGGCCAGCTGGATAGGGGTCGGGGGTGGTTATAATGGTGAAAAAGGACAGCAATGGTACCAGTCGGGTCCAATGGGTAGATACCAAGCATCGACATTATAGAACACCAGTTATACGAGGAACTGCTTACGGGGCTCTGTCTACACAGTACAAAAACATACGTGTCCCACATATTTGCAGCTGTATGTATTCTGTATATACAATTATATATATCCATATATCTTCCATTTTTCAGCCAAGTAGATGATAAAGGATACGTAATACTCTGACGCACAGGAAAAAAACACGTTATTTAGTAAACCCAGACAAGAACACATGAAGGCTGGACTCGTGTTTGGGTCTCCAAAGGCATTCTAAAGGAAAATATTAAAAAGCCTTTCTCCAACTTAAGTGTTAACTCTGTTTCTTTCTAAATAGCTTTAAACTGATGTCTGGAGCCTGAAAGAGAATGTCCTGCGTCTAAGACGGGAAGGGTCATCCTTTCTCCATGTGTATTTCTTATGGAAAAGGGACCACAGTGCTCCCTTGTGTGACCCCCTGCCTGGGACTAAGAGGGCTTCTGTGAGGAGGGAGGTTGTGATTCCAAAGCCAATATAACCTCGAGAATAAAAAAAAAAAAAAAAAAAAAAAAAAAGCAGGGATTTGGGCACCTCCTGGCAGGACCCCCCGTTTCTAGAGGTTCACCTCATTGACAGTAACGTGAGGTGGAGACTGAGAACACAAATCAGACAGGAAAGAAAGATTAAGAGAGGTTTTTAGAGGAAAAAATTTAGAATCTATGTCTTCAAATTCAAAGGAAGGGCGAATATGGCTGCTACAGCCATTTGGTCACAGCAGGAAGGGAAGCCTCAAAGTCTGCAAAGTTGTTCTGAACATTCTGGAGGTTTCCGGGCTGGCGGGGGCGGAGGGAGGAGGCGGGGAACCGCTGGGTGAACCTCGGGGAGCTTGTGGAGTCCCAGCAGTCTTTTCTCCGAGTCAGGTTTGGTCCCAACTTACAAGAAGCAGGAGAAGGGACAGGTGAGGAGAGGAAGACATAGGAGGGGACAAAAAGGGGTCATCAAAGAAGGCCCGTGTCATCTGACATGAAACTAAAACCACAGCTATCATGTGTAAATAAACCACCCGGGGCTGTTCCTGATGAGGACTGAGGAGCCCAGGCCTCAGAACCCAGACCCGGATGTCTCTAAGTATCTCGTGGATTTCATTTTTACCGAGGGCATTTTCAATCACGCAAACACACGGGGAGTAGAGAGCCCTGGGAGAGGGCAGGCAAGAAGGGAAGGAGGCCAGGGGGGCGCACCTTCTTTGACGCAGGTGTTGTTCTCCTGCTGGTAGCCCTGAGGGCACTCACACATCAGGTCCCCGGATGGGAGGACGCTGCTGGCCACACCCTCTGGACACCGGCAGCTTTTACCGTTGTTGGCCCTGGGCAGGCAGAGCAGGCTGCACGGTCTGGACACACAGGCATTGCTTCCTGGGGAGAAGATGAACAGCAGCCGCGGCCAGGTTAATCGGTGCCGGGGAGTGAAATCCAAGACAAACCCCTCATTTTACAGACCCGACAGTGCGAAGCTCAGAAAGAGAAAGGTGATGTGGTGGGCGCTGGAGCACGTGCCAGCCACTTCTGCTCAGAGCCCCGAACAAGGCCACGCAGGGTCTCTGAGCCTTCAGACGGCCCTGGAACCAGGCCAGGCGTCAGCCGTTCATCCTGGGAATTCAGAATTGGGCTAGCGAGGAACAACAGAGTAACTGGGGAGCTGGAGCTGGGAGCAAGGTCACAGAGTGTGGGTGTCCAAGGTGATGCAGGGCAAACCAAACCTTGGTCAGGTCAAAGCCGGGCAGAAACAAACCCAAGAGAGGGAGTCAGGAGAACACAGCCAACTTCCGGAGCAGGGCGAGGGAAAGAGAGAGCCAGGGAAGGGGGTGGCCTGGCCATTCCCAGGACCGGTCCCCATCAGGCTCACCTGTGTTTTTCATCTCTGAGTTCCTTACAATCTCCCTTTATGCCTTCCTTAGCCCTTTTTACTTGGGTTAGCGTGAGTGGGGTTCTGCTCCTACGACCCAAAAGCCCTTCATTTAGAACCATACACCTGAGTCATGACGGGGCCCCGGACGAACATCCGCGTCTCTGCTTCTCGACTCCTTTGTGCCCAAGTGCAGCTACAGAGCTGAACGAAGACCCAACCACACGGCACTCATTAGCCTCAGTACTATGTGTCATGCAATAAACCCACACAAGGACTAGTAAATGTGGACCTGTCCCTACTTCCAATCTTGTCTCTGGTTCGGCTTTCCAAAGAGAGTGCCAGATAAAAGTCCGTAAAATCCCTCACTGCAGTCTGGAGAGAGAACCTTTGTGGATGAACAGTGATGGAAAAGGTATTTTCCTATCCCCCACATCTTTCCGGGAAGGAGGGGAAAGGATGCATAAATCATTTTCTAACAACTGGAAACAGATACAACTATCAAGCAACATAAAAGCCACATAAATTATGAAATGTATACTTGTTCTTTTGGCTGTGACTATTCATCATCAAAACTGGGGAAAATAAACATAAATGCTTTGATAAAACTCAACTGATGATGCTTCTTCAGTTGTGCCATCTCACGGACAGAGAAACCGCAGCCCCCGCCCCGCCCCTCCCCCTGAATCACATCCAAGCAATCTGTTTCCATCCAGCCAAGATTTTAGCTATGTCACGCCTACACTGACCTGCAGGTTGGAAAACAGGGTTCACTAATGACAATCAGTATTGATATGGGTCATGATACACTCAGTAGCTTTGGAATGTTGGCACTTCATCAGTGTTTAACTGGCATACACATAAAATAAAAATTGCAGGGGCGCCTGGGTGTCTCGGTTAAGCGTCCAACTCTTGATTTTGGCCCAGGTGGTGACCTCAGGGTGGTGAGGTCGAGCCCTGCGTCGGGCTCCGTGCTCAGCACAGAGTCGGCTTGGGATTCTGTCTCTCCCTCTGCCCCTCCTCCAGCTCCCACACGTGCACACTCACGCGCACTCTCTCTCTCTTTAAAATAAATAAGTAAAATCTTTAAAAAAATAAAAATAAAAATCGTAACGATACAGCAACAGTGTTGTTCCGATGCTAAAGACCAGAGAGTATGCAGCATTACCAAACAGATGAAGTACACACACCCACAGAGCAGAATCCATACGATGAAACGTTCTACAAATAATTCAATCCACTCTAAAGGTAGAGTTACCATAGCAGAATAACCTCCTGACAAGGGCAGAAATGCCAGAAATCAATTCACCCTGACCTGTTCCATGGGCAGAGGCTGTTCCTTTTTCAGAAGATACATGCCCTAGGCTACAGGGAGGAACACAGAGCTGCCGGTAATGGAAAACAACTCCAAAAGGATCTGGAACGTGTTCTCTGTATTCAAAGGACAACATATCATTGAATGTTCCAAGAAATTGAACAATAACAGAATTTCTGAAAAATACTCAGGGACAGGATGATAATTTCACGTGGAGCTATGTCTGTAAAACAACGCGACTAATGTGTTCACATGGGGAGCAAGTGCTCCTGCCCAAAAAAGCAAGAGCCACAAGTACGGAACCCAAAACAGGGTGTGGCATTTCAGGAGGCTGGTCTAGACAGAGACGTCTACAGTCTGAGAGGCTGTATCTGGGGCCAAACCCCAAACCAAGCAGACCGAGTCACGGACCCCAGGAGGTAGGCAGGGCAGGAGCTTATGGGGTGCTACAAAGCCACAGAGAACCTGGGTGAGCATGGAAGGAGTACTCAGCAGAATTCCACCAGAAGACGGCCACAGACTCTTTCTATAGGATGCTGCAGTCTCGTGTGGGCAAGGCAGGTAGATGTGAAGAGTGGACAAGTGACAGTCATCGCCTCCAGAGACGTCCCCTTTGAAGATCAAACAGCTGCATGATGTCTTCATGGGGCAGATTCAGAACACATTCAGATTTCCTCTTTGGAAAATTCCCCCAGAACCTGTCTAGGAGCCAGAAATGCTATTATCTTGCTTAATTATCTCTACGCTTGACAATTATCAAAATCAAATCCACCCCATCGAGTAAGTATTTGCCCTCACTGTAGGTATTTAAAAGCCCTGGCTTACTGCAGACTCTGAAGGACAATTCCCAGAGCTCCAAAATATTTTCATCCATTGCAACACCAACTTGATATATCAACAACCTTGCAAAGTAAGCTCTTTAAAGAAAAAGGACTCTATGAAGAACAGATCCCAGTGACACTACATAAAAATCCACCAGACATAAAGATTAAGAAAGGCATCTGTTTATAACCAAATAACCCAAATGGACAAATGTTCCAAGTGAACAAAATTTTTATCACAAACAAGGATCAATCAAAATCCAGTACTTCTATATTGCTGTCATATACCAGGGCACCACTATTCCAACAACAGATGATAAAGGGAGCCGAGCTTAACGCTTTTACTGAAGTCAAGCTCAAAAGTCCATTAGGCCGTGGTTCAAATTCTTACCACTTACTAAATATGTGATGTAGAAACATGAACCTGACTTTCATATCCTCATCTAGGAAATGGAAATATTAACACACGGATTTTGGGAAGATTAACGGAGGTTATTCAAGCCCACAAAGCACATCAGTGTGTAATCCCTTAATAAACGTAGGTGATTATGTGTATTATTATCTTACACATGACTAACAGGCAGTCCTGTATGTGTTCGGAGCAGACAACAAAAATAATATTGACTGGCACCAGGGGTTGCCCATGGGCAAAATGAATTTGCAAAAGAGTGTCCAAAAAAGCAAGCAGGTTAGAGCAAACATGTTCAAGGCTGAGAGGCACCCGCTGCATGCAGGCGGTGCTGGCAGCCAGATGCCATTTCAAAAGCTTTCAGTGAACCCAGACTAGCCCGTCTGAGAGATCTGAGCTTTGCTTCTCTGGCCCTGTGCCTGTGGGCGGGAGCTCGGCTGCAAGTATCCTGCTCACACAAGGGAGAAAAAGGGAATCCCAAAGGCCAACGGAAGAACGGGGGAAGGAACAAGGAGGGGGCAGCAACGGGCCGTGAGGTTGCATGGTCCCGGCTCTGTGTTCTACCCGCCGGCACACGTCTCCTCCAGCCAGACCCCAGGCGGATTCCCAGAATTACTCCGGGTGGTTTAAGTGAAGGTGACTCTTTCAGGCATGAAGAAGACAACATAGGCACATGCTGTGACCACAGACCATCCTCCCTCCCACTCCCCAGGACCCGGCTGTGACTGTGCATCCGCTGGAATGCGGCAAGCGACCAGCCAAGACCGGGGACTGGGGAGCCCAAGGATCACACGTTCACCGGAACATGGTGTTTCAGGAATGGTCGCGTGCTCCGCAAGCACATGCTTACAAGCGCCTGTCAAAAGGAAGACCTGCTTTCTGGACTGAGCGCTAACTCAGAGAAATGCTGATGATTCACTCGGCTTGCTGCACCGCCCATCAGCAGGGGCTCGGGGTCCTCCATCAAACAAAGGCCCTGAGTTTCAGCCTTCGGACCCCAGAAGCAGGAGTCCTTCGTCTCTCCCTATTTGAAAATAGGCACCTCCTCTGGGAAGAATGTGACTCCTCGATTTAGCGGCAGAACTGGAACAAAGGCCCAGCTCCTACACTAGCAAGGGACCTTTGAGAAACCTAATTCGCCCCTGAGATGCCGTTGCCTGATCTAAGAACCATGGATCATGATACCAGCCCTGCCCACATCCCAGGTCCGGGGCAGACATAACAATAATACAGACTTACATTTCTAACGTTCTTTACCGTTTCACAAGGGTATTCTCAATGCTATCTTCACTGGTCCCCCCCCAAATAACAATGATATCTATAACCGTCTTATTTCCCCTTTGTCAATCTTCTCTTAGCAAAGCCAAAGCCCAGAAAACAATGTCACCATTGTGGTGCCAAACAGGAAACCTAACAGTTTGTCAACAAAGGCGAGTCAGCAGAGCCAGGGCTATTTAATCCTGCTGAGATAAACAGGGTGTTTCTTAAAGGGACTATTCTTCCCAGAGCATCCTGCTCTCTCTGTCCTGTAGAGCCCACAGTGTGGGTAGCACACAGAGGGAGAGGGCGGGAAGTAAGGAAGGAGGCTTTCTGCAGCACAATCTCGGTCTCCAGGACCAGCAAGCAGGTCACAAGCCTTGCAGCAGCTCTTGAAGCCTCACCCAACAATCTTTAAGACAGCTACTGTCCACACCCATTGGCAACTGGCCCCTTTTCATGACCTCTTTCAACAAAGACTGAGCCCTACCAACTGCTAGGCAGTGACCAAACTGTTGGCGGGGCGGGGGGAGACACGATCTCCTTCTTTGTGGGGTTTAAGAGTTTCAGGCAGGGACACGTGAATTAATGTGTCATATAATGATGCCGCGCATGACAAGGGAGGCAGGTGCTCAATGAGCCATAGGTCATCTGGGCAAGCAGAGAACGAGACAGGACTCCCATCGGCAGGCAGTAACTGGTGGCGCACCCCGCACAGCGCTGCTCCCTGTGAGGTTGCCAGATGGGGAGTAAGCACACGCGGGGGTTCTCCAGCTGCAGCAGAAGCTACACCACCCATCAGTCAGGGGCCAGAGGCAGGAGGAGGGTGTAATTACCCACCAAGCATCACACTCTAGGCAGGCGAAAACACGCTGTCTTCCAGCTGTTTGTGTACCATTAGAAAAGAAATTAAGAGGTCATTAGGCAGAAATTAAATAATGGGCATGTTGTCGTGACAATTAAGACGCAGGCCGTCAGCTCCTGCCTGAGCAGAGACTGCCCATGCCCAGCCCCTTCCTGGAGATCACAGCGCAGGAGAGATGAAGCTGGCAACGCGGCCTTACCAGTCGTCCTGCCCTTGTAGAAAATCTTCATGTCCATCAGCCCCGTGAGCTGACTCGCGAGAACTGCCACCTGGGAGCCACTGTATTTGGAAGCTCGGAAGATGCTGAGCTGTGACCAGTCATCCCAGTAGATCTCATTCTAGAAAGAAAACCTTTGCTCATCAGTCCAGCTCCTGGGTCTCCGATCCTGGGCCCTCAATAAGAACAAGGGTTCACCCATACAGAGGACACCTAACATTCTGTGGTGAGGGATCAGCCCGACCGAGATTTCCACTGAAATGCAAGGCAGTGGATTTCCAGACCTCACCCAAGAGCCACCCTGAAGGAACTGCGTGGCAGAAACTACCTGAGAAGCATTCAAGTTTGACTTCAGTTCGAAATCTGCTTCCCAGTGGCAGGAAAGACCAACCATTCTGTTCTCTAGAGTCAAATCAGCAGTGGCTAGCCACACGGGTGGGACGGAGCCCATTTGAACCCATCAGGACACGAAGTGAGCAGGAGACAAAGACACGGAGCCCAAACTACCGGCACTCGAGGGCAAAAGGGGATTTTTCTATGAAACAACCTTTAACCTTCTGAACTGGGAACAGTGAGCAGCCCAGACGCCTGGCAACTCTGACATCTGTCCAGATGCGCTAAAGAAAACAGTCTCAAATTCAGAAGTGAGCTGATTCCTCTAGAAGTTAGTCAGACAAGCATCTCTGCAAAAACCCAAGGTAGCAGCTTTTCACCTCAGTACGCTCTTCACCTGCTCTAACAGACTGCCCAAAGCTGGGAGCAAAGGAAGTCCCACCTTAAAGACAGCAATGGCATAGGGGTGGGGGAGGTTGTCCAGGATGATCGAGCGCTGCTGGCCATCAAAAGTGATCCGCTCGATGCAGTCCAGGTAGGCATCTGTCCAGTAGATCCACTGGTCATCCACAGAGATGCCGTTGGGCCACTTCACATCCTCTGACACAAGACGATGGACGGCAGAGCCATCCATATTGCTCCGATAAATTCCCGGCTTCAGGTCTCCCCAGTCGGTCCAGAACATCACCCTGGTCAAACCGGGAAAGAACACACATCACATCCGACCTAGGGAATCGGGAGTGAGATACTATCCCCAGGAGGTAAGAAGCCTCTCTAGAACCGGAAGGCCAGTTAGTTTGGCAGTATTATTATTACAAGCTGTAATTATAATATTTAACACCACTGAATTTCTTGCCCCAGAAATTCCTTTGCTGGAATTTATCTACAGATACAATCAAGTTATGTGAAGACAATGTACAAAGACATTCATCAAAGCATTGTTCATACTAGCAAAAAAATTATGTATGTGTTATGTGTCTATACACACACACACACACACACACACTTTTAGGTGGATATATGTGTATACACGCCAACAGGTTAATCTACAGAGAAAGTGACAGATGATGGTACATACAAAAAAATATTTTGATGCCTAAAAATCTACATGTTTTCATGTGTGCTCACATGAAAAGATCATCTTCAACCCATGTTAAATGTTTTGAAAACACGCACAACAGTAAATATCTACAATTCTTTTTGATGCATGAGTGTGTGTGTGTCCGTGTGTCTTAAGGCTATGTGCTTGCACGTGGATAAAAAGGAATTCTGAATGATACGCAAGAAACTACTAACCACAATTACCCCTAGGAAGTATGAAGGAGAAGGGTTAAAAGTGAAAAAGGAGGAAACAAATATTTTTCATTTTGTAAACTTCTGTTCTCTTAATATTTTTAATGAAGTACATATATATTTTTCCTTTTAAAAAATAGATCCAATTCTCAATCATAAATACTAGAAGGATAGAAAGCCTAATGCAGAATTTTCTTTTAGCTATGTTTAAGTTAAGAAATTAATTTAAAAAACACCTTTGCACTTCCCAGGTGCATATAAATTGCTAGTAAGAAAACCCGTGGGGGTCGGGCAAGGAAGAGATGGAAGGGATCATATGTTTGCATCATGCGCCAAACTTGAGATAAAGAATCCTTACAATATCTAACCAGGCCTGACTACGCTATATCTACAGAGAGACTTTTAATAATACCTTTCATTGGAGAAACACCCCACAGATGTGAGACATCTGGATGTGGAGACTCTGATGCTTGCTAACAAAAGGGGAATGGAGTTACCTGACAAGATGACTGAGCTCTGGTTTCAAGACTCAAAGTCAACAGATTATTTCAACCACAGTCATCAGAAACAAGTTTGTGTCCGGCAGTTGGCACTTCCACGAGCAGACAGATGTCTGTTGCAGCATCCACCACATGCTGATTTCCCCTGGGGCCACACTTACCCGTCTTGGGGCAGGAGGACCAGAGCCCTGGGCCGGTCGAGCACAGAGGAGTTGACAATCGTGAGTCGGAAGTCACCATCTGGATTAGCTACCTGACAAGAAAAAGGAGGGGGAAGGGGCCGGAGGGGAGGCCAAGATGGATCTGAGCTCCTTGAAAGCCCACATCACAGTTTCCTGCTGGGCTGCCGCCCACAGACACGCACCTCTGTGGCTGCCTGATTCCCCTGCAGACTTATCTGGGAAGCCTGCCCTGACTTCTGGTCAGAATGAGCTGTTTCCTCCTCGGGCTCATAGGACAATCCTTACATGGTCTGACAGAGGGGCCAGCGCTGTTGTCCATTCCCCGGTTCCGGGGGCATGAAGACAGATCTGCACAAAGTACTCAGGACATATTACTTATTTATCCCATCTACGCTGCTCCATGCTCCAAAGCCACCAATGGCTCCACACGGTCCACAAAACAAATATTCAACATCCCAGGCCTTACAATTAAGAATCTCCACAGACTTGGGCGACTGGGTGGCTCAGTTGGTTAAGTGACTGCCTTCAGCTCAGGTCATGATCCTGGAGTCCCGGGATCGAGTCCCGCATCGGGCTCCCTGCTCAGTGGGGAGTCTGCTTCTCCCTCTAACCCTCCCTCCTCTTGTGCTCTCTCTCTCTCTCTCATTCTCTCTCTCAAATAAATAAATAAAATCTTTAAAAAAAAAAAAGAATCTCCACAGACTTTTAATTCTCTCTCCTCCATATTCTCTCTCGTCCACTTCAGCCCCGACAACTTCAAGGAGGCCGGCCTTCTCATGGTTCTCAAAACCTGACATACTCCAACTTGTCTGTCTGCTCTCGCCCTGTCCCCTCCCAGGCCTGTCCTCTCCTCCATAATCAAATCGCGTCTCTCCTTCAGAACTCCCCTCCAGGCCCAGCTCCTCAGCTAACTCCTCTGACTTGCTTTCCTCAATGAGCATCTACAGTTCTTGCCAGTGACTCATTTTACCATTTCGCACAAACGGTACCTGCGCGGTATGCTGCGAGAGTGTGGACACTTAGGCTTTACGGCATCCCTCCAGCACCTGGCAAAGTGCTGACCACACACAATTAAAGAAAGGAGAGACACAGTAATCACAAGACCACTGATGCCCTACTCAGTACGTGTCAGGCACTGTGCGTCTTCTCACTCGCTTCCCCCAGCCGCACTGTGAGGTGGACACTACCCTCTCCTCAGGGCTCGGCTCAGATGCCACATCCTCAAGGCCTTCCTGCCCCCCTCCACAGTCACATGATCACACTGCCCCGTTGGCCAGGCCCTCTAGGATTCATCGCTGACAGAACTGATAGACGTTTGTCTTCAGTGGTTTGCTTCCTCCACTCACATCTCATCTCTCTCAGAACAGGAACTTGTGTGTCTCATCTACTGTTGTATTCTCACAGCCTCAAACCATACCTGGCAGGCACCATGCAAGAAAGAGCACCCGTCCAACGACGGGGTGGATCAATTCTGTCTCAGACACTGGAAACTGAAGCTTCAGGGGATAAGAAACTCGCCCAAGTCATTTAAGCTACCAGAATGAAGACTGAACCCAGGTCTGGCGCTCGACTTTGGGACTTTCGTCTTGCTGACTTCTCCCGACAGTGACTCCCTGCCTCTACTGAGCTTTCCACGTGACCCACACGCCGTGTCCCCCCGTAGTCAGGACAAAAAGGGGTGGAGACAATGAGCCAGGGCCTCAGCCTTGACTTCTGGGAGGTGAATGTGCCTATGAGACCATGACTTTGATGTTGGAGAGGCCCTTTCTTACCCTCATGTGGCCTTAGGTCGCTAAGGTGCAGATAAGTAAAGTGGGCGAATAAGAGCACTGTTAACAGGGTTGTCGTGAGAACTGAATCCAATAATTCAAGCAAAGTGCTTCCAACCGGGCTTGGCACTGAATAAGTGCTTGTTGTCATCAATAATCATAATCATGATCATGATATTGTCTTAATCACTCTAATCAACTCCAATAATACTAGAGCACTGACAATACAGCACTATACTAATGCTATGGTATTATATAATTATCATTCTTGTTACCACCACATGCCTCGGCTGGCCAAAACAGAATCGTTCGGGGCATCTTAATGAAATCTCTGACGGGTTCAGGCATCCTGTTCTCACGGGGGGCCTTCAGGACAACGGGCATGAATTCTGGAACTATCCCCCTTTTCTTCCTTTCCCGGAGGCTCCGCTGGTCCATTCTCTGGAATTCTCAAAGAATTTCCAGAGAAGTCGGACACACTGGCTCCGCCCCCTGTGCCAAACCTGGCTCAAAGCCCAGGTGCTCCCCCTGCCTGCTTAATTAAGGACAGCATGGGATACACATACCTCGATCTTTTTAAAGCCAGAGTCCACCCAATAAAGTAACTGGCTGAGGGGTTCAAAAGCCAAGGCTTCTACGGTCTCCAAGCCAGAATTGATGATCACCTCCTGCCCTGTACTCCCATTCAAACAGAGGCGCTAAAGAGAGGGTGGAAAAAAGGCTGTGAGTACGCGAATGACCTCGTGCCAACTCAAGTCCCATGGATGGCAACCCTTTACTCCACAGGCTTTGACCGGCAAGGGATGAGGTATCTTCTATCAGTAAATTTTCCACATGGGCGAAGCCGGTTTTTAACAAAAGCTTTTCTAAAATGTATTAACGGCTTCCTGTTTCAAGGAGACTCTAGAGCTACACAGAACTTACTCATTGATATTACTCGGCATCATCCTCATGAACGCTGGTAACTGAACAATGCTGTATCCCAGTAATGAGGTTGGAGATTACTGAGAAGCATGAGTCTGCTTTTGAAATAAATGAAACCAGACTGCTGTTATTTTTAAGTTCTTGAGTTGGCTTTTCTAGGCTCTCCTCCCTTGGGAGGCTCCTGGCCGTCAGGTGCTGTCGCTGGGACAAGCTAAACTGAGTGGTCACTGGCGTGCCCCAGCCCCAGCCCCTCAAAAACCCAGGCACTGTAACATTTCTGCTGGGTTGGAAGTCCAGATAAAACTTGTTGGAATTGCTTTTCTAAAAAGGATTAAATAGGCAATGAATAAAGATCAAATAGCTCTCCTTTTAAAATGCATGGGCTTGAGTCTATGGCTAACTAGCTGGCCCGTGTGGAGATCTTTATAGTTCACTTGCTGGTTCTTGGCTGTGTTCAGAATAGCTGAAGTGGGTAATTACATGAACTACGGGTAAGTCAAGTGTTCCTGTATCGCGGCTCGGGAAGAAGGTCGCCTCAGAGGCAGCTGGTGTGATAGTGACTCATCATCCTATACTCCTAATCCTCAAATCTTCCCAGCAGGAAAAGGGAAGCCTCACTTACAAGCAAGACAGCAGAGTTGGGGCTCCCTTAGTCCTTCCTACAAGGACAGAGGTGGGCAGGGCAAGAAAATACCGAAACAGAAGAATGCAAGGTTTCATCCGTCAGCCCTGAGAGGAGTTACAACTTAAAACTTCTAATACCCATTTCCCTAGGCCGTCCTGAAGGAAGCTTATCAGGATTGGGCAGTCACAAGGCACGGCCCCCACGAGCGGACCGAGGGTTGATGTACCTGGATGGTGTCCAAGGCCAGGTCAGACCAATACAAGCAGTTGTGCTCAGAGTCAAAGTCCAGGGCCACTGCGGCCCGTAGCCCCGTGAGGGGCAGCTGCTCGGTGGCTCCCGAGGCCAGGTCATAGCGGTGGATGGACTTCCGCATGGCGTACAGGATGAATTCATTCTCCTCTGCAAAGACACAAACAACAGAAAGGGTGGATGAGGGGGATGCTGAGGAGTCCCAGCATGTCTGACCTTCTTTCTGCTCACACATAAACCTCAGAGCCCCAGACACACATGGCACAGATCAAGTGGAAGAGCGTCGGAATCAAGACTGAGAAGGTGTGAAAAATGGAATCCCATTTCTGCCTTGAAGGGCAAGTTACTCCAACTCCTGTAAATCTGTTTTCTCGTCTGCAAACTGTCTTACTTGTTATAATTGTTTTTTTTTTCTTTTTTTTTAATTTAGAGGCCCCAGTCATGCTCCAACATCCACGCTTCTGAGCTCGGCTCAGAAGTCTTTAGAGTCACACATGACAAAATAATTAGCCCACTCGGCATGCTCTCCCTCGTCACGTGACTGTATCACATGGCACCATAATCATGTTGAGGAGAGACCCTTAGTCCCTGAAGACTTGTAGCTAATCTGTTTGCTCACCCATCCAATATTATTCACAATGACATACAGCAATTACATCAACCTATTATAGTTTCAACACAGTAACAGTACATTTGTCCCTGAATACTTACAAAATGTTTCCCAACACAATCATCGCAAAGGTCCTATTTCTTCTTGACAAACCCCGTACAACGTCCGTACTACGTACCAGGCATTGTTCACTGGTATAATGACTGCATCGTGGAAGGACCACTACGAACTCAATTTTAAAAATGAGAAAACAGACAGCAGAGAGGTTAACGCACTCGAGGTCACACAACTAATAAGTGGCAGGACCAAGGCTTGAACTCGGGCAGTCTGGATCCAGAATCTGTATTTTACCCCCTACACAATGCTGCCTCTTGTGATGTAGAGGCTAACGCTGTCGTTTTTTAAGACACAGAAATAGAGGCCCTGAGTGCTTAAGAAGACTTACTAATGTCAGACAACGAGTAACTAGAAGAGCTAAAACATGCAGACTCTTCTACGGTGACAGAGATGCACAACACACCTGCATCCATGTCTAAGGCGACCACTTTGACGGTAGGCTGCATGTGGGACCTGATCCCTCTACTGCACGCCCGCACAGTGACGATTTCTCTCTCTATCCCTCATTCCCTTCATTCAGTGAGTTCACACGCACTAGCTACCCGCTTTACAAGGGCTCCCACACAGATAATGCATAAATAAATCGATCTACAGGGTTTTTGGTTTTTTTTCTAAGATTTTATTTATTTGACAGAGAGAGACAGCAAGAGAGGGGACACAAGCAGGGGGAGTGGGAGAGGGAGAAGCAGGCTTCCCGCGGAGCAGGGAGCCTGATGCAGGGCTCGATCCCAGGACCCTGAGATCATGACCTGAGCCAAAGGCAGACACTTAACGACTGAGCCACCCAGGTGCCCCTCTACTCACAGTTTTTAATAAAGGTAAGTTTGCCTTCTCTTCCTTTGGTCTCACTGCACTTCAACAGTATCTAAGCCACCACCACATGGTAACCAATCTCTTCTTCTGGTTTTCAAGAAAAGCTTCCCACCGTACTTCCCAGTGAAGGGGATCGTTAAGATGAAACCTGCCGAGCCTGTAAATGACCCAGAAACCGAGGACTCTCATCGAAGCTGCCACGGAGAGCCATGGAGGTTACACTCACAGCAGCAAGCCTCCCACCCACGTCTCTAACATCCGCAAACCCCGTTCTGTGGCTTCGGTTTTTCTTCTAACCAACTGATGCCTTTACAGCAAAGCCTGGGTCCAGAAAGACTTGCCTTAGGATTAGGTAGAGAGGAACATTCTGCATTTCCTGTGTTCAAAACTTAACTTAGGAAAGGAACAGAATTCTTGGCCAATCCCAGCCATACCTGAGCACCGCCTGGTCTCTGTGTTATTATAGTAATCATAAAGGAAGAAGGATGACTTCATTTTTAAAAATCCTTCCAAGATGCCCAGACGACCTCCTCTTTGCAAAGATGCTATAGTTCCCATCAGCTGTAGGAAAGCTTCCTTTCCTTTCGTGGTATACCTTGCCTTCTGTGCCACATATTTTTTTTTTTTTTTTTTTTACACTTAGGAGGTGGCCTACACGACAAACGTGATTTTTCCACTTTGTTCCCTGTTCTATTTTTCTCCTCTCAGAAAAGAAAATAGCATCCGGGTGGCTCAGTCACTAAGCGTCTGCCTTCAGCTCAGGTCATGATCCCAGGGTCCGGGGATCGAGCCCCACATCAGGCTACCTGCTCCGCGGGAAGCCTGCTTCTCCCTCTCCCACTCCCCCTGCTTGTGTTCCCTCTCTCGCTGTGTCTTCTCTGTCAAATAAATAAATAAAATCTTAAAAAAAAAAAAAAAAAGAAAATAGCTTTCCTACCGGTTTAGATGGCTTTAAACAAACTGTTTTGTCCCTCACTGAGTTATCTCCAGAAATGTTTATTACAAAATCATGTACTCCAGCCCTTAAGAGCAATCACTCAAACCCTACTCACCCAAACCCTCATCAGTAACAGCTCTTGTGAGGAGCGTATTTGAATATTATCTGCTCATTTGTGGGAATCTGCTGAAGCTGTGTTCTTTTGAAGTCTCCACAGTGAGGGATGTTAATTACTCTGGTAATGATGGAAGATTAAATTAAAGGACTAATGAGCTTAGCATGAAAAACACCGGGGCACACTGGCAAGCAGCAAGTGAACAAGGGGGGCACTCTGCCCCGCCGGAGGAGGACCACGTGCTTCTTGCGGTCCAGCAGGCACTGATGGCTAGTCCATCAGACACCGCTGCCACGGATGCAAGTACGCGCCAACCATTCACCTTCACCGAGAGGTCAGAGCAGGAGGAAGGGCTCACAGAGAATAAGGAAGCTCTGCACGAATAAGTACTAGAAACAGAGCAGGAAAGGAAAGATGCTAAGAGATTAACTATTCGTGAGAATATCATCATTTCGAGACTAGATTGCAAATACCACACACCACTCACTCAACTTAAAGCATGTTTGGACCACACTCTCCCTTTACAACGTATGCACTCACTCCAGAGAAGTTTTTCCTAATGAGCATGCAGAATGATCCCCTAAAGTGATGGGAATGACACTCATTTGCCACTTGGGCAATATCCAATCCAATATCCGAGGAAGAGCATGAGGCTGAAGAGTCTGAATTTGAGCTCTGTCACTTACCAGGTGTGTGACCTTAAATAGGTGGATTAACCCTCTTCTCTGAACATGCTTCTTTATTTTTTTTTTTAAATGGAGCTTATGACACAGTCTGCTCCACTGGGTAGTGATAAGGATTAAAACAACAACACGTGGAAAAGTACATTAAAATGTGTGAAATTCCATTAAAGTATTCATTATACTTATTACTATAAAAGTTAAGATAGACCACTTCGCATCCCCCAAAGACGCAAGTCTCTCTATATTCAACTCTGACAAACAGATCGAGGAACACATAAAAGCCTCCCCCTCACCCATCCCTAGGATACAAGAGATGCAGAATAAACACTTCTCACTGAACTTCTCACTTCTCCCTCAAAAAATACTTTCCATTCCTACGAAAGCATAAGGCTATAAATAAATTTGGTTTGGATACCAAGCTTAGGGGGAAAGGGGAGCTCTGTGATGCTTGTAATTTCCATGTCTTTCCTCCACTAAGCTAGAAGAACCACAACACTAGACCTGTGTGAGATTGCAAGGATGCTGTAGTAAGTATCTCAAGAACTCAAAGGCAAGAAACCACCTCTTACCTGCCAAGGGACATGGGACCAGTTCTCCTTCAAGCCGTGTTTCAACATCTCCTCCACTACAAGTGTCCCCAGAAATCTTCCGATAGCTGTCACCCCCCCCACCCCAAGAGCAAGAGGTTAGACACAATCAGGAATAGTCATTAAGTCTCCATAATTGGAAATATATTTCCTATCCATGGACAATAGCGTTCATCTATTCACTTCCCTACAGCACAAGACGACATGTAATTGTTCTGAATTGGTCCTGCTTAGAGTTACATTGGGCAGCCCACCCAGCTGGGAAGCTGTCCTGGGCAAAAGTTTACATATATCTCTCCAACAAACTCCTGGGAAGACACGTCCTTGCTGAAGTTTATGACTTAACACAAAGCTAGAGCTGCAGAGAGGCTCACAGATTTGCGTTTTTCTCGCTGAGGGTAGAAGAGTCTGTAAACATCCTAATTCTCAATATTGCCCAAGCTCCCTGAGACCTGCTAGCTTGGAATCCAAGCACTTGGAGTATGAAAGGAACCCAGGTGGTCCTCTCTGCTCTCAAGCCCAACGCAGACCCTCATGTCCCGGCTATGACGACCGGTGTGAGACATACCCTCTTGTTCTCCTGTAAGTAGAACCCACAGGACAAGGCACGGGAGGAGAGTAGGACTTCCCAGAAAACTCAGGATCCGGAACACAAACCTCTAAGAACAAATCTTCACTCATCTTGAAGCCGAAGTCACTAAAAAGGCAATCAGCGTTCATTAGGGCCATTGGTTTACATACCTGGGGCATGTCAGTACCAAACCTCGTGACTTCTCCCACAGCACCTACCGCTTTAATGTAAATTAAAAGAATTTTCACCTTTTTCCATTAATTAAAGAATTAAAGAATATTCACCTTTTTACATTAACACAGTTTCAAAAGAAACTTTACATCTGAGCCATGATTGGAAAACCATGATCATACGCCAAAAATAAGACAAAAACAATATAAATCATTATACCAAAAAACAAAATAATATTAAATTTTTTAGCTGGATCCAGTTCCCTACCTAAAGACTCTGGGTCTGCTTGGTCTTTGTTAAGAGGGATTAGGAAATGGGGGTGCCTAGGTGGCTCAGATGGTTAAGCGTCTGCCTTCAGCTCAGGTCATGATCACAGGGTCCTGGAATCGAGTCCGTCCAAAACGCTGCTGTTCAAAGGATGGGTTTACAGATAAGCAGGGAGCCTGCTTCTCCCTCTCCCTCTGCTGCTCCCCTGCTTGTGCTCTCTCTCTCTCTCTGTGTCAAATAAATTAATAAAATCTTTAAAAAAAATTTTTTTTTAAGTAGGGATTAGGAAATGGGGGTGCCTCAGTGGTGCAGTCGGTTAGGCATCTGACTCCCGGTTTTGGCTCAGGTCATGATCTCAGCGTCCTGGGATGGAGCCCTACATCGGGCTCCGTGCGCAGCACAGAGTCTGCTTGAGATTCTCTCCCTCTCCCTCTCCCTCTCTCTCTCTGCCCGTCCTATTCATGCTCGCTCTCTCTAAAATAAATAAAATCTTTAAAAAAAAAAAGGGATTAGGAAATGTAAAAAGTTACTAGCACCCAGTGATCCTCTCTCCTTGATGTGATTAGAAGAATTAAAAAAGAAATTTAAAAGAATAACCTTTTTTTAAAATTAAAGATTCAATGTTATTTAAAACCATGTCCATACTGTACTACCTAAAATTACCTTGGGTGTTCATCCTGCACTTCGGGACACAGTGCTTTGGTCCACGAGATCTTTCACAATTTGGAGGGCCACATATCTCTGCCAAAACACCCATCTCCAAGGGCAGAGCCCCAGAGTAGGAAGCAGGGAAGCGAGGTCTAGTCCCAAATCTGCCCTTTACTGCATGACTTGTCCGGACTGCATTCAACAACCCCAAGATGAGGCAACTGCCCTTAGCTAATTCCCGAAGCCCCAACCAAAACTTAAATTCTAATTCAAAGGGATTTTCCACATTGATGTGCTCTACTCAAAAGGCTTCATTTACTCTATTCAGTCCAATGAATACTTATTTAACACCGTCTCCACAAGAAGTATTAACAGGTCCAGGGCTAAGTGGTTTGTGTTGTTTATTGTGTCATAATCCACATTTAGCAATTTGTAGGGATTTTTCAGAAGGGAGAGCTTTATTACTGTACTGAACGGGTCTCATTCATTAAATTAGGTGATTTTTACCGAACAGCCGCTTAAAATCTTTTTGGGGGCCAGGTGGAGCTTTAGCTAATTACATATTTGCCTCCAATGGCAAAGCACCCATTCCTAGGGAGGTTTCTTCAATCTGTAGGTTATGGCCTAACAGGCTGTGAATACACACTGGAGAGTCAAGCCCAGCTTCTGAAATTAGCTATCTCTGAAACCAGGGAACATATGGGCCAGTGGGTGGGCTTCCCAGAGAGGTGAGAAAGGACTGTCAGAAGCAACCAGACTCTCCAATGTAGTTGTCCGTCAGGAGCTGACCTAATGCAGAGACTATAAGTTCCCTCATTCTCATTTCCCCCCCTGCTGTCAACCTTCAGACCATCTCTTTCCTCACAGCCACAGTCCAAGAGCCACACAGTCCAGCCAGCTTCTTTCCAGCAGCTGCACAAACACAGGCCTTGGGCCATCACCCTCACGATCTCATGTGGCCTAAAGCCCAACTCCATGAGGGGCAAGGGCAGGTGGTTTTCCTGGTCTATAAGAAAGGCTCAGCACCTCGTGGGTTTCCATGAGTTTGCTGGGGTGAGCGTGCAGACCAGCGGGAGCCAGGCCAGTTTACCAAGAAGGCACACCAGCCTCTGGTTTTGGTTTGTTGTTGTTGTTGTTGTTTTGGAAGAAGAGGGGCAGATTTTAGAGAAAAAGCACGGTAGTGGTCATTAAGAAAAAAAAAAAAACCAAAGAGTTGTTAGATTTTCTTGCATGTTTTTTTACTTCATTTTGTTTTGAAGTAGTTAATGCGGATACGAGAGGGGGGAAAGAGAGCACTAGAATTTTGTTCCACCGAGGGCCTGGGCCTCTACAGTCAGGGGGACCTCAGGTCAGCAAAAACTCTCCGATTAGAATTACAATTTGGGGGTATCGAAGGGAGAGCAGAAGGCAGCAAAGGGGCACTGGACTGACACCTCTGGGAACATCAAACAGCTCTGTGGTTTTGCAGTGGAAGGGTCTACGCTGTTATCTTGGAGCCACAGAGCTTTCAAAGGCAATGCACATCTTGTGCCGTCCAAAACCCTGCTGCTGTTCAAAGGATGGGTTTACAGATAAGCAGCACCGGGATCGGCCAGAGCCTGGCTAGAACTAGAGAATCAGAGCCGGCATTTTCACAAGATCCCAGGTGATGCACACGCACACTCGGGTTCCAGAAGTACTGGTCTAGGGCAGGAGCTAGCCAAGCCTGGTTAGCTGTTCTCACAAAGAAAGCTTTATGGGGCCACAGCCATGCCCCCATTCGCCACCTACAGCTGCTTCCATGCTCCTGCGAGCAGTCGCGGAGCCGCCCACAGACACCCTATGGCCGGCAAAGCCGAAAGCGTTTACTCCGTGGCCCTGGCCCAACCCCTGGACTAGCACGTATCAGAGGCTTCTGGCTTTCATCAAGATAAGTGTGGCTTCCCAAAGCAAACTTTAGATTTTTAGGGGCCTGGCCCACTACTGAGAAATGAGTTACATGCTTAGTTCGATACCCATGCTCTACCAATGACCCGCCTCACCTGGGGTGATTTCATGCAGGATTGCAGACTCAAAGGACTGCCTCGGGGCTCCGAGATCCTATGTGCTTTCCAGCTAGAATCCTCTTCCAAAGCTAAGCTCTGTTCTGATCATCGACTGTCCTCGAAAGCCTTCAAAGACCCCCACCTGCTTACAGAATAAGGCCTGTACCCTCTTTCTGTCTCCACCCTCCCTGATCAACCTCAGCTGCACTCACTGGCCTCACTTTATGCCTCCAAGGCAGCTGAGCCAAACCTCCAGTGCCTTCCCCACCTCCACCCCTCCCCACGGCGGCCATATCTCAGACTGCTCCTGTCCACAGATCCAGGTACTTCCTTAAGGCCCATCTCAAACAGCACAGCCCGCCAAAACTTCCTGATTTGCCAGAAGCACATCAGTCTCCTCCTTCCTGCCAATAATCCCAATAAAAGTACCCATTCCTCCTCCAAGGTGTATTGCAGCTTTCCCTCTCCAGCCACGTTATTTGTGTACCTGTTCTGCTTCCCCCCTTCTCAGCCATGCCTTGGGTACTCTGCTTCAGGACAGAGGAATATACAAATATATATATATATGGGCTGACATCGCCTCGTTTCTGTAGCATAGGGCTCCCTAAGGAAAAGGAGTGTCACCTACAGTGGAATCTTGAAGCTGCCCTCGTAGAAGTAAATCCCAGGGTGATCTCTTCCTAAATCAGCTACTGCAGCTTCCCTAGGGTGTGACACCTCTCCCTCATTTCGTAGCTGTAAGAACGAAATGGAATAAACTAGGTAGAAGGTGCCTAGCACATAAAAAAAAAATGCTTAATACCAAGTGACTTCCTTTGATCCGCCTTCTTTTGCTCAGGGGAAGGGACCGTGCCCTAGTCTTGTGGGCCACGCCGCTGGCTGAGGAAGACACAACCCAGCCCCCGGGGAACTGAAGAAGAACCAACCATTCGAAGTCCTCTCGCGTGCAGGAGCAGTTGGATATGACCACCGGCCTGTCAAAGTCTTCTCCGTTAAAGCACGTGGCGTGGGGAGTCCTCCGTTTGAAAACGGTCTTGTGTCCTAGCAAACACTCGTTGCCCCGCTCATCAGATGGCGACCAGAGCTTGTAGTCGTTCTCTGTGCAGGGAACCCCTGGGGAAAAGGAAACGCAGCTGGAAGCATTTGAGGGAGACCTGCGCATGCAGGCTTTCCCGTCTTCCCCAGCCCCGGGCCCGAGCACCCGCGTCTGGCACACCCTGCTGCTGCTCAGCAGGCACACAGGCCTCTGCAGCTATCCCAAGCCTCTAATCAGCTTGCTCTGACGCCGGGAGGCACCCATGCCAATGGACATGGTACCTCCTGAAACACAGATGCTCATCTCTGAGAAAGCTGGGAAGAAGCAAGCCACCTTTGGCACCATCTAAAAACTTCTGAAATCATTTAGCAGATTCTGCAGTTCCCTCCAGAAGTAGGTATCAGAGGGGTTTATCTCCCAGGGAGTTCGGGTCAGGCTGGATCCTGGATAGATAGATGGTGTCCTTCAGGAGTATGGTTTCCCACCTGCCTCCCACCTGCTTCCTGGGCAGGGTGGGCACGCCTGGAAGCAACAGCCCAAGAAAGCAATAGATAATTCACTCTCACTACTTGGAAGGTAAAGAATCTTCAGGGAAGGAGGCTGAGGAACAGTAGAGCAGCCTGGATGATCGCTCCACTTTCACTTGGAATTTAAGTAGAGCGGTTTCTACAGGAATTCCAACAGATGCCTATGTCTACACTGGTACTCTATGTCTTCTTTATAGATGTGTCTTCCATCGGATTACATGCTGCCTGCAACTGATGAAAAGCTGTCAGCTCGTCGCCATTCCCATCAGCAAGGACTTATTAAACCCTGGCTGTTAAGCTCTCTGGCTGTCCAGTGGGTAGAAAATACACATGCACGGGACAGGTTCTTATTTCCGAGGACCTTATAATCTAGTTGATGGGGGATGATACAAACAGGGTGACAGACAAGAATGCAGAATGCAGGGCGTGAGGAGTATGCTTATGCTCTGGACACAGAGAAGAGGGGAGAGGTCCTCTGGTAGGGATATTAGCAGCCAAGCGCACTCGACCTTGAAACAGGGAAAGGATTTCAATCAGCAGAAAGTGACTGGGGAGCAGAGGGGACATTTCGGTCAGCTGGAAGGATGTGCGCCCAGGCAGGGGGAGGAGGAGGAAAGAGCAGGGCTGCGGTGGGGGCGGGGGGAGGTACAGGGGAGGAAGGAAGATGTGGAGTCACACCTCTCCCTGCTTCCTTGCAAGTCCTGTGCCTACCCTAGCGGACGCAGAGGAGATCCTAGACAGCTGGGAGGACCCTGCATCGTCTGGTACCCAGCCATTCACATGGGAGTCACTCGCTTGATCTGTCAAACCAGAACCGCTGACTGGGAAGAACAGTTTTCATTTACTCACATGCTAAACACATGTATACCTAAGCCTACTGTGTACCAGTGATTGCGCAGGGAATGAGGGCACGAGATAACACAAGGTCCTCCCAAGAGTGGCCTGAGTAACTCTCTTCACACGTCCCAGTCACTGACTGCATACGTGTGCACCTCCTTGCACGGCTACACTCTCCGAGGTACAGAGGACTTAAGCGGATGCTCTGGTCAGCACAGATTTCCACCAAAAGGGCCAAGGAGGCAGCGGCTTACCCAAGGCATCTGTGGCATTGACCTGAAGGATCAGCCAGTTGTGGACATTCTCTTTGTTGGAGCCAAAGATGGTGAAGACAGTGCTCTTCTCGCCGGGCTCCGTGAGGAGTCCGTACACAAACACTGGCCTCTCGGAGAAGATGAACGTTTTCCAGGTCTCCCCTTCATTGGTGCTGTATCTATCCAAAAACGAGGAAGAGAATCCTTGCAGTTAGAGTCTCTAGGGCAAAGGCTTGGTTTCCAGATAACATTCACTAGGGAGGGGAGCCAGGCCTCCTTGGAGAAATGGCTGTGGCAGAGAACGTTAGGGTTGTGCCAGAAAGCAAGGAAGGGCTCAGGGACTAATGTGATCGGTGCAAAAGGACACGGCAGCCAGCTCGACGGAGCTCCAGCTGGTCAGTTTGGGACAATCTGAACATAAGAAAAATGATGGTAACAGATTATACACTAAATAAAAATAGGGTAAGGGTCTGAATGATCCAAAAAGGGACAGAGAAGGGAAGGAGGGAAATGTTTTTCTTATATTACAATGCTACCTGATATATTTTGAAAACGATAACAGCATGAGAAAAATGACCATCCATCACCCACAATCTAGTAATGGACCAGGCAACATGATCACTGGATGCTAAAACCACTGGGTGGAAAAGAGGGCTGGGGACCTGGGTGTTCACATGGTCTAAAACAACCAACCCACAGATGAATCATGCACTACAAACGGGGAAATGCAATTCTACAGCAGACCAGAGTCACAGCCTCCACCAGACTTAGCACCACGAACAATGGAACAATCTAATGTTACAGGCCTCTTGGATAAAGCACTGCGAATACCACATCGTCTGTGTGCTATTCTGTACATCCAGACAAATCCAGCATGGGCGACATTCTACATAGCAACTGGTCTGGATTCTTCCAAAACAAAAGTGAGGCCATGAAAAACTTAACAAACCAACAAAAGAAGGCAGAAGGCTTGTTACAAAGAGACTAAAGAGGTGTTAACGACCACATGCAATGTGTAAACCCTGACTGAATCCTGGATGGGGTGGCGGGAGGCAGCGGTCCATATATAAATATAAATACAGCGGATAAGGGACACTGAGCTCCTGTTAATTTTCTTAGGTGTGATAATGGCATTCTGATTGCATAGGAAAATACCCTTATTTATTGGAGATACATGTTTTCGGTATTCAGCTGTGAAGGGGCATGATGGCTGCAACTTTGTTTCCAATGACTCCGCAAAGGATAGACAGATGGAAAGACAGGCAGACAGGATGAACGCGTAGCTGACAGAAGTAAAGCAAATTGGCAGAATGTTAACAACTGCTGATTCTGAGTGAACTTATGTGAGTGTTTTTTACACAACTCTTGTACCTTTTCCTGAGGTCTGACAGATTTTTAAGTTGGAGAAAAAAATATGTGCAGAAAGAACTCTCCAAGGAGGACTACCTCAGAACAAGAAAGCAAGCTCTTGAAAAAAATCAGCACTGAAAATAATTGTGCTGATTTTAAATTATCTTTTGTATTGAAGGGGAGGAGAAGGGGAAAATCTGCCTAACACTTGCTTCATCACCCAGTACGCTGGCGACATGCTCAGCCTGAGAAACCGCTCAGTGAAAGCTTCCACGGAGCTCTAGGGGTCAGTCTGAAATCCTAACGACACACAAAACGTCTTTCTTTCACCTTTCCCCTATTTTTGAGATTTTAGTTTGACTCCCTCGGCATCCTCATCCTTGACATAAATCTTTTCAGGACATCATGGGATCCAAATACTTCCTCCCCTGGTGAGATTACTAAAATGGATACTTCTGCAAGAGGCTTCAAGTTCAAACGGGTGGGGGGTGGGGAGGGGCTACAAGGCAACATAAGTAATGAATGTCAGGGAGGACTAAGTGACTCCTCCACAGATCTTCCAAAGAGGACAAATTCTCCTCTGGTTGAAACACTTTTGGTTGAAGCTAATTTTGAAATAGATCTGGGGATAAATGAACTAGTTCACTTGCCTTATTCCAGCAGCATCGGTCCATTATCCAGGCAGGATGGGAGCCATCCATCTGCTCTGTGATAATGCTGGAAGTCCATCTATTTGCACATTGCTTAGTTAATTCAATTTAAGAGCTCCTCAAACCCCAGATAACCTTTGGAATTGAAGCATCCCATTTCTTGAGAGGTTCCCAGAGGACTCTGGGAGGACGCTTGAATGAGACGAAGAAGCAGGTGCATGGCCAAGCACAGCCATGTATTCAAGAATAAACTGTGCATTTAGAAAATGATGATTTTCAGAATTTCGGGGAAAGGGGCAGGTCACATTACCACTGCAACAGTCTGGGGGATCATCTACTCTGGACCAAGTTCTGATCCCTAGAGGAGGACTTGTTTTGATGATGTGAAAATAACAAGACTTTGCAAGAAAACAAACCCAAGTCATCTCTGGGCTCCTCCAATCACAAAAGACCCCAATCTTTAGGAATGGAGGCTTCAAAACGTCCCGATAAAAATACAGACATAAACCCTACGATCAGAAACTCTCAAGAGGATGGGAAGGTCATTTAATAGAATAAATGTAATATAACATAAATATAACCACAGATGCACTAAGTAAAAGAAGTGTTGACAGATACTCAACTGAAGACCCTACCGTGTGGCTAGCTGTCCAGAAAGGTCCTTGATGAACTCCAATTTTTAAACAGCATGTTCATGATGAGGAAAGAGTCTTATAACCAAAGGCAAAAAAGTCAAGAGCAGCAGTGATCTGCTAGTTAATTCTAGCTATAATTCTTACAGCAAGTGATCTGTAGGAACAGTGGCCAAACAACTTAAATTCAAAGGGAGTCAAATTATAAAAATAAGTGGTAGATTAGTGGGTCAGCGGGATGGTGGGATGGTTGCCTGGTAAATTCTACAAAGAATTAGCAAAAAATTCTATAAAGAACTAGAAAGGATCATCCTTCTGATGGTCAATGGTTTAAATAGTAACAACAAGAAAAAAAAGAACCACTCAATTTCTATTTTGGTTGTATCTTTATCAAGAATCATCATCTTCAAACTGGACAAGGCAGGAAAAAAAATCAGGGACTTTAAAAGAAAATAAGCACAAAAGAATGCACGTTCTAGGGAATGGAAAGACTTAAAAATACGATTGCAGAGTTCCTTCTAAGAATCTCAGAAAGAACCCTGGAGAACAGACAGAGATCTCTCAAAGCCCAGAGGAGGAAGAATAGCTTTACTTCCCTAAAGAAGAAAAGGTGGTTTCAAGAATGGTAACAGCTGATCTGATGGGTCGTAGAACAGAAGGAAGTCAGTCAGGGATGGGATTCACATGGTTTCACATACAAGTCACAACAAACAAATCCCGTTTTCCTTTTCTCATGGTAATCCTTGATTGGAAGAAGAGGGTAATAATACAAAACATTTCTTTTTTTCATCAGGATCTTTGTGGGCCACACAGCTAGATAAGATGCACTGTTGCTCAAGTAAGTCCCAAGTGTGCTGATTGCTGACATATCGTGTGACCTCAACCCCAGATGAGACCTCTGGTCCCCACACCGCTCAACGCCTTCGTCAAGGATATGAATAACAATATGGAAGATCTGCAAAGCAGACAAGGCTAATTGTCCCGATAATGCAATTAATGCCGAAACAGGGTTCAAAACCCTTTTATTACATCAAAAGGAGAAGCAAAAATGAGAATGAAGTTCCACATGTTGTTTCAAAAACCCACCTGCTCAGATACAGGATGGAGAAAATCTGGTCTTTAATAAAATTCATAAGAAAAAAAGGATCTCTATGTTTAGTAGTTAAACTGAACTTGAGCTACTGATATAAGTCACAGCAGAGATAGAATCTCAAAAACATGCTGAGTAAAAGAAGCCAAATACAAACGCAGGAAATTCTGGAATAGGCAGAACTAACCTACAGTGGTAAAAATATAATCAGTCCATCAGTTGCCTCTAACTGGGGTAGGGCAGGGGCGGTGGTGGGGAGGGGGCATGTAGGTATTTTCTGGGGTGATGGAAATTCTCTGCATCTTGACAAGAACCCTCCGGAAACGATTAAGTGGTATATTTACAACCTGAGCATCTCATGGTGTGCAAATGGATACCTCAATTTTTTAAAAATAATTCAGTAGAAGCTAAAAAGTAGGGAGGCTGTCAAAAGAGTAAAACCAGTCTCGGGTGTTCACTAGCAGGAACTGAACGTCCCAAGCCATGTCGGTGTTAATCCCTGTATGCTGGGGTCAGACCTGGGCCCCACCTGTTAAAAGCACTGACATGGGGAGGTAGGGCCTAAAGGACACCCAGGTGGTGGAGAGTTGGGATCCCATGGCAGCGGAGGAAAGGAAGTGGAGCCATTTGCCACGGAATGGGAGCCATATGGGAGGGATTGGGGGGGCGTGGCTCAGACACCTGCAAGGTGTTCAGGTGAAGGAGGAAACACCCTGTGTGTGTGCGTCCTGGCAGCAGAACCAAGCCCACTAACCAGAAACCAGAGAGAAGAGAATTCAGGCTCTCTCTGACTTGAGGACTTTCCTTCATAAAGGAATAAATGGATAAACAGAGTGAGGGAATGAAGAAACGATCAACAATCTGTCTCAAAGTGAAACGAAAGCCCCTTCTGATCTGGCCACTCCCCATCACTCAAACTGTCCAAGCAAAGACTGGAAGATCTTCCATCACAGTAATCAAGAGAAAATGCGTGCAGGGGCTGGTGGAAGGCAGATGATGGGATATGTGTAGATTCCTGCTGGACCTCTCCCCGTGCACAGCCCAGAGCAATCCGGTCCGACTTGTCCAAATCCACATGCATCCATCCCATGGCCCTTCAGGGCCTTTTAAGTGCACCTGATCATCACCCCAGGCTGGCCAAGAGCAGTCCTGCGCCTTTGCCCCCAAAATGCTTAATCCTCCCCCTCCACCCCCCAGCTTCCGTTCTCACCTCCAATCGTCTTTTAAATTTATCCTCCTCAGCTTACCAGGGCTCCCTTTCTGTAACACCACGTCTAGCCATATCTAGCCACGTCGTTCCCCTACTGAAAACTCTAAAGGGACACTACCACTTCAAAAGCCAAGCCTGATCTCTCCAGTGCAGCAAGCATGATCCTCCAGCTCCTAGACCCTACCTACACCTACCTCAATCCCCATGTCTCAGCACCTCCTCCTGCAATCTGCATACTATCAGTACTAAAGCCTTCTACCTTCCATGCTGGTTTATGCTGGGCCTTCCGTGCCCAAGGTCTTTCTAACCCCGAAGTGGCACTCCAACCTTGCTCAAGCTCCTCTCCCCCATCCTTCCTTCTCCTGGCCCCCATTCTGTGCTCCCACAGCCCCCTGGGCTCCCTCTACCTTATATTCTACTCTGTTTTCATGGCCTGAATTTGCAAGCATATCCTACTAGACTGATATGTGCCAGGAACAAACCCACTTACTCACTTTTCTGCCCCTGGCACCTGGCACCTTTCTTGGCACACAGAAGGGGCGTTAATTAACGTTTGCTAAAGGAGATGAAATGAACTGCACTGTATTTTTTCAACCCCATTAACTCAGTCTCTTAACAGTTTAAAAGGTGGTAACACCTGATCCACTGTAACCCAAAGGCTAAAGAAACCAAGTGAGGGAGGAAATGTAGCAGGCGGGGGCGGCTCTCTGCAACTGTCCCACTAAGTGTTACCACTGACATTAGGTGCTGCCATCAAGCGTGCAAGTTAACTGTCATCTCCCACATTCTCGAACCGGGGGGTTGCCTCCAGAACTCAGGTCCTGAAAAAACAGCTGCTGGGTGTAATCTCTGCACGATCTTTGAGGGGCTTCTGTGGGAAAGCCCTACGAAATCAGAAATGTCCCGCGGGGAAAGACACTGTTGGGCAAGTCCAAAATACTATTATTAACTACCAAGGACAGCATTTTGCTGGCAGGTAAACCAGCAAGAAGAAATGGAAATTGATCTTATCTTTCATGGTCAAGCCAAAGAACTTGTGTTTGGGTCTTTCTTTTTGGTCGAAGTTCAAGAACACAGCAGCCCCTTTTCTGAAGGACACAGGGATTATACACAAGAAAAACCTGCATCCCCTGAGCAGGTTCACCGTGACAGCACGCTGATCGGATGCGTATGTGAATCTCCAGAACAGGTTCTTATTTACTCATTTCAGACATGTAGACACAAGAGCAAAACAAAACGTTCCACTTCTTGCTCTCAATTTCAATTAGCAACAACAAAGGTAACAGCCTCAGTGGAGAGTCAAGGCAGAAGCTGAGACAAGTAACAGTCAACTCTTCGTTATCTGGGCTAATCAGGGAAAGAAAGACATGAATAATGTAAAAGAACAACAACCAAAACGAAACAAAACAAAACAAAAACCTCATTCTTATTTAAGCAATGTTCCAACCTCTGTCCCCACTAAAACTCTTACGAGAGTTCCTGATGTTACCCCGCATGGCTTTCTTCCCTAAGGCTCTGGGTCAGAACGCTCCCTTTCAGAATAAGCCCTCCCCTGGCCTCTCTCTCCAGTTGGCTCAGAAACATAACAGAGCCACAGGGGCATGAGCAGCTCCTGATGGATGCCTCACTCACCTTTGCACACTCGGTACCTAGAACAACGTCTGGTTCATTGTCCGTGTTCAACAAACGTTTGTTGTCCTTGACCTTAGATGACGTCTAACAGAAGTATGCTCAAGTTCCAGCTTGGGCCCTACCTACTGACAAGTCACATTATTTCAGAGGAAGGTGGACTGGGCCAGCCCTGGTGCCTCTGGGGGGCACACATCCAGGGAGGCCCCCATTCCCACTTGAGCTCCAGAAATTGTCATTACACAGAGGATGGTGGGAGTGGTCCCCTCATAGCCATGCACCTGCCACACTTCCGCACCCCTTCCAATTTTATAAATCAGCAAAGAAATAAGCAATCTTGGAAGACTAAGTGTGCATGACCTATTTATTGACCGATCAAACATTTACAAAGTGCCTGCTAGCCTGTACAGAATAGAAATACTGGCCAAAAGAACTTGCTAATGAGTTGAAGAATTCAGGCATATAATGAAAAGGTAACTGATGATAAGAAGCCCATATGTGATCGAGGCTCAATTAATGAGCCCGCCGATAAATGCTGAGACTCCAGGAGAGACATCACTGTGGTCGGGGAAGCCAGACTTGAAGGGGCCCGAAGCCCTAGCCCAGCAACAGAAACCCTTCCTCCACTCATGCTTGGTTATTACAGTAAGTCACCTCTGTGGTCTGAGGCTATGAACTAGATGCAGTATTATTTCCTGCTTGTCTTCTGATGAAGCTGATAGCACACAGCGACAGGTCAAAAGCAGAGTAGCCCGAGAAGCAGCAAAAAAATCTCTGAGAGCAACCTACTGAGTAAATGCCAGGTGGCTACAGATTTAGGCCAAGCTCTGACTGATATTTGGGACACATGCACCTGTCGAGAGGAGGCCGGAATATATCCTTCCTACTTGCAAATGCTTTATTTGAACCATACGCATGGATACCTCCAAATAACCTGCAGAAATAGAAGGGGGCTACAGTGCCCATAACCCCTCCGGTCCATAAACCCCGCGGTCATTTTTAAGCATCCGAGGGGGGCATGGTGATTTTCTGGCAGCGGGTTTCTTTCCCCAGCCGTGTTTTGCTCCAGCTACTGCAGCAATGATGCTGCGTTCCCTGAGCACATATGCACCAACAGATGGTGTCAGAGAACTGGAATCATGCTAACTACTTCAGGGGAGCCGGCTTGGAATGCAAATGCCATCTGCGGAGAAGTTAAACAGGGAACCTCAGAAACTGACTCTACGATGGGATGGCCACATGAAGAATGACATGTATGCTGCCCAGGGAGCCAAATTGTGTCCCCTGCTGGCGTTCTCCCACAGCCGAGTCCCCACCATCCCACTGTTCACCTGTACGTCTTACCCCTGGAGGATGGGCTCCTGACGAGGGAGGAGACAGATCCTCTTTATCTTTAGAAATGCAATACGCACTCCCCAGCACAATTCGTGCTTGCTAAACGTGCCAGATGGGAATTGATAAGTTAATGGATAAATAAATAAATGGCAGGAGAGATGTGGGAAACACAGGGCTTTGTGACTGTCCTCATCTGAGCAAACACCAATGGGAAGGTGGATACAGTGCTGTGTACAAACAGGACTTGCTCCCGGCTCTCAGCTCCACAGCAGCAGCTGACCAGCGCCACACAGAGCCGAGAACAGCCAGACGCCAGTGCTTAGCTTCCCTCTGCTTGTTTGAGGCCAGCCTACTCAGCACAGGTGGGAAACCAGATGCTACGATCTCTTTTTTCAAACTGCCCACCTCTCTCTTGCTGCTGGCCCTGTTTCTAAAAGGAGCAAAGGAAGAGAAGGCTTTCTTCTTTGCATTAAACAAGACCATTACTGAGGCCTCCCCACCTCCTATGGGAACACATCTCATGGGTTCAGCGCAAATACGGGGAGAAGGGAGGGCCAGTCTGCCCCGACCTACCGTTAACAAAATTAACTTTGGTCCTAACTCGCACAAAAATCCAAGAACTGGTTCTGATAACATCAGACTTGAGCAAGCAGAGGTGACAGACTCTCGACATGTTTGCTTTTCAGAGCAATACATTTGCAAAGAGTACAGAATGTAATTTAACGTCACTAACAAATGGGGGCATCCTCGGCAAGTTACTTTACCTTGCTGAGCCTCAGTTTTCTCATTTGTAAAACGAAGCAGTTAACCCCAAATGTCCCTTCCAGGCCTGTTTGTATGAATCCCGAAACCAAATGTGTCAACAGCGAAAGCCGACTGGTTACCAAGTAGGACGCATTCTGAAATTATTACTCAGGTATTATTATTATATATTATTATTTACTGTTCTTCTTATCACTCCTTCTATGTCACACACAAAGCAAAGATAGACAAGTTGAAATCTCTAGTTAATTTTTTAGTCATCGTGAATTCATATTTATATGGAGCTGTATTTTGTCAGATCAATAAAATTGTATCACTGGTTCCTTTTGATACCCCCTTGAGATAGGAAGGACAGATCATTATTCCTCCTCTATAGATAAGGAAAGTTTAAATAATTTGCTGAGGTCAACAGTAATTTGCTGTCAACAATCTAGTGCCTGTAGAGAGACAATCCGCTTGTACTTACAGACTTAAATTTCTGGGAGAGCAGTGTGATGTTAAGAGAAAAAGTTTCCTCAGAGACACTTACTTCAGCTCATTGGTTTCCATGCCCTGGGCGATGGCCATGATGATGCCGCCATGATCTCCCCAGGTGTAGTAGTGAGGTCCAGGAAGTGCCTGCAGAGGAAAAGCCAGTGCTGATACCACTGCTCTGGACTGACTGGGCAGAAACCATGCACACCACACGGGCACACACATAAGCACATGGCAGCGATGCCAACTGCTTGAATACAATTTTTCAGTTTCCAGAGCACATTCACATGCATTCCTTCATTTGCTCCACACAACCGTGGGTACGGGTCAGCACTTCTCATAGCCCCATTTCCCCCCCAGATGAAGAAACGAGGGTTCGTATTAAAGTGGCTCACTGTCAACAGCAGGAGTAGGAGTCAAGCGCCGACCTCAGACTCTCACCCACCAGGGATTACAATTTAACCATCTGGAGTTTGAGTTCTACCATGATCTATACGTATAAACCCAAGACAGCCCATCCTTCCTGCCGATACAAGGAAAAACTTTGAACAAGATACAAAAAAAGAGCTGCCCAAGGATGTTGAAAAGGAAACAAAATCAGGCAGCTTGTGCAGGGACTTCAAACCTGAGGAGCCACCACAAGGTTGGGGTTTCCTGGTATGGCTTTGCCCCAGGGGAAAGTCCCAGTCCTAGAACACCTCAGTCCCAGGTGGATGGCCACACTGTCAACAGAAACCGTTTCTGCGCCGGGGAAAATGTGGATGAAATGCCACAAGGGAGAGTATCAAAAAAGTCAATCCTCTAACTCTGTGTATGAACTCACACAAGCCTCACCCTAACCCCTAAACTACACATGTGTGGAACAGACTGAAACCAGCACAGCAAAGGTTTAGCAAACACAACGGAGATTTGCACTGCCACTCTCAGAATGCAGGAAGGAAACTATGGTCTGAATCTAAGCAGAATCACTACACGCTAAAATGAAAATATCCACCTCCTCCAGTAGATTGTATTCCATGCATGTCATTCACATGTCCAGGATACAACCCAAAATTACTCAACATGGACACCTGTCAATAAAACATGTCCAATTCTCAAGGGAAAAGGCAACCAACAGGTGCCAACCACAGATGGTTCAAATGCTGGAATTACCAAAGACTTGAAAATAATGATCATAACTGTGTCTCATGCGGTAAAGGAAAACATACTTGAAATGAATAAAAGATAAGAATTCTTCCCAGAGAAGTGGAAGCTATTTTTTAAGAAAGAATTTTAGAACAGAAAAATATAACATGTGAAGTAAGAAAATCACTAATGAGCTCAACAACAAAATGGAAATGACAGAGGAACTGGTGAAGCTGGTGATAAATATAGAACAGAAGAAATTATCCATTCTAAAGAACACACAAAAAAGAATGAAAAGGAAAAGAAGCCCCAAAGACTGGGAGGATAATAATAAAAGTGTGTGTGACTGGAGTCCAAGAAGAATAGGAAAAAGGGACCAGAGCAGAAAAAAAAATTTTTTCTTGAAGAAATAACGGCTGAAAATTTCCCAAATTTGGTGAAAGACATACATTTATAGACTCAAGATCAGCCTACCCAAACAGGATAAACGCAAAGAAAACCACACCTAGATACATCACAGCAAAACTGCTGAAAACCAAAGATAAGGAAAAAGATCTCGAAGCCTTTCAACAAAATGACGGATTGCGTGCAGGGCAGTGATGACTGAAATGACTGTAGATTCCTCATCACAAACCAGAGGGGCAAGATGACTAGCGCATCTTTAAAGTACTGAGAGAAAATCACCATCAAACCAGAATTCTATTTCCAACAAACTTATCTTCCAGGAATGAAGGTGAAACAAAGAGATTCTCAAATGAGGAAAAACCAAGAAAATGGGTAACAGTAGATCTGCTCAACAAAAAATGCTAAAGGGATTTCTTCAGGCTGTACAGAAACTTACCAGGGGGATACAAGGATTCTCAGGAATGAAGGAAGGGCAAAAGAAATACCTGGGTAAATATAAAAGTTTGCTTCTTTCCACTTAAATTTTTTAACACTGATACAATGATGTAATGCAAAATGAAAGCAAAAACATTGTCTTGTAGGTTTTTTAATGTACTTCAATGAAATACATAGGACAGTAACAGAAAGGTCAGGGAAAGAGAAAAGAGACTTACATGGTTGCAAGGTTTCTAAATTTTATGTGAAGTGTAACATTATATTAAGGGCAATATTAATTTAAAAAAGACTATGAAAGATTAAATACGCATGTTGTAATTCTTAGAGCGACGACTGAAGGAGATATAATCAAAAAGACAATACCTAAAGGTAGAATACCAAAACCATCTAAATAATATAGAAAAGTCAGTAAAGGAAGAACAGAGTAATAAAAAATAAAGATCACACATACATACATACATACATAAAATCTTGGACCTAAATCCAACCGTATCAATAATTAGTCAAATGCTAATGGGGTCTAAGCATTTCAGTTAAAAAGCGAAGCCTGGAAGAATGAATAAAAAAGTAAGACCCTCCTATACGCTGCCCATAAGAAACACTTCAAATATAGACACCAGTGGATAGACAGTAAAGAGATGGGAAAAGATGGCGCCTGGGTGGCTCAGTTGGTTAAGCGACTGCCTTCGGCTCAGGTCGTGATCCTGGAGTCTCTGGATCGAGTCCCGCATCGGGCTCCCTGCTCAGCGCGGAGTCTGCTTCTCCCTCTAACCCTCCCCCCTCCCATGTACTCTCTCTCTCATTCTCACTCTCTCAAATAAATAAATAAATCTTAAAAAAAAAAAGAGAGAGAGATGGTAAAAGATATACTACTGAAACAGTAAACATAAAAAGGTTCGAACAACTATTTCAATACTAGATGAAACAGACTTCAAGACAAAGGTTATCACCATAGATAAACAGAGATATTTCATAACAATACAAGAGGCACAAACAGAAAAGGTAATTATAAAATGTGCAGGTACTGAATCACAGAGCCTCAAAAAAAGCTAAAATTGACAGGATTTAAAGAAAAACTTGGCAATTCCACGTAGTTGGAGATTTTACCACTGTTCTCTTAGCAATTACTAGCACTAGTCAAAAAAAAAGGTCAGTAAGAACATAGAAGATCTGAACAGCAGGATATCAACCACCTTCATATAAGTAACACCTTCATATAACAAACACTAACATCCGACAACAGAATACACATTCCTTCCTAATGCATATGATGTATTCAGCAAGAGAGGCCACATACTGGATCCCGAAGCAAGTCCCAATAAATTTAAAGGGATCAAAATCATACAAAGTGTATTCTCTGACTACAGGGCAATTAAATTAGAAATCAAACATAGTAAGATACCTAGGAAATTTCAAATATCTGAAAATGGAACAATCCTTTTCTAAATAACTTATCAAAGACAAAAAGCAAAAGGGACATTTTGAAGTAATAAAAATGTTCTGGAATTAGTGGTGACGGTTGCACATCATATCACTTGTGAATATAGCAAAAAGCCACCAAACTCTACACTTTAAAGTGGTGAATTTTTTGGTATGTGAATTACATCTCAACTTTAAAGAGAGACATTAAGAAATATTCTGAACTGTGACAACAAAAGTACAACATCTCTAAATTTGTGACAATAGCCAAAGCAGTATTTAGAGGAAAACTTAACAGGTTTAAATGCTTATATTAGGAAAACAAAAAATCTAAAATCAATGACCTAAAGTTATACCTAAAAAAAGCTACAAAAAGAAAAGCAAATTAAATCCAAATAAGGGAAAAGATAATACTAAAGAGCAGAAATCAACAAAATAGAACACAAACCAAAGAAACAAAACCAAAAGCATGTTCTTTGAAAAGATCAATAATATTGACAAACCACTAACTAAACTATTAAGCAAAACAGGAAAATCCCCACAAATCCTCAGTATCAGGAATGAAAACAGGTGATCACCACAGACCCTAGAGACCTTAAAAAAAAAGAATACCCCGAGTCAATTTAAGCCAACAAATTCAATAATGCAGATGAAACTCACCAAAACTGACAGAAGTAGTAGAAAATCTAAACGGTTCTCTATCTGCCAGAGAAACTGAATTTCTAACCAAAACATTCCCAAAAAGAAGACTCCAGGTTCAGACAGTTTCACTGGTGAGTTATTCAAGGAAAAAAAAAATCACACCACTTTTACACAAAAGAGGAATCACTGTTCAACTTGTTCGAGGACACCAGCCCAACACTAACACCAAATTTGAAAAGGACATTATAAACAAACAAAAAAATACAGACCAATATCAAATAATGTAAAAATCTTTAACAAACTATTAGCCACTCAAACTTAACCTTGTATAGAAAGGATAATATATCATAATTAAATAGGATTTGTCCCAGTAATTCAAGGTTCATATAACCGTCAAGAATCAATCAATGTAACATACTGTATCACCTATGTGATAGTATGTTCTGAGAAGTATGTATTTTGGTCTTTGTTCCCAGCTCCTGGTCAGAGCTCCTAAAAACCCTTGCAATCTCCTGACTGATGGGGGTGATGTGGGTCTTACACAGAAGCTCCTATATTGCTGAGAACTTCCAGGATGATAGGAGAGTCTTTTGTCATAATGAGGCAACACTTGGTGGACTCCTGGACAGTACGGGGACTGGTCACCAGAAAGACAAAACTTGATTAGAAGCTTGAAGCTTCCAGCCCTGCCTCATCCCCTGGGGAAAGGACAGGGGCTGGAAAGGGAGTCAATAATCAATCATACCCTTTGTGATGAAGCCTCCATGAAAAAAAAAAAAAATCCCTAAACTGTAAGATTCGAAGAGCTCCCAAGTAGGTGAACACATCCACATGCTGGGAGGTTGGCACATCACAACGCCATGGGGACAGAAGCTCCCGTGCTCAGGATCCTTCCAGACCTTGCCCTATGTACTTCCTAATCCAGCGGCAGCCTTTGTACTATCCTTTATAATCAACTGGTAGATATAAGTAAATATTTCCCTGAGTTCTGTCAGCCATTCTAGCAAATTACTGAATCCAAGAAGGAGGGTCATGGGAGCCCCCTATTCATAAGCTGGTCGGTCAGAAGTATGGGTGACAACCTGGGACTTGCAATGAGCGTGTGAAGTGGGGTCGGGTGGGGCACTCTTGTGAGACTTGAGCCCCTAAACTGTGGGGTCTGTGCTAACTCCAGTTAGCTAGTGTCATGACTGAAATACAGGACATCCGTCGGTGTCCAGAGAACTGGAGAATTGATCACTGTGAAGGGAACCTCCCCCAGCATTTGGTATCAAAAGTATTCTGAGAGTAAAGGAAAAGAGCGGTTTTTTTAAAAATAATACACCATATTATATAGTGCTATATTATTACATATTAGGGAAGGGAAGAAAAGGAAGAGAGGGAAAGAAATAAGACATAAAGATCAGAAAGGAAGAAATAAAATGGGTCCCTATTTGCAGATGATGTATCTCCTACATAGAATATACAAAACTACTAACACTAGTAGACGCTTAACCATCTGAGCCACCCAGGTGCCCCAAGCAGATTCTAAAATGTTGTGGAAATACAAAGGATCTAGAATAGCCAAAGAAATTTTGGGGCGCCTGGGTGGTTCAGTCATTGGGCGCCTGCCTTCGGCTCAGGTCATGATCCATGGGTCCTGGGATTGAGCCCCGCGTCGGGCTCCCTGCTCAGCGGAGAGCCTGCTTCTCCCTCTCCGTCTGCCTGCCACTCCCCCTGCTTGTGCTCTCTCTCTCTGTCAAATAAATAAAAATAAAAATCTAAAAAAAAAAAGAAATTTTTAAGAAGACCAAAGTTGAGGGGTGCCTGCGTGGCTCGTCCATTAAGTGAACGACTCTTGGTTTCAGCTCAGGTCGTGATCTCAGGGTCATGAGACTGAGCCCCAGGTTGCGCTCTGGGCTTAGCTCAGAGTCTCCTTGACTCTCTCTCTCCCTCTCCTTCTGCCCCTTCCCCTGCTCGCTCACCCGTTCTCTCCAAAATAAATTTAAAAATCTTAAAAAAAAAAGAAGAGGAAGAAGAACAAAGTTAGAAGACTTACCTACTTGATCCCAACACTTATTGTTAAGTCTCCCATAATCGAGACGGCTTGGTATAGGTGAAAAGACAGACATATAGATGAATGGAGCAGAATACAAAGTCCCGAAACAGACCCATGCATATATGGCCAACTGATTTTCAAACAGGCACACAGTCAATTCAAGGGGGGGAAAGAAGTCTTTTTCCGTAAGTGATCGGATCATTGCATCTCCATATGGAAAAATGAGTATCAACCCTTCCATCACACCAGATATAAAAATTAACTCAAAATGGATCATAAACCTAAACCACAGCCTTCCCCTATGAAACTTAGGGGTAAATCTTTGCAACCTTAGGAGGGACAAACATTTCTTAGAACAACAAAGAGCATAAAACAAAGAAGAAAAATCCTGATAAATCGGACTTCCACAAAATTTAAAACATTTGTTCTTTGAAAGACACCATTAAGAAAATTTTAAAAAAGCAAGCCACAGACTAGGGAAAATACTCATGACACAGATATCAAACAAAAGACTTAACTTCAGAACACATTTTTCAAAAAACCTCTTACAGCTCAATAAGAAGGCAAACAACTCAATTTTTTAAAATAAGTACAAGATTTAAACAGACGCTTCACAAAATGATTTTTAAATGGCCAATGGGCACATGAAAAGAAGCTCAACATCATTAGTCACCAAGGAAATGCCAATTAAAACCATAATGAGATATCACTGTGTATTCATTAAAATGTCTAAAATTAAAAGGACTGACCATACCAAGTGTTGGTGTGGGCCTGAAGCTCTTAGAACTCTCAGACACTGCTGGTGGAAATGTAAAATGGTACAATCCGCTTTGGAAAACAATTTGGTCGTTCCTTAAGAAAAGTTCAACACAGACTCACCAAGCTGTCCAGTCATTCCGTTCTGAAGTATCGACCCAAAAGAAATAAAAATATATGTCTATCTTAAAAAATAAGCACGTAATTAAATATTTATAATAGCTATACTTATAATCAGCAAAAACTATAATGTCCACCAACAGATGAATGGATAAACAAATTGTGGAATATCCCTACAATGGGATACTAATCAACGATAAAATGGGAAAGAACCACTGACACATGAAACAACACAAATGAACCTCAAAATCATCACGATGAGGGACAGAAGCCAGGCCAAAGGACTGTGTATTATGAGTCCACTGATATAAAATTCTAGAAAATGCTAACGAATCATCTGGCAGGGACGAGGTAAAGGGATGGATGGATTACAAGGGGGAACGCAGACGCTTTGGGGAGTGATGGAAATGCTTGTTGTCTTCATTGTGGTGTTGGTGACAGTGTAGTGATGGTGACCCATTTGGATCGAACTGTACACTTTAAATATGCAGGGGCCTCCATCAAGTTGTTACAGAAGAAAAGCGCAGAAAAGGAACTCAGGATCGGAGAATTTGCACAACCCATGAGTAGTGGAAGGGGAACAAGAATTCTAGTCACCGATTTTCTAGACAGCCTCTGTCCACCGCATCCCACCTCACCCCTCCCCTGCCACCACCTATGCCCCTCACGCCCCCAGGCTGTCCCTCTCACGTGGACACTGCTGCCCAAGGGGACTCAGATGCCCCCTCGCACAGACATGGTCTCAACCTTCTCCTCCCCTACTTTGCTTTCTGCTCTTTCCAAAAGTAAGGTTCCCTGTGCGATGGCTGCTTCTTGGCAGGCGTGAAGCAGGCCTGGAAGGAGGCACGGACAGCTGCCCCAGCATCAGCCAGATTACCACTTCACTGGAGGAGGAACAAGACCCTGCTTTCTCCCCAGAAGGAAGTCACTCACAGATGTTCAAATCCCAGATTACACCAACATCAGAAGGTCCAAACAAACCACAAGCCTATCCGCTGAGGAGAGAACACCCTATTTCAAAAGGGATGTCTGGCTCCAATGCAGAGGAAAGCAGCCGCTTAATCCTTCCCATTGGAGCAGAGCAAGGATGCCCCCAAAACCCCAAACTGTTCACCCTTTTTGATTACTAGGCCTTAAAAACTTCTTACATCCGGATATGTAATTATGGTCTCCACCTTACTGGCCAGTTCTTAATGTAGGCACACGCACAATGTCTGGATCCCAGGTCCCTCAGCCTGCGGGATGCGAGGCCCTACCTCACAGGAGATAAGATAAGCGATAGGTCTCTGTCAACTGCACAGAGCCAAACAAATGTTGGGTGTTATTAACGCTTTACATAGTACGTATCTAAATATGAACGTGTATATATTGTATTCCCAATAGGAAGCACCATGAGGGGACCTCTGCGTGGCTCAGTCAGTTAAGCGGCTGCCTTCGGCTCAGGTCATGATCGCAGGGTCCTGGGATCGAGCCCCATGTTAGGCTCCTTGCTCAGGGGGGAGACTGCTTCTCTCTCTGCCTGCAGCTCCCCCTGCTTATGTACTCATGCTCGCTCGCTCGCTCTCTCTCACCAATAAAAAAATTTAAAAATCCTTAAAAAAAAAAAAAAAGAAGCACCATGAGGCTGGCTGGCTCTTCTGAGAACCACATCCCTCCCACCATCACGCTCCGCCTGCGGAAGGTGCTCAATTAAATTCTTATCCCATGATCTGTTGAGTTCTCCTGGTGGCTCCCCGCATATGCAGCAGAGCACCCCTAAAAGCAATCCCCCACAGAATAAGACCAACTGTTCCTCCCTTGGCCTTCATAAGTCATGGGAGGTTGATGAAAGTATTTTTTTTTTTTTTACAAGTTTGGCAATTCTCTAATGTCCAAGGCCAAATTAGCATTCGGGGACCACAGAACTAGCTCTACTCTCAGAACTGGTATCAGCAGTGCCTAAGGACCCAAAGCAGCTCTGCAGACTTAAGGCAAAAACAGTCTCCCTTCCATAGGGCAGAGTGAAATGGAAGGGCCTGCCCGGCACAGCCCACCAAGGAGAGGCCTGACTCCTATTTTGTTACGATACAACAAGAAATGGCCAGTTTCACACCAGATACCAGTACACGGTCATTTGCTGATAGATTCTGCAAATATTTATGCAGTGCCCACTCCATACCAAGCACTGCTAGGTTCTAGGGGTAAAGAAGTTAAGCAAAGAGACATTGCTTTGTCCTCTTGGAGTATCTAATTAAATTCACAGTCGTGAGGGGAAGAGAAGGTCTGTTTTTGATTCAAAGGAATATTTTTGGCAACATCACGAGCCCACATTACAAGGTGCGAACACAAAATTAGTGCAGCTGACGCTCACGTGTGGCTCTGGGCACCTATCTTTAATTTTATAGTCATACTTGGTGCCACTGGCCTCACCACGGGCCACACGTGTTCCTGAAAAGTGGAGGCATGACCGTGTTCTCCAACAAACCAGAACCCAGGTTGGGGGCTGGGGAGTAGGGGATGGGGGCTGGTGGGGCAGGGGGGGGGGGGGGGGGGCTAGGCTGACCTCTCGCCACCGGGCTCCAGCACTGCTAGAAATGTACACGTTCGTCTTGCTTGCCAAGTTCTTTCCCACCGAACCTAAAATGCAAGAGGAGTCATTACTTTTCATTTCAAGAAGAGGTCAGATACCTTGCCCAACCAGAAAGTCTGTGTCGTATTTAGCAACTAAAGATGTCCCAAAATCACAAAGAGCCGTTGCTACGGCAGAGTTTAACCCCCAATGCGGGCACAAGCACGGCGGACTTACCAGTGGCGATGATGAGACCGGGAGCGGACTCCCTGGACAGGATGGGCATCCTCCGGAGCTGGAGGTTGAGCAGCTGACTGAGCCGCTGGGCCAGGTGGAGGGAACAGCCCTGGGCAAGCTACGGGACACAAGTTCCAGGCACTGTCAGCACGTGATATGACGCCACCAGCTGCCTCAAAATACAGAGGCCTGTGTGTAGACAGTACAACCACAGACACAGAAGGGGAAATCTGGCCCAAAGGAGCCCAGACTCATGGCCCAGCTAGCCCCCACGGCCCCCCAGGTGAATATGATTATCTGAACCACATAAATGCCTCTCATTGAAGAAAACAGAACAATACAAGTAAAACATTCCTCCTGAGACTCTCAGAGAACAGCTATTAGAAATCAGTGTCCACTCAAGTAGGTCGAAAGCTGTCCCTCCCTCTGTTTTACCCAGAGATACTCTCACGTGACTCGGCACTAAAGAGAATTAATGATTTCGTGGGACTTAAAAAATAAGTCCGTAGAGATAGATTTCAAATACAGTGTAAGCAATTCCATCAGCGGAAAAACCAAGAATCAGAAGTCATAAAGTCTCACAGATAAGCTCCCAGATGTACCACGTATGAGATAGAAACACCAAAGGATCCACATTAAAACAGATTTTAAGTGGTCAGCGTTTGTACAAAGCACCAACTCTGCTGTGTCCAGTGCAAAACAAGTCATTCAAACTGGCCTCTGCCACTTACGTTCGGATTTTAATAGTTGTGCAAACAACGCTGTTTGCTATGTGGTCATGCCTGATTCTCTTGGTCAGAATGTGATTGTCAAATGTTATTCAGCCTCCTCTGGTGTTCTAGACAGGGTAACTCTGTGTGCTTATGTGAACACATAAAAACAGACATGGTTTTGCTACATATACTTACTTCTTTAACGAAAGGATCTCTCTAGCAAATGTCCATTTTGCTAGCATCACAGTTTAGCAAATGAAAACTGGAGCAAATTAGGTTGGGTCTCAAACAAATATTTGCCAACTAACCTGTTCTTTCACCATCTAAAATCACAGGTAGAAACTAAAAGCTCACCAAGGGTTGTACAGTTCATAAATAAACAGGTCAGTCAGGAGAATAAGCAGAGTTTTAACAATACCATTAATTTTATTTAACTAGGGCTCAGACCCCCAACAGCATGCTCAAAAGCAGGCCACCCCCATCCACACAGGCTCGTGCAGAGCTCCCAAAATCTAGAAGCCACTCCGGAATAAAGAAGTACCTAGGTATCTGTCTCTGTCTACTTATATCTTGCCTCTTTCCAAAGTTAGACTTGATGTACTAAGTTGACACCTGTTGCCAAATAGGGAAGAGTAATCAAGAAGTCCGTGGAGAGCAAGAGCCTCCAAAAAAAATTTTCCCAGGGGTCACAGCTACAGTAGAGTCAACATACTTAATCATGGACAAACAAAATTCAAAATTCCAAAAGATCAGGTAATTGTCTAACTAAATGTTACAGTTCTCCCAAAAATTACTACTACTTGATTTTTTTTCTGAGTTCCTTCTGCCTACCTACTTTACATACCCCAGATCCCTTAGGTGAGGCAAAAAGGAAGGAACTCAATCCAAAGAATGTTCATCAGAGGGATAAGAACAGAGCTGCTGAGGTGAGTGGGGACACCTCCTGAGGCCAAATAATACATTTTAGTATTCTCAGCTTTTCAGATGGAGCCACAGATTGGGAAAATTGTAGAATCCTAAATTACATTCAAGAAGGCTTTTTTTTTTTTAAAGTTCCACAGAAATAAAAAGCTTACATCAGAGTTTCCCAAACTTTCTTGCTTCGCAGCACAATTAGTGTCCCCGTAAATTTTTTATAGCAGCTTCACGCCAGAAGAAATACCAACATGTATTGTTTTACATAGTTGAGACCACACAACTTCATAAGTAGACATGTACTAATAACTTAGCGGCAGTTCAAAATAATAGTATGCGTGCATATGTGAATATGCACACATACACAAAATGAAAGAGAATGAGAGAAAACAAAACCTTTATTTCACTCTTAAATACTACCAGTTACTTAATACAGGATGTGCGCACCTGTTGAGTACTACGCACCTTCTCTAAGTTTAGAATCATATTCGATCCCACCACTGTCACCTCCCGTTCCACCCTGATTTTCTCACTTGCTTTTTATCACATCAACTGCGAGGAAATCCAGCTTTACAAAGACAGGACGCCTTCCAAAGAAATTCAGCATGAACTCATGTTGAAACTCTGAACTAAACTCAAGATGGTACTTCCCATGATGACCAACAAATACCAAGTATCTTGTGTTTCCCTCAAAAATTTAAAGCATTCCAGAGTGCCCTTGGGAGTTCACTATGACACTCCCTAGGTGCCCTGGTGCTGAGTTTGGGAACCGTAAGGGTAGCATGACAGGTAAAGATTTGTATGAAAAACGCAAACAAGATGAAAGCATCTCTACCTCACAGTTGATTTTTTCTCCATATCCTGTGAAGGCTGGAGCCTGAAGGAACTCCCAGGTACCCCCTTTGTCAAAGGTGATGACTGATCTCATATTCTCCTCATTCATAGAACCATTTATCAGAGTAGCGATGTAGACTCCTTGCAACCCTTCCACACGGTGGAAGTCAGCAAATGGCTCGTTTGCAAAATACCTACAGTAAGAGAAAATAAACAGCTGTGAACCTGAGGTGATATTTCCTTGGTATGTTTTTATGGTAAATAACATAAAATTTAACTGTTAGAAAGTACAGAATTCAGTGGCGTTAAGCACATTCCCAGTGTTATGTTGTACCAGCATTACTATCTCATTCCAGAACGTTTTCCTCATCTCAGAAAGAAACCCTGTACCCACCAGCAGTCATTCGCCCTTTTGTCTGCCCACCCCAGGCCCTGGCAACCATCACTGAGTTTTCTGTCACTACGGATTTGCCTATTCTGGGTATTTCACATACATGGAAACATGCCTTTTTTATGGTTCCTTTCCCACAGCATAATATTTTCAAGGTTTACCCATATTGTAACACAAATCAGTACTCCATTCCTTTTTATAAATGAATAGCCTTCTCTTTCTTTTCTTTTCTTCTTTTTTTTAAAACGTGATTGTGTTTTAACTTTGAAGGCCAAGATGCTTATCAGATCAATAACTCCTCACAGGGAGTTCAGAATGCTGACTACAACACACAGAGCTGATGAGAGAGTCACATCTATCTCTTTCCCTGACGAATTCACCCCAAATCCTCCAGTGAGCCTCGACAAACAGGAAACAGTAAGCCAGACTTGCCAGACACTAGTCAAAGCGCTGGGGCTTACAAGCCGCAGGAATACAGTGCGAAGGGTTCCCCAGCCACTGTCCACACGCTGACGACTCATTATCCAACGCCCAGATCAGACCGAAGCCCATAGGGTTCCTCTCAGAAAGCAGAGCAGAACCCCCACCCATGGGAGCAGGATAGCGAGGGTGGTTCTAGAAGCTGGAGGTTAACCACTTTTTAACAGTGAAACAGAGATTAAGCCCCTCTCAGGGCCTCTAACTACTACGCTGGGATACCGACTTCACTGGGAAGCAGTTTTGCCCTGAAATGGTCTACGCGTTATAAATGGAACAGATCTCTGAGAAGTGCTACCCGGAGTTCACACGTGGCTTTTAAAACTGGATATAAGTCCTTGATTTAGAAGGGTTCTGAGCCACTGGGCTTTGTTTAAAAAAAAAAAAAAAATTTTAATTTAAAAAGAAATCATAGAACCGCTTTTTTCCATTATCCACTGTGCAAATCTTGACCTGGAGGAGTACTCTGCCTCTCAGACAGAAGGAAGCACACTACACGCTCTGAGGCAGAAAAGGAAAATTTTTTAAAAGCACTGACAAAGCTACTTCAGACTGAGAGACTGAGCAAAATCCTAAATAAGATACCGGTGTTGAGACTAAATATTCTGATGTGTGGTTTCCTTAGGTCTACCGGAGTTATTTTTCAGTTGTTTCCTTAGAAATCGGTTGAAGGTCTATCATCCACCTGCTCTCTGTTCATCTCCGCAATCCTGCGCTGGATCCCGTCATCACGAAGCCGCCATCGTCAGGTTTGCTGGCTTCCTTCAAACACGTGGGAGGTCTGGCCTTCTCTCAGCTAGATGAACTCTGCTTCTTCCCTCCAGTCACTCTCCTGGATTTTTGCCTTTCGGTTCCAAGCAGAAACCCGTCCTCTGTGCCTCACACGCTCCCCAGACGGTCCTGTCAGCTCCCTGTGGTCCTGTGACAATCCACCTCACCCTAAGTGCCCTCTCTTCATCCATTTTTCTTACATTTCCTCTCACCGGCCCTCACGACAAGCACTTGTCCCCTGCTCCCCGGCCAGAGCCCCAGGTCCCCTGGGCCCCCCTCCTGCAGAACCTAAGCCCGCCTCGCCCCGCACAAGCCCGCAGCAGGTCTTCCTCAGATGTGCCGCCACCAGGCCTGACGTTTCCTCTCCACACCTGGTCCTCCATCTGGACACCGCTTTCCATGAGATCTCTATTCGGCACATCTCACCAATGCCAGGAGCACCCCCATTAAGAATTCCTTCTCAGGTCCTCTAAGCAAATTAGGACGGTTCCTTGGCACCACACTTGCCTATTGAGTTCAAAGAACAACTCATTTCAAATACCACAGAAGGGCTGTGTTTTGTTTTGTTTTTTCAAATCAGTCTGCCCACGTAATCTGCTAATTCACCCTTATCCCATTTCATCTTCCTGAGATGCAGAAGCAGGTGACAAAAGTTCACTCAAACGAGCCCCTGTGAAGATCTCCAGTCCCTGAGGGAAAGCCTGAAGAAAACAGCAAGAAGGTTGAGCCTACACAGGTCTGTGAATGTAGACATAAACCTCTTTCCAGTTTCCTGACTGGACTCTACACCCAGGAAGGGCGGGGGCGTCCTCTGTGACCACAGAAAGGGTCGTGGGCATCTATGAGAGGGCCACATGGTCACCTAACTGAGCTTACTGCTTCCTGAGGAGCTTCTGGCTCCAGCTCTGCCCAGCCACGAGATACCCATCCCGAATACCCAACAAACGCGGAGGATCCGGAAACCTCTGGCAAGCTCTGATTTATCCACTCCATATAGCCAGAGGCTCTCAGATGTGAAAGAAAAAAAAATCAGAGTCTGTGAAAGGCTTGAGGAATAATGGCTCATAATTTTGATTATTAAAAAAGTAAGGAGAATATTATTCACCCATAAAAAGGAATGAAGCACTGACACAGGCTCCATGTGGACCAACCCTGAACATATTTTGCACGGTGCAAGAGGCCAGACCCAAAGGTCACATATCATGCTGTGATTCTGTTTACACAGAACATCCAGAGAAGATAAATCCACAGAGACAGAAAGGAGATTAGTGGCTGCCAGGGGCTGGGGGGATGGGGAGGAGGGGAGACGGGGGGGGGGGGGGTGGGGGGGAGGGGAGATGGGGGTGGCGGGAGGGGAAACAGAGGCCAGAAAATGCCTAGTGGTAAGGGGTTTTCTTTTGGGGAAGTGAAATGTTTTGGAATTAGATTAAAGCTGGTGGTTGCACAACACTGAATGCCCTAAATGCCACGGAGCTGTTCACTTTAAAATGGTTAAGCTAATGTTCTGTGAATTTCACCTCAATAAATAACTTTAAAAAAAAAACAACAAAAAAGGACACAGGAGCCAGCCCAAAAAGGCTGCCACTGACCAAACCAGAAAAACCTGAGGCTGAATCATGGTAGGAATGGTTTACAACACATTAACACACACTGAATAATAAGTAACTCGTGAGTCTATACCGGGAGGGGGGAAAAAAGTAAGGCACAAAATAGGACATACCTCCGAAAGAGCCAAAACAGGGCGTGGAAAAGCACTATCAGAGAGAGACCAGAAAGAAAGTTCTCCCCTTGGGTCCTGTTGAGTCCAAACCCGAGGGCCCTCTCTTTGCCTTGACACCAGCTCCTCACCCAGCCCTCCCCTGACTCCCTGACTCCCTGACTCAGCCCACGGCCGGCATTCTGCCCGCTGCTGAGCCCAAGCAGCTGTGGGCCCTTGACTCTCCACAGCCAAGCAGCAAATCTACCAACAAACCATCAGAATTTGCCCTTTTCCGTCATCTCCCCCGCTACGGTCCTGAGCCCAGCCACCAGCAATCCCTGCCGGCTGGATTTCCATCACACTCCCCCAGCCAGGCTTCCTGCTCCCACTCTCGCTCCTGTCCGAGAGCTTACTTTGCACACAGCATTGAGGATAGCTTCTTTAAGACACAGGTCACCCGAGTGTTCCTCTGAAGTTTCCGATAACAAGGTCCATTTATGTTTCGTGTGCTTTCCTTTATATAATGCAGTTCACAACTTTTTCAATGGTTAAAAAAATATAACCGGTTAAATCAGATGAAGTCCATCTTCTGGTCAAAACCCTCCATATCCCACTTGGGAAAAAAAGTAAGTTCCTTCCATGCCCTCAAAGGCCTTATACGATCTGAGCTCTGCTCTCTCAGATGCTGTCCCTTGGGTTCTCTCCCTCCTCCTCCAGCTGCTGGATCCACCCTGGCCTCCTCGCTGCTCCTAAAATAAACCGACAGAGCCCGACCTGAGAGCCTCCGAGCATGCTGTTCCCTCTGCCTGCAGTGCCCTTCCCCAGGCACCTGCTGAAATGTCGCCATCCTCGAACAGCCTCCCATGACCAGCCTATATGAAGTAACACGCTCCTAATGCCCTGTCCTCTGAACTTGGTTCACTTTGCCTCCCAGCACTCACCACCACCAGGCAAAGGACACATCTATCTATGTTCTGTCTTCCCCCAAGGAGAACAAAAGCTCCACAGAACAGGGACCCTGTTTTGACTTTTCGTGGCTGGACACATGATCTCGGTGCTGTGCCCAGAGCAACAGCATCCTTGTTGAAAGAGCTGGTGACTGAATAAATCACCAGCATGACGAGAGACCGCAGACAGCAATGCCACGGCCTGTGCCCTGGTGGTCATGGCCTCGGAGCCCGACCCCGGTGCCCACCAGCCAGCTCCAGCAGACGGCTCCTTCCCAGAGCAGAGAGCGATCCTCATCACAGTCAGACACCTCACACAAGACAAGTGAGAATAAATGCCCTCCTGGCCCTCGAGGGTCATGGGTCATTCATCCCTCCCGAACCCCGGACTCCTCCACAGCCCACGGAACGTCCATTACAACAAAACAACTCCAAGCACAGGATGTCCTGATAAAGGATGGGTACCACTGGGGTCCTTCCACAGACACCCACAAAGCAGTATTTGCAATTACGTTAAAAAAAATGTCAATGAACCTGAGTCACTTGGAGGCAAGGCCCCCAGGGCTCCCCACATCAGCTTGCCCTGACCTGACATTTTCCAAGTGCCTTTTCCCACTGGCTCAGAGACCCCAGAGCCAGACAGGGAGTGGCTGACATGGGCTGTGACTCTAAAGGTCACCTGGAGCGGCAGTGCTCAGCCTTGGCATCACACCCAAAGCTTTGTAAAATCTTCAGAGCCCAGCCACACCCCAAACTGGTTAAACCACACACCAGGCATCGCGGTTTCTGGCAACTTGCCAGTGGAACACAAATGTGCAGCTGATGCTGAAAAACACCCACCTGGAGGGTGCAGGTGGTACTGACATGAGACTGTGGGCCAGGGACCCATGGTTTCCTTACCTCACCAGCGTGTCACCGCCCGCCCCTCCTGGGCTGTAGTAGAGCACGTTCTCCAAGGACAGGGAGAACTTCAGCCCCTCTGCCTCCGAGATGTATAAGTTGGTGCGGTTGTTACTGTGACTGACGCATACAAACACCTGGTCCTCGGAGGCATCTGCGATGTAATATTCCTTTGGAATCAGAAGTCGAAAAATACACAAGTCAAAAAACCGACATGCGCAGTGGGCTTTCCCTATGCACACTGAAGTAATGATTTCCAAATGTCCCAGTGAGAGGTATGGGCCCGGAGCCCATAGACAGTTTCCCAAATCCCAGTAAAGCTCGGCCAACTTTCTTTCTGGAGGAGCTGAGGCCACCATGCAGCTGGAGCAAGCTGCTTCCTGGCAAATGGGGCCCAAAAGAGGGGGCCACCGAACTCCATAAATCACTTCAGTTTAGTTCATAACGTCTCCCTCTTTTTCCCATGAGGTCTATTGTTAGTACCAAGTACAATATACATTAATGTGCATTCCCTTTCCCCTAAGGTACTAAAGGAAGATGGAAGCTGTAAAAAGCAAAGAATGGACAAGAATCTTCTCCACTTGAGCTCCCAACCTTCCACCACACCAACTGCTAGTGGCAAGGCCTTCAAATGCCACCTCCTACCTGTGGGCACTTCTCTGATGACCCCAGCCCACCAGGATCCTTCCTATGATCTACATTATCGTACACACAGACTGCAGCCAAGCATTGGACTATATATGGTTTCTTCCTCTGCTCGGTTCTCTGTGTCTCCAACCTATGTTTCTAAGAGGGTGGGACCCAGCTCTTCTCCCCTTTTGCAATCTAGCTGTCTACTGTAAGCAACAGAGCAGGTCCCAAACAAACAACTCAGGGTCACCAGCTCCCCATTCCTTCAATACTAGCACCCTGAGCCCACTGACTCCGGTCCCAAACTTCTCTGCCCATCCATCTCCACGTAAAGCAAATTAAGGCTCCCATCTGGCTGCACTCTGAACAGTGAAGAGGGAAAAAAAAACAGACCAAGATGCCCAAAGCATAATGGTTCTCCCTAGGGACCTATCTAGAAAGGGACTTCAGGGAGCCTCCATCAAAGATCTATCTACCCAGAAGGACGTCTCTGCAACACCCATCCCCTGACCCCTGCATGTGGACGTTAACACTTCTTTCCGCCCCCAAGTGGACCCCACTCACATTAATAGGATGTCTCGTGACAAACTGGGCTGCTCGCATGGGCTTCCTGCCAAAGGAGACCCAGAGCTGGACAGAAGATGGCTGCAGACTGCCCCAAAAATGCTGCCCCGGAAGAAGAGAAAAAAAAAAAAGTTAATGGTGCCACATTACAGCCACTCCAAATAAGTGAAGAAGGAAAGAGAAGTGTCAGACCCCTCCAGTTCTACCAAAAACATGAAACACAGGGTGACTGCAAATGCACGTTTTTGCAACGTCCGTGTTCACTCCGCAGCTTGGGCTGCACTCACTTGATTCCCGGACACCTGGTCTGCAACAGGTACCAGACACTCCCTAACACCAGATGAGGACGAAGGACAAATGGTACTGTGGCTGAACCTGGGTGTGGGAGGGGGATGGAGATTTAACCGGGCAGCCCCCAGACCTGCCCAGGGTGAGGTCAGCCACACACGGCGCATATTTCCCTTGTTCTTTCTCTCCTATTTTCAGGTTATGAGGATACTCAAATTCAAGGGCTTTAACTTGCACAAAGAGCTGAGGGAATTTTCACTGATTCTCTTTTGTGACCTTTTAATACTTCTCATTGATGAACGTTTTTGCTGGCGTATGTTTTCTTCGGTAGGGCATAGGGCATTGCACGTGATGTCGGCCCTGTCACATTGTGTTTTAGAGATACTAGAGCACTGCTGGAATCTCGAAAATGTGTACAAAAGCACTAGATTAAGAGCTGGCTGTACCACCTCGGGAAGTCACTAAGCCTCTCTCAGTCTCAATTTATTCATGTATAAAACTGAGAAGATGATTAGGCTTGGGACTTCTCTGTCGATGGGTGTCAATGGCCCAGGAACCCTATAAATACAAGGGCAAACTGTGTGTATGGATGCACCTATTCATCCTGCTGGGGAGGGTACACAATCTTTACCAGACCCTCAAAGGGGGCGATGATTCAAAAAAAGATAAGCAGCACCGTAAAGGCTCAATGTGGGTTCTTCCAGCTCTGAAAGTATGGGACTGGGAACTGAGGCAAAATGTTGCACATCTATCCAGACAGAAAGGGACGCACACCATCATGTGGACATAATCACACACGTGACTATTAAGCTGATCGGAATATTGGGATTGCCAATCAGAAGGGGTTCATTTGGCTTCATTTATCCTTGACCATGTTGCTACTGTTTACTACAGATTTTAAATTCCTATAAAGTAAGAAACATACCAATTTCTCTTAACTATAATAGAACCGAATCCCCTGCGCTAATATATGCCTGATAAACACTATGTGAAGAGCAAGCTGATGAACCTGAAGTTATTCTTGATTCATCTGAGCTATATATACACACACACACACACACACACACACACACACACACACACACACACACACATATATTCAAACAAACGGCTAAAAGTAATCTGTTTAAAAGGAGCCAGGTAGGGAGGTACAAAAGACTGCCTTTCCAAAATGGCACATGGAAAAGCACGGTAATAGCTTGTACTCAGTATGGGGCCGCAGGAAACGATGGATCTATTAAAAATGTAAAACTTATTACCTGAATGAGAAAATAGTACCCAGCAAAACTGTTAGGCATAGATCCCAAAATCCCTCTTTAAGTCAATAAAATTTTATAGCTATTTATAAAGGTCAGAGAATCCATGTAAGTTACCCTATATAAATCCCTATAAATCTATATGAATACACAGATGTCCGTGAAAAAAATACTTCGATGCTTTATACTTTTTCACTTCTTCCTACTGTGGTTAAACCTTAGAAAAGGAGCCACTTTTCTCAGTGACACTGGGGGGGGGGGGCCATCATTAGTTAAGCATTCTTTTTTTTTTTTTTAAGATTTTATTTATTTATTTGACAGAGAGAGAGACAGCGAGAGCAGGAACACAAGCAGGGGGAGTGGGAGAGGGAGAAGCAGGCCTCCCGCCGAGCAGGGAGCCTGATGCGGGGCTGGATCCCAGGACCCTGGGATCATGACCTGAGCCGAAGGCAGACGCTTAACGACTGAGCCACCCAGGCACCCCTTAGTTAAGCATTCTTAGTGAGTGCTGTTGATTGGCACAAGAATTGAGAATTCATACCAAGGCCAGTCTTCCTCCATGGATGCAAAAGTCAGAGTACAAAGGTCATAAGAAACCTCAAAACAAACCAAAAAATAACAAAAAAAGAAACCTCAAAACACATGTGTCCCACTTCCTTCTGGGACAATAATTCCTAAGCCTGGACAATTCAGGTTCACCCCTAAGGAGTCACTGTAATACTTTCTTGCCACCAAGAAACATACTAACAATTTAACTGTAGCACACTGTGGATTGTCAGATAGATGTATCATAAGCTCCTAATACTTTCCTTAATTAAGCCGTGGGTTTTTGTGGTGGTTGAGTTTCTCTTTACCACGATGATAAAACTAAAATGTGCTCATGAGAAAGAGACATCCAACAGTACAGACGGATGTAAAGTAAAATGCAGACACTCTGCTCCCTACCCTCTACTCACGCCTTCTACTGTACTCCCCAGGGAGTAAAAGGGAACAGGCTCCCGTGGGGTCTTTAAGGAGTGTTCTGTGCCATCACCCCTGAGCATATTCATATAGTGACAGACGATGTTACACTTACCCAACATCCATTATTCCTTCCTCCTTAGCAACAGGATCTTGACTGCCACCCCAAATAAACCACTGGGGTTCTCTACCTTTTGCATAACAGCGTGTGGCCATGTGACTGAGTACTAGTCAATACCTGTAAACCTAAGTGGTGTGCTGGGTTTCTAGGAAGGCTGCTTGAAGGGACTTAATCAGTGGGAAGGAGTCCTATTTTGGCCTATCTCTCCTTACTCTTTCTGACTCCTGTAAAGACTCAAAGGCTATATAGATGTCCTAGACCAAGAGGGAATGGTGAGGATGGAAATCATTAGTCAGGTTGGTGGAACAGAGAGAGGCCTGGGCCCCCAGGGTACCAGGGTACCACGGTACCAACATACCAGCCCTACACTGCCTAACTCCAGGCAGCACTGAGGAGAGGAAAATAAGTTTCTGTATTCGTTAAGCCACTTTTTATTTCTACTCTGTTACCAGTAATTGAAGACAATGTCAATTTGCTACATGTAATTTTATTTTCCACACACAATGTAGATCGTGATAAAAATATTCTTGTGCAATTCAACTTTCTTCATTAACAGAGTCTCTTAGGCATCTTTCATTTAAAAGCTCATGGGCTCTGACATGATTTCCAGAAGCACTCTTCAATGAATATACCTGTATATATTACCTTTGCCAGAACTACACAAGGATATCTGTAGGATGCCATTCTTAAAACCCCTATGTCAAAGTTTTCATTTTTGACAGAAGAAATAGCCTTCCTGAAAGGCTATCCCAGTTAATATAGCCCCCAGCACGAATACTTTCACCAGCATCCAGGAGGTATTTCAATGCTCCAAGTTATGCCGGTATTCTAGGGTCTGAAAATGTAGGATAAGATCTTTGTTTCATTCGGTGCTTTCATTCCGATAAGGAAAAATAAATTGATGTAAGTAGCTGAATAACCTGAATTTCAAAAAGTGCACTTATATTTATGTTTGAGATTATATCAAAGGAAACGAGAGGTCAAGGAGGAAAGAGCAGAGAGAACTAAATAAATGACACATTCTTGCCAAGTGAAGGCCACAGGATGTCACAGTGAGCTCTTCAATCGGACGTTTCATGGAGAACACTGGCCAGAGAATGAGGGACCCCGTGGCATGTGGCGGACAAGGACACAGTCCAGAACAGGCTCTAGCATTCACGCTCACCTTCTCCTCTGAGACAGTGACAAGGGATCAGCGAAACATCATCATCCACATTAGTGTTGTTTATACTAAAATATTTATAGGTCACATTTTATATATATTTTATTTATACATGTTTATGCCTTAAAAATATTCCAAGAAAGGGGCACCTGGGTGGCTCAGTCAGTTAAACGTCCAATTCTTGATCTCAGCTCAGGTCGTGATCTCAGGGTCGTGAGATCGAGCCCCCTGTTGAGGTCCATGCTGGGCGTGGAGCCTACTTCAAAAATAATAATAATAAAAATAAAATATTCCAAGAAAAAAATAACTAGTGGGTACACAGCTGAAAAGAGATTAGCAAATGTAAATAATATTGAGGCTGAATGAGGGCACCTGTGGCGGTCCTATCAGTATAAACTGTGCTTTTATGTAGATTTGAAAACGTCCATAATAAACAGTTTCACAAAGTTAGTATTCACTGGAAGCACATCAAGAACGGCAGAGGAAGGAACTCTGAAAATCCACTCATCCGAAAAGCAACAAGAACACTGACAAAAATTCTCAAAGTCAAATTTTTTTGAATTCAAAAAATTAAATAAAGCCTTGCCAAAACCCAAAGAGCACTTATTGGAGAACGGTGTCAAAGCTCAGCAAGAAGAGCCGACTTTGTGGCCTCAGGCCCAACCCCTTCGCTCTAGCTCTGCGGCAGCCTTGGAAACCCACAGCCTCGCAGCTCCGGGAACTGTGAAAACCAGTAGCCGAGAGGTCAATGGAGGGGACAGACTGTTGCCACGGCCAGCTTGAAACTGCATCCTCAGGTCTTCTCTACGTATAACCTGACTCAGCTCGCTGCACAGACAGACCTATAGCCACGTTGCTTATGGAAGACAGAGACAAGTGGCCAGTGTTTCACACTGCAGCTGCTAGAGCAACATGGCACCTGGAACTCAGAAAAGGCTCACTCAAAAGCATGAAAGGAAAAGCTGGGGAAGTAGATGCCCCTAAGAGGCTTTGATAAGCTCTGAAATATTCCAGGGACTCTACAAGGTCACACACGCAAGAGCTGTGAGTATGCTCAGAAGAGAAGCGAAAAGGGCCTAATCGCTCATGGCTGGGTCTACAGAAGCAGGAACTGAAGGCTAAGGCAGCGTTGTAGATTGCACTGAAGGCAGGCCCCCCCACCCGTGCTCAAAGGCCCTCAGCAAAGGCTACCAGATGTACTGATTCAAAGCATTTAAGAAAAATCTCTACTCAATCATTAGCTGACCACGAAGCCTAATTATCAAACATTTCATAGCCACACACAAGAATGCAAACTCTACAAAATTAATGAAGGAAAGTCACAAACAAAACAAATACAGGCAACAGTAGGAAAAGGTAAAAAAACCATTTTGGGAAGGGGCTACTCTGATATAAGCAGGTGCCACCTTATACCATCAAAAATGTCTGATTTTCAATAAAAGAATGATAAGACAAGCAAACAGCAAAGTATGGCCCCTACACACACACACACACACACACACACACACACACACACGAGTCAGCAGAAACTGTTCCTGAGGAAGGCCCGATAATGGACTTACAAACAAAACATTTAAATCTCCTATCATAAATATGTTCAAAAAATTAAAGGAAACCATGTCACAAGAATTAAAGGAAAGTAAGAGAACATGGTCTCACTAAACAAGAGTATCACTAAAGAAACAGAAATTATACAGACACAAATTCTTGAGTGGGAAAGGACAATAACGCACAAGAAAAAAATTACCAGAGGGGTTCAACAAGAGATCTGAACCGGCAGAAGAGAGAGGCAGTGGACCTAAAGACACATTAATTTTGATGATCTGTAATAAACACAGATGAAATCTGAAAACATTATACTAGGAAAGAAAACAGTTACAAAAAGTCACATGGCATAAGATACTCTTTACATAAAATGTCCAGAACAGGCAATTCTATGAGGCAGAAAATAGATTCATGGTTGCCAGGGGTGGGGAGGGGAGGGGAATGGAATGGGGGTGCAGGGGCTGGAATTAGATAGTGATAAGCATTACACAACTTTGTGAATAAGCTAAAAACCACTGAGCTGTATACCTTAAAAGGGTGAATTTTATGGCATAGGAATTATATCTCAATACAGGTGTTATAAAAATTAATATTAAATTTATTGGTATTATAGTTTTATTTATAATGTTTGGGTTTTATTGTTATTTATAATGTGTTTGGGTTTTATTGTTGCCTATAAATTATATGCATTAAGTGTTTATACCTAGCTTTATGTTTACATACATTTAAGTAATGTTATAATTAAAGTAATTCATCAATAGCTTGGTTTTGGTCAGTTATCCTAAAAAAAAATCACGCTCCAATTGTGGTCAGCTAACTTTTCATAGAGAAGCCCACAATCTTGAGATGATTACTAAGTTTTCTTGTTATCTCTACCAACATTAGAGACTTTAAATTAGCATAATGAAGATGAGAAATTGGTTTTCAATAGTGGTTGGTCAGTCAGAATAGCGAAAGTACAAATGAGCTCTTTTGGGAGATGAGTGGCATGCAAGATATCTGAATTGGCCATAATATCCTAAAGATAACAGTCTGGCATGAATAGGGCATAACAATTTAAGGAGGCCTGGAACCTGAACTTTTAGGGTAACGCCCATGACTTATCAAGCTTTTACACGAAGGGATTCTGGTTGCCTGATGCCAACTCAAAGGGTAACAGAATCTTGCCTCTACAACAGGGTGGTTTTCTGTAAAGATCCATATAGAAGTATTTTAGAGTTTGTGAGCCATCCTGCCTCCATGCAACTATTCAATTCTGCCACTGTGACATGAAAGCAGTGATAGACAACATGTAAGCAAATGAGCATAGCTGTTTCAATAAAACTTTATTGACAAAAATGAGTGAAGGGCCATAGTTTGCCAATCCCTGCTCTAGAACATTGTGTCTGCATCACCTAGAAGAAGAGAGGAGATGCCATCAAGCCCATACATTAGGTCTTTGCTTACTGACATACATTTGTGCAAGAAAGGTGTGGACCTGGCTTTCATGATAAGCTGGTGGTGAAGCTACAGAGGAGCAGCTAGCCCTCACTTATCTCCAACATTCTGGCAACTATTGATATCTACCAGAAAGAACCTAACAGCTGTCTATTGCCAAGTTAACGAATCAATGTTGGTCCAGTTTGCAAAAGTGCCTCATTGCTGCCTCAATGGCCTATCATTTTGATGTAGACTATTAAGACAAGTAAGTGAACGTCATGTCAAAAAACATGGAATAAAAATTAAACTTGGGTTAAAAAAATATTAAAGGGGGGCCCCAGAGTGGTTCAGTCGGTTGAACGACCGACTCCTGATTTCAGCTCAGGTCATGATCTCAGGGTCGTTGGGTCGAGCCCCACATCGGGCTCTCCAATCCACATGGATTGTGCTTGAGATTCTCTCTCTCCCTCTCCTACTGCCCCTCTCCCACCCGCCTCAAATAAGTAAATAAAATCTTTAAAAAAAAATATCAAAGGGCATCAGAAATAAAGAACATACGAAATAAGAGCCAGGCTAACAGGGCACAGGGGTATTCTGAAGATTCAGATACCAGCTCCAGTCCAGAACCCAGACAGCTGTCCCCATGTGTTCTAAAGAGCTAACCTGCAAAGAATTATAATTGTTCATGGTACTGGAAAAAAGCAAAAGAGTTAATCACCCAAAACCAATTTTCTGTGGTTTTGCAATTAGTTCCTTGACTTTCCTAATTTGATTTGAATCCATTTAATATTAAGGTCCCTCAGAATTCCCCAAACCCAGGCAGCCTGAGTGCTAAGCACACCCCAGATAAGAAGTTACACTTGGAGACCTCACAACGCTCCCACTGATACGGTTATCCAACCAAGGCCAATGTTGTTTATCCTTATGGCTCAGCAGTCTAATGTAATAAAAAGGAAGAAATTAAAAGGGGGGAAACACTCATTTTATCATCCATGGCCTGTTGGGTCTCTTCCCTCATCAACCCATCCAATCTACAATGATCCTTTGATGATGGAACTATTATCGAAAGCTTCTGCATACAGAAGACCTCAGGGAAGAGCTTCTCAAATTTTGGAGATTCTTAGGCAGCCTAGGGATGCTGAGAAAAAAATGCATTTGGGCCCTGAAATCCACTTTTGGAACAAGTGCTCTTGAGTGATGGTGCTGAGAGTGCTCCTAAGACCACAATTTGAGAAACACTTCCACGTGGTGGCCTACCTCCTCTGACCTAGAGCCTCTAGCTAACATCACTGACCCTGGAATCCGGTGGCCCATCCGTGTGCTGAAAGATGAAGCCAACACATAACTACAGGTTTGTCACCAATATCATATAAATAAATAAACCATACAGAGAGGTGAGAATTGACCAAGAAAGTAGCAATCATTTAAGACCTCCTACTACCCCCCTGAAAAATCTACTGGCCTCTGCTCTCTAAATCAGGTGGGCAGAGATGGTGTTCATTCAACTACTGTGCATCTGCTATGTAGCAAGCATTGTGCAAGATACTGGGTACCACATCAGTGATGAACAAGGCAGACACAGCCCCTGGTCTCACCACTGGCCAGGAATAACAATAAATTTGTTCCCAGCCACCCTGCATATCAGCTATGGCGAGACAACAAACATAGCCATTAGGGTGGAACGGAGGGCTTAGAAAGCTCCCACTGGAATATCTCTTCAGCTCTTGGGTGTGAGATCCAGAAAAAACAGGGATAAGAGGAGCGCACAACGGCTCTCCACCTCAGCCCTGAATCAGTCAGTAGGCAAATCTAAGAATCAGTCACTGTGTCTTAGAATCAGGGAATTAAATTCATATAAATAAATTCACGCCCAAGGAACTAAAACAGAAAAGACTGAGGAACACTGAAAGACGAGAGGCAATTCGGGACCTCGGGACTGCCAAGAAGATGTCACAAGGTACCAGTCCTCAGGCCTGGTTCCCCACCCTGCGCTCCCTCCTCACCACACCCCTGCCCAAGGCAATCCAAGGATGCCTGCCTTCTGGGCCGCTGTGTGTGCGTGCGTGCGTGCGTGCGTGCGTGCGTGTGTGTGTAAGAGAAAGAGAGAGAAAGTGATAGGCAAGGCAGGAAAGGAATGATCCAGCAACGGACCCAATGCAAACAGCCTGACAGAAGAAAAACTGCCATAATTATAGTGGCTTTAAAAAACATTTTGCAAAGTATGTAATGGGGCACCCCTCTTGCCTTTCAGCCACCCATATCTTCTCTTCTCATCTCAACCTTACTCTCTGCTTTTCTTGCTGGGGAGGTCCTCTCTCGACCCTGGAATCCTACCAAAGGGAGTGGCCTGCTTCTACCTGGCCAGCTACCCATGATATATTTTAAGTGAGAATCTGAAGGAAAACATTACACCTGATTTTAGTCCCTAAGGTTAACTGTGACAGAACGCAAAGCGCCTGCCAGTTACCAGCGGCCGTCTGCAGAGCCTGAGGTCAAGGAGAGAATGGCCCCCATTAAGAAAATAAGCTACGGCGCTCCAGGATAGCGGCCCAACCTGCTCTCCTCGGGACGGTTTTGTTCCTTTACACAGGGCAGTGCAGTCGCTGCTTGCAACTTGAGACAATCACAAGGCAAGCCCTGTTAAATAATCAAGTCTGGTTTTAAATGAGCAAGCCTCTCCCCCCACCTCCCCAGCATCTGGCTCCATCCAACACATCGAATCAAGGGGAAGATTTTCCCAAAGGCTGAGAGTTAAGCTACTTACTGACAGCTGGAAGTTTAATCACTGCTTTTCTTAGAGCATTAACTCCCACTACCCAATGACTACACATTCTATTAGCCATGGAAATTAACATGTGTCCAAAATTCCCAAAGACATTGGCCTAATCTGAAAGGAAATCAGGCGGCGAGATTAAAGCAAATTGCCATGGAGCCCCACCCCTCCCTTCTGTGTTCTTTTAATTGGGATGTCAAAGAAACACGTGTTTGACAAGGATGCTTGCTTGGCTACCAGGAAACAACCATGTTCCGAGAGCCCAGAGACATCCCGAGTGGCTGTCTGAGCTTCTCCATTCCTCTGACCTCCTGGGACCATCCAAGCCCCACGGGAATGTCTGTCTATATCCAGTGCCCCTCAGTCAAGCTCCCCGGGGCGCGTTGATCCCTTCCCTGCATACTCAAACTCACCGGCTCAATCACAAAATGCCGAACCTCTGAAAGCAAACTCAAAAGGAGTTTCCACGTTCCTCAGCGCCTTCAACTTACCACCACCTTTGTAGCAAACATGTACTTGTCCCGAAGCTGAAAGTCTTTCACTTCCTCCAGGATCACCTCCTGGTTCTCCCGGGACTGGAAGAAGTCCGTACTTCGGAAAACCGTGGAGTAGCCAGAGGGTTCGTGCCGTTCCACGTAGATGGTGTTGGGCTTGTCATAGGGATCGATACCCCTAGAGGAAGGAGAGCAGTTTCTATCATCGCTCTGTTTAGGCAACTGGAGACACCGAGGTTCTGCCGTGCAGACAGCCTGCTGGAATTGAGGGACACGATCCCACGCTCTCTGCCACAGAGCCCTTTGGTTGCTCCTAGGCTCAGTGGGGAGGGAAAGTGATTACCATTTGTCAAGTGTTGATGTTGTTACTGGTCTCTTCAAAGCGCCCTGGGTGTCACTCAAGGCAAGCCTTGGCCATGCTTGAGATGAGCAAAAAGAAGGAAAAGTAAAAGGTGGGGTGTTTTGGAATCAGTCAACAAGGGACTGCTTGAGGCTGTCAGTGAGTTTCTGGCCTCAAGTTATAAACCTCAGAGAATGAAGGAGTGTGTTTTCCCAGGCCCATACACTCTCAGAACAGCTCTAGAAAAAACCACACGAGAAACCAGTGAGCCTGATCTTGCTAACAGGCCCTGCCCTTTCTGTCTGCCGTCCTGGGCCACTGTCAATGATCCGTGCAATCCGGAGTCATCCTACCAGTGCAAAGTCATGTTCTGCGAGGCTCCTTTGCAAACTCATTCTCAAATGGACTGATCTCCGTGATGTCCTTCAGAAACTCAGAGTTCATTGCTCCCCCCAACTCCCTGTGCTCCGTCAACAGAGCACCCCTCTGCAGGGAGGCCCCCGCCCCGCCCCGCGTGCACTCTGACCTGCATGTTGAAATCCTATTCTTCTGAGGTCAAGTTCAAGGCCCCCCTTCTAGGAAGCCCTCCCCCAAAGCTCTCCTCCCTCCTCCCAATACCCATGATATACCTGTGCAGTGTTCAATTTCAAGCCTTACATATTAATGTTAGGTGAGTTTCAAACAAAGGTAGAAAACTGTTTTGCGTGGGTGGATTTTGGAATCACTCTCGTGACTTTATACAATGGTGCTTCTTATTCACAGTGGTGCTTCTTATTCACTGTGTTCTATTGTTCACCATAATGTGTCTGAGCTTCCCAGAGAGAGTACAGATGCCTTTAAAGGCCATGTCTTACACTTCTTTTTGTCCTACAGGGCTCCCAGCTGAACTGAATCTTGCTGCACTGAATCCGTGGACCACGGTAGAAAAGCTACTCCAAACTGAAGACTCTAAGGTTGACTTGATCAAACTCCCTCAAGAAGAATCTCAGAACAGGAGTCTCCCCCAAATAAGCCCCCAACAACAGCTGGGAGGACTACTCTGCCTCAGGTTTCCTGATGCTCAATAAGACACCAGGCCAGGCAGACCATTCAGCACATGGGAAAAATCAGGAGTAGAGCCTCAGAGGGAGGATGCAGGGATGACCCAGGGAAAGGCAGGACTCGCTTCTGGACCTGTCTTTGCAGACTGCCATATGCATGATGGCTCTCAGGGTAATGAAGGCTTGGATATAAAATTCCTTCAAAGATATACTGTCAAGAGCACGGGAAGGGGGGCGCCTGGGTGGCTCCATCGTTAAGCTTCTGCCTTCGGCTCGGGTCATGATCCCAGGGTCCTGGGATAGAGCCCCGCATCGGGGGGGGGGCGGTCCCTGCTCAGCGGGGTTCCCTCTCTCGCTGTGTCTCTGTCAAATAAATAAGTAAAATCTTTAAAAAAAATTTTTTAAAAAAGGATCACAGGAAGGAAGGGAGGGAGGGAGGGACGGAAGGAGGAAAGGGGGTAGGTAAGGAGGGAAGGAGGGAGGAAGGAAGGAAGGAAAGAAGGAAGGGGGAGAGAAGAAATAGAAAACCAAAAGGCATGACTTTGGCCCCACAATCTGGAGTCTAAGCAGGGCGCTGGAGAAGCCAGCAGGCTTGGCCCCAATGCAGGAGACAACTGCTCATCATCAGACGCTCTGCGTGCGTATGTGTGGGGGTGGTGGCATGTTCTCTTCTCTTCCACAATTAGAAGTACTGATTAAAGTACTTCCTCTACCCTAGAGGATATGCAAATTAAAACAAAGCTGCTGGATATTTTTAAAAAGGCAGAGAGGAAGGGACCTTCACTCAGAGAATTCTGAGACTGAGCTCACCTCTGTTATTCTTTTCCTAAACAAAGCAGTATCTAGAGATAGAAAGAGTTGTGACTTCCCTCCCAGTTCTCTTCCGTGATCCCTCTGTGGCCCTCCCGTTTCTGAGAGCCACTCCGCCTCCAAGCTCGGCTACTCTGCCATCGCTAGCCTTCCACTCCGTCTGGTCTCTTGGCCCTCGTTTGAAAATTCCAAGCCTTGCTCCATCTCTGAGCACCTCAGCAGTCCACACTGGGCCTCACCTACAGCTCTTCTGGGATGCTCGGCGGGGCACCCGAGTCCCTCCCCCACTGCCCTTCCACTGTCCCACCTTGCCGATCTCCAGCTCTGGATTCCACAGACCACTGGTTTTCCAAACTGCTGCTGCTCCCAGGCTGCCCCGCATTATTGAACAAATGTATGCCATTATTCTCAGAGAGGTTAGATTACACTCTCACTTACCATGGGAAATCCTAGGGGAAAATCCTCCAAATGGCCTGAAATGCCCTGACACCAGACATGTAATTATCTAAAATAAGACAGGCCAGGCCTTTCCCCTAAGATATCGGCATATGTGCACGGAGGCAAAAGGTACAACATACAAATTCCCCAATGTGATGTTCCTTTACTCAGTCATCCTGCTAGTGTGCCCTCTTAATATATGGTTATGTAAGCAGATGAAAGGGCAATTTGTCCCCTTAAAACACAAATAAAGGAAAAGGAATTTCTAATGGTACTCCTTGGGTAGAGATTATACTTGGATAAGACTGTGGTCATAATTTCACTAAGGCACTACAACCGAGGTCCAAGGAAAAAAACAAAAGGGTCAGAAACAGCTGCCTCTTTGAAAAGGAAGTCCAGTGGAGCCTGCAGACACTCAGCTGTAGGACCCCTCCCTGGCCTCCCTCCCATCTTCACTGTCCTCATTTCACCAAGGAAGCAATACCAACTCAAATACATTCCTCTGCAAACAGAGAGCTAAAAGAAGCACAGATACAGCATGTACCAATGCATTTAATAAGGACTCAAAACCACATGGAAACCTCAAAACACAAATGATAAACTGAGAATTATAAATGAACACACACACGTGGTATCTCGTGTCACAAAGGCCTAGCCTCAAATATACAAAGAGCTCCTGGAAATCAATAAAAAAGACTAACCGTTCAACAGAAAAAGGGCCAAAGGAATGAAAAGACATGTCATAAAAATAGAAATAAAAATGACGTGGGGCACCTGGGTGGCTCAGTCGTTAAGCGTCTGCCTTCGGCTCAGGTCATGAGCCCAGGGACCTGGGATCGAGCCCCGCATCGGGCTCCCTGCTCCGCGGGAAGCCTGCTTCTCCCTCTCCCACTCCCCCTGTTTGTGTTCCCTCTCTCGCTGTGTCTCTCTCTGTCAAAAAAATAAAATCTTTTTTTTAAAAAAAAAAGAAAAACGATGTTTAAGCCGTTAAAAGATGTTCAAACTCATTCATAATAAGAAAAATTCAAACTAAGACTGTACTGAGATACTCTGTCTTACCTAACACATTGACTGTGGAGAGAAGCACAGTTCTATGCTACTGAGATAAGAGCAAAATTTAACACTCTCCATAGATTTGGCAATCTCTACCAAAGTTACAATTTCAATGCTTTATTCACTGGGGATGTATCTGTGCACAAGACTGACCAAAGCCCCTGCCTTTGTAGAGCTTTCATTCTATCAAAGAGAGAGAGACAAATAATCCCATATTAGAATGTGGTAAGTGTTATGCAAAAAAATAACAGATCAGGGCACAGGAAATAACAGGGGAGTAGTTGCAATTTTAATAGGATCCTTAGGATAGGCCTCATTTGGAAAGTGTTATTTGAGTAGACTTGAATGAGATAAGGGAGTAAGCAATAAGTATATCTTGAAGAAGAGCAATCTAGGCAGGGGAAAAAAGCAAGTGCAAAGGCCCTGTGGTAGGAATATGCTTGGCATTAATCTGAGAGAAGTGATGGTGCATAAAGAGTTCAAAGTAGAGAGAGGAACAACATGATCTGACCTGTTTTTACGAAGATCAACCCAGCCATGTTCTGAGAATTAACTGCAGAAGGACAGGAGTAGTAGTGGAAAGACCAGGTGGACAACTAATGAGTGACAGTGGTGGCTTGGAGTAGTCATAGCTGAGCAGTAGATCCTGGATATAAACCAAAGGTAGAGACAACAGGATTTCCTGATAGGTGGAAGGTGAAGCACGAAACAAACACGAAATCAGTGATGACTCCAAGTTCTTGGCCTGAGCTACTAGAAACTGAAATGGGGAAGATTCCAGGGGCAGCTGACTGGGGGCAGTGAAGGTCAAGGGTCACTGTAGGAGGAATCAAGTTTGCTAAGTGTGAAGGGTTTGAGTGAGCCACTGACCCAGCATGTCTGCTCCTGCGAATCTGTTCTGCCCATTCGCCCACACGTGTAGAAGTGCATCTATTCAAGATTAAATACTGCATCCTGTAACACTGAAAGATCGGAAGCAAGTACGACTAGCAACAAACTTGACTTCAAGTCCAGCCCTGTTGATTTCTCTCTCCTTCTCAAAACCCTACAGGGGCTCCTCACTGCTTTCAGAATTCAGTCCAGATTCCTTTACCAAGCACTGCGTATTTGGATACCAATGTCCCTTCCCAAACTTCACCCAACATACTGTCCAGAAGTAAGACTTCGTGTTCTCCATCCAAGTACCAGTGTCCTGTCTCTCTGCCTTTGGCCATTCCGTTTCTGTCGGGAATCCCCGCCCCGCACACCTCCAGGCCCCTCCTGCTACCTCCAGCCTCTTGTGCATATCCTGGCTCAAAAGCAACCTCCTTCATGGAGCTGTCTGGGATCCCCCCATCTGGAAAGACTAGTCCCCCCTCTGGCTTCTCCTGCTAGGTCTGGGACTTCTGTGTGTCTTCCATGATGTGTGTTCTGTACACAAAATGTCTTTTCTTGCCTAAGCTGCAGTCTCCTTAATAACTATATCCATAAATTATTCAACTTCTTCTACCCTAAAGCATTGAACATGTTTCATATTCAGGAGACATCCAAAAAAAATACGTTATGAATGAACAAGTGAATGAATGTGATACAGAGAAAAATCCCCACTTCTGTTATCATGCTCGAAGAGTGAAGGTCTTTAGAAATTCTAATCATGCAAAGAGTCCCCTGGGTTCCCTGATGGACTGAAAAATGCAAAAGCTCTGTCACTTCTCTCACAAATAACCTTCCTCTCTCATCCCCACCACCCCACAGTGAGCGTGTTGTACTCGCAGTTCTAATTCCCAGGTCTGGAATGTGCCTTTCCCGAACCACAGGCTCCGCATTTCAGGTGAGGGCAGGTCTGTCCTCCATGAAGGAGCTAGAACTGAAGAAAGGTGATTATGGAATTCAAACTTCTTAGATGAAGGACTTACCAAGAAAAGGACTTCACATGTTCCTGAATCAGGATCCAGGTCTGGCCAAAATCATCTGACTTCCACAGCTGCAAAGACCAAGGACAAGAAGAGATCAAGATGCAAGAGGCAGGGACACCTGGGTGGCTCAGTCGGTTAAGCGTCTGCCTTCAGCTCAGGTCATGTTCCCAGGGTCCTGGGATCGAGTCCCGCATCGGGCTCCCTGCTCAGTGGGGAGCCTGTTTCTCCCTCTGCCTGCCACTCCCCCTGCTTATGCTCTCTCTCTCTGACAAATAAATAAAAAAAACCCTTTAAAAAAAAAAAAAAAAAAGAAGAAGCAAGGGGCAAGCATAACCTGAACGGCAAGGCCATCAGGCCCCACCATAAATAAACGTGCGGTCTGGGAAGACGGGCCCAGAGATCAGCAAGGCCAGCTTCGTCACTCCAAAAGCGAACGAGGGTGGGGAGGGAAGTTGAGATCTGCACCTTCCCATTCCTCTCCACAGTTACTAAGGCTTCAAGAATAACTACAAAGAAAAATGACTGGGGATTGTCTTCCATTTACGGATCATCAGAAATTACGGTTTACTCAGCACTAGCCATTGGGGATAGTAAAAACTAAAGGATTATACTGTACTTTCTCGCCTGGGAAACCGTGTCCTTAAAAACCCATAATGGGCCACGGGAATTAAAGGTGAACAGAGGGGACCCTGGCTAAGCGCAGAGGTAAAGAGCACCAAGGGGAACCACTTGGATGCAAACGATACGGCCGTGAGTGATGAACTTGCCGGTCTTTGCCAAAGCCCCTGAACTTCCAAACATAGCACCTGAGCATTCCTCTGGCCCTAGTGACCACACAAGAAGAAGCAGAAGACTAAAAATAACGTTCATCCACGTACACTGGTAAACTGACCCAGCCTGTACTTAGGTTACTCCCTAAGGCAAGGAAAGGTAAACAGATCATGTTTTGGTTAAACAACCTGCAAAGAAAAAGATATGTTCCAAGGTTCCTCTGAGCCAAGCCATTCAAAACTCATCATGAATCCAATCCTACAAGGTCTACTGGTTTCATGGCATTACACCAGACCGATAGCCTCGATTTGGCCAGTTTCAACCTTGAGATATAAATCTCCCCATCTCACTCTCCTTCAAATTCAGATTTAAGGAGAAAAATACACATATTTATATTAGAGGCATATACACACACGTAGGAAAAAAATTTAAGTTAATGATAATTTCAAATAAATGGTACAAAAGCAGTGTGTTGTTTGAGGCAGAGGATGGGAAAGGTAGAACAGAAATTCAAGACAGAGGTCCCAGCAGAGCTCAGACCCCAAGCTTCTTTAACTGGCTCTGTCTGAATAATTTCCAGAGTTTCGATGGACCACCCTCAAACCCACAAAGGTGCATCGACACGGAGAAGGTCATGATGTCTGGCTACAAGGGCCTGCCGAGCGCTTGGCATTGCCCCCTGGCTGGGAGGCAGACAGAGAGCGCAAGGGAGATACAGTTTTCCTCAGCCGTGGGAATTCAACTAGTACAAAGTCTAAGCTTGGGAGAGGAGGAAGGAGGGGCTGGGGGAGGTCAGTCAGAGGACACACAATCCCCACGGGCAGGAACAGAAAACCAGAGAAGCCCCACCTGACTGTGTTCCAGAAGCTCCCTTACCTGCTTGTTGGGGTGAGACCTGTCAAAGCCCAGGAGAAGGTTGGAGGCCTTGCTGTGCAGGAGGAGATCAACTGCCCGGAACGGGATGGAAAAGCCTTGGATAGTGTTGCAGAAGTCAAACGTGATCCAGAGGTACTGGGCATAAGCATCTGCAAAGATGTACTGCAAGAGAAAAAAGACAAGCTCAGAGTGGGACCTGGCCAGGGCTGCCCAATACCCCCCGCAACTCCCCCCCAGCAGTGTGTGCGGGGCCGGGGGCCTGCAGGGCCCCCACTTGGCTTCCTCCCCATCTCCTGGCCAGGAGGAGATGCTGGTGCACACCAAGCAAGGCTCTGGGAAGGAAGGGGTGCAGGACAGGCTCTCCTTTCACCAGGTAATTAAGCTGGTCAAGCCTATTTTTTCTTTGAATTGACCTGGCCATTCTCACCCTCTGGCAGGTCACTCAGGCACCATCAGAAGATGACTGGGACCCAGAAGGCCTGCTCTTCAGACTGGCTGCACACAGGTAAGCCTGCTTCCCTCCCTCCATCCTCTGAGCAGCTATGGGAAATGCCTACAATCACACCCATCTAGGAGGATGTTCTGGGCACTAGGCCAGGAGACAGGGCAGCCCCGAGGACCCAGGTGCCAGTGGGGCTGGCCGCCTCACTCTGGGGCCTGGCAGGAAGAGCTTGGCGAGCAGGGGCTTCACCTGACTTAGCCCTGCACAGGTAAGTGGCCCTGAACAAGTGGGACTACAGAGTGACCACCAGCCTAGACAGTTCTCCAGGAGAAAGGACCGAGGCAATTCAACTTCACAAATGTGCACTGAATATTCCCTGGGGACCGGATGCTGCAGGTGCCACGGTGAAAACCCAGAATCCTTGCAGTCTCACGTGGGAGAAAGAAAGACGTGATCATGGGTGACTGTAACTCAAGGGAAAATGAGATTCAGTGGGGAACCATGGACAGAGTCCTGTGAAAAGCACGCAGTCCAGAGGAATTCCAGTCTGGGCGATCAGAAGTGACTCCAGGGAAGATCTGGCCCTCGAAGGGCAGCCAAGACTTTCAGAGGGAAAGAATATCCCAAGTCGAAGGCAGTTTGAGTTTGGGAACAAAAGGGGAAAAAAAGTAGATCACGGACTTGAGGATGGCCAGGAGGGCCTGTGGGAAATGTCTACGGAGCACAGATGGTAGCAGGCCTGGAATGCACACGAGAGATGGGAAGGGCAGCCTCCTGTTCCCAGAAGGGCGAGGGTGGCTCGGTGGCTCACCGTGAACCAGAGCAAGGGGGACCCAGCTCCAATCACCAACCAGTCCCTGAAATCCCAGAAATCAACAATCCAAAGGAATCCGTCCAAGCACACTTCCCCTCATTGACTACATCTGACCCAGATCAATCTTCTGCTCAGAATCCTTTTGGCACAAGCAGCTTAGGCATGTCCTAATACTCTGTGCTTGCCTGACGCTATGTCCACGGGTTCTCGCTCCTTCACCTTTGGCCTTTCCCTCCCCAATTCCCAGGAGCGCACTCTACGTGTTCTTTCTCTCGTGTTTCTTCCACGGCATCTAATGTAGAACTCCAAACTCTGTAGGAACCTCATTAAATCTAACCGTAAAGGCAAGTGAATGTTTTGAAAGCATAAACAACCACAAACAAATGCAATGTTGTAAAAACAATTATGATCCTAAGAGGGCCATCATCATTTTTAGCATAAAAGGCGTTCCCCAGAAATGATGGAGCCCATCTTCCTGCTCCGAAACCATCTCGGTTACTAGGGAACGGAGTGCTCTCAGTTTAGAAAGATTTCTCCAGACATCTATTCCATGGTTTCTAGGGGTTTCACATTTGAAGATATAAAAATCACGTAGCCAGTTATAAAACGTATTATCTGTCATTCATGATAATAGCTCAGTATGTCCAGAACAGGGGTGCCTGGCTGGCTCAGACAGTGGAACCTGCGACTCTTGATCTTGGGGTCGTGAGTTCGAGCCCCACGTTGGGCAAAGAGTTTATTAAAAAAAAAAAAAAAGAAATGTGTCAAGAACACTTAATGTGTGCCAGGCACTGAGCAGACAAGTTGCGCATGCCTTAGCTCATGCTCATCCTCAGCTCAAGTCATGCTTCTGGTACTCACAGCCAGGCAGTGCCTTCGATACCTTCTTAACCTCCTTTACTAACTAGGGCACTGGAGCGCAGAGAAGTTAACCGGCCAAGGTGAGCCAGGAGGCAGCATCTACAGACGTGTCTGGCCGGTTCGGAGCCCACCCCTTCACCATTCACCAACTCCTTTCTTCTCTTCCTCCAACAAAGAGGCAGAACTTCCAGAATTTCATGCCTAGGTCTCACCCTGTGCCCCCGGGCTCATCCACGTGCCGCCTCCTCTCTCACTCGGCTCCTCAAGTCTGTAGTGGCCTTGGGCGACCCCGTCTCATGCCAAGGCTCCGTGCCCCACACCTGACCACCCCGTCCTTGACTCTCCTCCGGCTCCTTCTTCCCCTTCGTCCGCTCCCCACCCTCACATAACCTTATCATTCTTCCGTCCTCTGCTACGAACCTGCTCCATCCTCCACGCAGCTTCGACTACCACTGCTGAGATCAGGCACGTCGGGACTTTTAATCTACGGATCTACGGTCTGACCCCGACGTCTGACCTCCTCAGCATCTCCCCTCTGATGCGCCAAGATACTTCACTCTGTCATCCAAAACGGCGTCCTCTGACACGGTCCCGCCACGTCCCAAGCTCTCCATGTGGTACAGCAGCCCCAGGCCACAGTCCTCACAATGAGAGCTGGGGTTCCGCTCCATTGCCTTGCCTTGGCCCCACGCCCCATCAGCCACCCACCCAGTTATGTCTCTTCATTATCTCTGCTCTCCTTTGTATCCCCAGTGCTACCCATGTGGCCCACTCCCTACTGGAGCCCATGAGCAAACTGGGGCCGGGCACTGGGCTTTTTAGGCCCCCTTGTGTCTTCCAGGCCTTGGCAGGGTGTGAAATACTCAGAGGGCGATTACGACGTCTGGCTGAGGAACCGGGCAACGGCATGCCTATATTACCACGACCCCTCCATGACTTCCTGACCCCTCTCTAATCTTTCCCCTTTCCGATCCATCCTGCCTCTTGCCAGGACATGCATTTCCCTAAAAGACTCTATTTATAGCGAGTCCCCTACTCTAAGATCCTTCCATGGCTCCCCACAATCCTCGGGGCAAAAAGCAAACTCCTCCATCTTTACCTGCCTGGTGTCTCGAAGCGCCCCAGCGCCAACCCTCCACCCCTGAGAAGTGAGTCTCCCCCGTGCCTGTACAGAAGCCACAGACTGGCACCCTGACATCTCTGCCCAGGGCCTTCTCCCCATCAGGGACTCCCACCAACTCTGCTCAGCTCCTGGAACCATGCCCGTCCTTGCAGCTCCATTTCCAATCCCCAGTACCCCACGAAGCCTTTACTTCTCTGACCTGACCTCACTTAATCCCCAGCCCCCGCCCCCGTGGCTTCCTGTCATCACTGAGGCACAACTGTGATGTAACCATGCCACACGAGCACGGGACGAGAAGTACAGCACGTCCCACTCTGCCGTGAGGTCCCTGGACTGCCTGCCTGTCCGGCCTCCTCGAGGCCAGCCCCACAGATTTGCCAGCAGAGCCGACCTAGCAGGTGCTTCCTAGTCCGTGTGAATAGACTGTGTGATTTCAGAAGTGTCCTCAGACACCCCCACCTCTCCTGCCCCGTTTGCAATCACTGAATGTTTGGCTTTGGGCTTAAAACGATGTTTCCTCTTAAAGCACAAATACCTCTAGAAGCATAAAATAGCTACAGAATGCACTTCCGTGTTAGCCTAAGTGATTCCCTCCAGGTCTCAGTTGGGGAAACCAGAAGCACAATGACAGGAGGAAGGGCGGAGGAGGCAACGAAGGAACCTACCTCCATAAGGCGAGAGCGAAGGGAAAGACAGAGAGGCCCACCTCTCAAGGCTGGGAAGCCTAGCTGCACACTCTGGAACCTTCTGGAACGAGCCCCAGACGTACTGCATGGCTGACCTCGGGTGCGCCGGGGGGGGGGGGTTGCAGCACTGCCAGGTGGCTAAGGCTGCACACTGCTTCAGGGAGGCAGCACATGAGGCTGAGAAGGAAGTGGGCTGCTGCTGGCAGGTGCAAAAATAGACCCAAATGCTCACAGGACCCCACAGCCAGTCCATCTCCATTACAAAGCAAAACCACTGGAGTGGAGCTTGCTTGCCTAACCAGCCCTTCCTGTCCCCTTCCACGGGCACAGACCTGCTCAGACTTCCATGTGGCCCTCACAGGACATCCTCACCTTTCCAAGCTGCTGCCCAAGGTCATTTCAACCATTTCAAACCCTGCTCCCTGACAGCACCCCTCACGTCCCCACACGGGGGATGTGCCTGGGCCCAGTACCCTGGTGGTGTTGACAGCAAGGCACCCAGCCTGCGTGATTTTTCTCAGGAAGTGGTAGGTCCGGTGAGGCAATCTGCCTTCCAAGGGACAAAGGCAAAAGTAACAGAAGTTAACCGGCACAGTGAGAGTCACAGTTTCCTTCCTGAGAAGTTGGGGAGGGGTAACGACCTTCTTTGGGGAACCAGAAACTCAGCAGAGAATGCTGCATCTCTAACCCCACTCAGTCTGCTCCAGGCCCGTGCTCCACCTGTCAATAGGTTTTCCAAGAAGGTGGTTCCTCTTCCCTCTCCCCACCAACTCCCAAAGTACATCCATCTCTCCGGTGAGAAGCCCAAGATGCCCCACCTCCACACAGGGAGTGCCCAGGCTGCAGGCATGCCCTGCCCTTCCAGGACCCCAAACTCCTTGACGACCATGCCTGGCGTTCTCTTCTTGCTTGCCCCAGCGCCCTGGCCCCACCCTGCTCCTTCTCCAGACCTAATGCTCCAAAAGCCCCTCTCCCCCTGCACCAAACCTGCTCTGCAAGCCCAGAACATCATCTTTCCTGTCTTCTGACTACTCAGACGTGCGTGTGGGCCTAGCAGCTGCTCACCACAACCCATGACAAGCAGGAAGGAAGTCAGGACCTGCTTGCAGACATCTGTGCCCTTGTGGTAGGAGACGAGGAGGGGGCAGATGGAGCTGAAAAAGAAGTTTCCAGAGGGACCACAGAGTGGCTCCAAGGCCACAAAGGCAGTAAGAGTTAGCTCTGGGACAATGTGTAAAGATAATGATAATAATAATCGACAGGTACCTCCGGACAAGGTGAGTAATCTGAGTGTTATTTGCTCCTTAGAAGGCAGGGGGCACACAGCTCTATCCAGGGGAGGTGTGGCACAGCCAGCAAGCCAGACCCCGGGGCGCAGAGAGCAAATCGGGCAGCAGGGCCCACCCAACCCTGGGGGCCCCAAGTCCCAGGCCTGCCCAACCAAGTGCAGTGAGAGGAGCGGGTGCAGAGGGTGGGCAATCTTGTCTCCAGAGCCAAGTCCCTCCAACACCTCTTCCCTGCTTTTCATCGTGGGGCAAGTTAGGTAAGAGAGGAGCTGTTCCTAACTGCTCCTCTGCTTTGAGATCATCAGGCAGGGCTAGTATTAACCAGGATGTACCAGTAGTAGTTAGCCTAGTTTAGAAAAAAAAAACTGTTTCTATCCCATTAGTACATAGCTGCTTCCTTGAAACCCGAGAGAGGCCCCTCCTAAGCACCAGTGGCCTGGCCCCTTCCCCAGGGCCTGTTCACCATCCAGCAACTAAAAGGTTAATGCCTGGCCAGGCAGGGTGGCCTTCAGGACCCAGCTCCCTCCAGACTGGCTCTGTTCCGATTGGCCAGTGCCATTCCAGTGGCTAAATATTTTGAATAGAGGCAATCCGAGAAGCCAGTGTTGGGGGGCACCTGGCCAGAGGACCCTGCAGATCCTGTTCCTTTCTGGATGAGCAAAGAACAGCAGCTACCCTTACCTTGGAGCTTCCTGAACATTCTTAGGAGCAGTCATCCTGCCTCTGGAAACGAGCTAGGGCTCACCAGAGTGGGGAAGAGAGCAATCAAATACAACTCTCCAAGCTAAAGCAACCTAACCTTGCAGGCTGCCTGATTCCTGCCCTCTCGCCTCCGCCTCCCCCTCCGCCTCTCTGGGGGCCCAGGGCAATCTCAAATCAACGCTTCCTCCACATCCGACTGCCCGGGGTCTACTGCAGAAACCGAGCCCCAGGCCAGCCAGCCGGGAAAACAAATCCGGAGGCACAGCAGTATCTGCCCCCTTGCATTGGTGTTCTTCTCTAGGCAGGTACAGGTTGGGGGGGGGGTGGTGCACGCATGCACACACACACACACACACACACAGGTGATGCCCACAAAATCAAGCATCTGGCGAGCACTCTGGAAGATGTGCATTACACGGCACATGTCCCAGTAAACCCAGGTCACATTTTTGCCACCTATGAGACAGGCAGTTCATCAATTGGCAGATTTTCTTTCTACACATTAGCCTGACGCTCTTTGTCCAGAAATCCTGCCTGGCCAGTACCTGGCCTGCCTGATTATGCACGGTTCCACCCTGAGACCTGTGTTCTGCCAAACTCCCCGGTTAACAGAAAAACAGTCCCTGGCTATGGGTCACACTGCAGAGATGATGACAAGGAGCTCCTTCTCCCAGCCCCCCCGTTAGCATGGTGGACATCCCAGAATTCAGTCCCCTGAAGTCCCGATGGGCAGGATGGCGCCTCCTTACACGCTTGTTGTCCGCGGGGCTGTGGTAGAACTGGGCGATCACCGCTTCACTGCTGTTGCCCACGCCGAAGCTCAATTTCTCGGAAATTCTCTTGAATGATTTCCCATAGTCATAAGACACGTACACCTGGATCAGGGAGGAAGAGAGGACGAAGAAGAGCTGATGAAAAATGCAGCCGAGAGACCTCTCCCTCTGCCTGCACCTGTCAAGGTCCCGCCCTGGATCCCGAACGATGTTCCCGACAGGTCCTCGGCGTCAGGACACGACAGATGTGAAGAGATGATGCACCAAGGAGAAGCAGGGCACCTCTCCATCCGCCCCCCAACCGTGTGGGGGGCAGGAAGCCCGGGAGCACCACAGCCCCTTGCTGCCCACAATACACAGGCTCCTTTCGGAGGCCGGGACACGTCCTTGCAGGGGGGCCAGGGGGACCCACGGATGGAAACAATGATGACCTCCTCCCCACAGCTGGGTTGAGTGTCTAACCAATTACATCCAGAGGCAGACTGAATATGGTTTTCTGACGGGGACCTGTTTTGCCATCTGCTGAAATGTCCCCAAAAGGTAATCTCATTCTTCAACCCTCTGCTGGGAAGGTCTGTTCCTCTGGCACTGCAGAGGATGAAAAAGGAAACCCTCCCAGGCCTCCACGGAGAAGTCCAAGAAATGAGAAAGAAAAGTGCTCAGTGATTCGATATGCACGGAGGTCGAGTGTATAGGTTCGAGACACCCCGGCCCCAGCACGATGATGTTGATGCTACCGCCCCGGTGGGGCGGGGGAAGGGGGCAGTGGCCCAGGAGCCAGGCCTCTCACTTGCAGGGCTCCGGCCACCCAGTAACCATGGTGGCAAAATGTAAGAGGAACTGTCACTCACGGCATGCTTCCTAGGTGCCAGATACCGTACCGCCCTCCTCATGTGAAAGAGCTCAGGGAGCTCTCCCCACAGCCCTGCATGGCAAATGCAGTTACTAAAATCATTTTCCAGATAAGGCAGCAGGGGCTTAGGGGATTAGTTTCTCGCCAGAGTAACAGAGAAGGTAAGTAGCAGCGTGGAAATGTGATCCAGGCTGCCTGCCTCCAAAAAGCCAGAAATCCCAAAGCCATCACACCTCCGGTAACAGATGGTGGGAGAGAAGCCGCCAGGTATTTTGCACCTAGACTGACTACCTAGGTAATGTGAAATTAACATAATCAGAGGATTAAAAACAAGCCTGATAGGTGAATAGAATATTAATAATAGTTAGGACTGGGGTAAATTCTATAGGAAAATGACAGGTGACTGCCAAAAAGAATGGGAACGACTGGATCATCCCAGCAAAGGTACTGCCACCAGTACCCAATGACAAAACAGCAAACACATCTGAAGGGTTTGTCAGGAGCCAGGGGCTGTGCTAAGTGCCAGATATGCAAAGACATGGCCTTTACACACATTGTAAACGTACAAATGTTTGTAAGCAATAACCCTTGTAAACAATGAACTACACGAGGCAGGTACAAAGGGAAGCAAGAATACACATGGGGCGTTAATATTTATTAGATGTCAAGGTTAGAAGAGCACAGAGAGAGCCTCTGCCAATATCTGGACCACAGTGGAAGAAGCCCCATTACGAACACTCATGCTTACAACACACAGCGTATGTCCCCACCTGCCATGCGCACAGCGAGGGGCTGCCATCAAAGCAGCCTCAAAATGCAGCAGGTTGAGAAGCTCCCAGATGATTTGAGTGAGTAAAAAGACAAAGTGGTACCTTCTCACTTCCATTCTCCAGGCCCAGAATAGACACTGAGAGTCCCTGCTAGCCTCAGACACCACATGTACTGAACTAATGGCTTCTCGAAAAGGGAACTCGGCCCCCTCCAGCTCCAATGTCCCCAAAATTGATAATCCACTATGAGTTACCGCCTCAGAAGCACAGAGGTGATAATAAGTCGTATTGGGATAGTATTTCTCAGTATACATTATCGCTCTTCATCTTTAAAAATTCTGTGGGTCAGGGGTGCCTGGGTGGCTCAGTCGTTAAGCATCTGCCTTCGGCTCAGGTCATGATCCCAGGGTCCTGGGATCGAGCCCCATGTCGGGTTCCCTGTTCTGCGGGAAGTCTGCTTCTCCCTCTCCCACTCCCCCTGCTTGTGTTCCCTCTCTCGCTGCATCTCTCTCTGTCAAATAAATAAATAAAATCTTTAAAAAAAAAATCTGTGGGTCAGCCTCACTTTGCCTCCCTCGGTGTACCTAGAACATCGCACATACTCAGTAAGGATTTCTGGAATTAAACATCATTATAAACCACAGAGTGAGGTAAATGAATGTGTCCCACAAATGAATAAGAGAGAGTGACATGAATGAATCAGTGAGTGAGTGAATGAGGAATTATTTCCACTTAAGAGATGACAAAAACCAAGACTCAGAGAAGTTAATGGTCATACAGCTGGGAAGTTGACAAAACGTAATGGGTTCCCTCCAGTCTCTGGTCCATCTGTCTTTCTACTCTTGCAAGTTACCCTTCTAGGAGGATGCTCTCTGCTACAGACATATGGTGCTCTGTTAAAGGGGGAGATCACACACTGAGTCTGCAGGCCGGGCAGCAGAAGGAGTGGGGGGTGGGGGAAAGAAGGGGTAAAACACCAATCTTAACAAAACACAGACCTTTTCTGAGATTCTCAGCCACACCTCTGTCACTTCACACTCAGAGAGACAACAGCCCTCACTACCAAAAAGTTCTTCCTTAATATGCACCTGTAAACAAACCCCATCTCTTTAAGACTTATACTTAACAGAAGTCAAGAGTAAGTATGTAAGGGCCCGTCCTACGCCTCAAGACACTTGTAAATGACTCATCAACCTGCCTCCTCTTCTCCAGGTCGAACCATCCCAACATGATATTTTTATCCTCTCCTCATAATTCTTATTTCTATTGGATTAAGCTCAACTCTAAGTTCGACAGGGCAAAGACCAAGCTCAGGGCTGTGCAAAGCTATCTGCCCTCCTCCACAACGAAGAGCCCAGAAAAGGCTTCTGCCAGTGCTCAGATAATGCCAAGTGGGCTGACAGCCTCATGGTCTCCACACTGCACCCCCACTGGTATGCTCGGCTTCAGTTCCCAGGGAGCGCTAGGTTGCTGGCTCACTGCCCACTATGCTCTCCAGGTGAATCTGAGCAAACATCCTATACTCGCTCATCTTTGTGCTCCCATAGTTTTTTTTCCTCCGGGCATAGGTTTTGCACTGATCAGTCCTCTCTGACTTCTCTAAGACATGACTCCCTAAAAGGACAGAATAAAACGGGAGAAGTCCCTAAAACTGCCAAAGTTGCTGGTTACATCACTGTCTCACCTATAAAGATGGTCCTTCCATGTGAGTGGTTTTGGATTCTCTCCCTACTTTAAAACAGCGTAATAATAATAATGAGAAGGACAAGGAGCAAGGAGGGAAAAGGTAGAATGGACAGCGGAGGGAGGGAGGAAGGAAAGAAGGGTTGAAATGTACAGAAAATATCTCCTTATCTGGCCCCATTCTGAGTCCTTCACACCAGTGCTTCTCGAACGGTAATATGCTTACAAGTCACCCGGCACAACATAGGTCACAATGCAGACTGTGATTCAGGAAGTGTGGAGTAGAACCTGAGATTCTGCCTTTCTAACCACCTCCCAGAAAACACCCCTGGCTGCTGACCCACAGACCACACTTTGGGGAGCAAGGTTTTACAAGCACTATCTCACTGATAGATGAGAAGACCAATAGAAGGTTAATGACTCGGCTCAGGGTCTGACTGCTAACAAACGGCAGAGCCAGGATTCAACCCCAGGCATTCTGATTTCAGAGCCAAAGCTCAGTGAAACACCAGCTCCACGGGCTCCCAAGTTCCACCCTGTTAGCAAGCTAGCCAGTCCTGGCCCTGCTCCCCGGTCCATCCTGGGGGGCACCAATCATAATGTCACAACACTCTGGGTGCAAAGGCAGCAAGTCCTACCCTTTCTGAAACCTTCCCTGGTTGATTCTGATCTTCGGGTGGACACAATCTCTGCAGAGCTCCTTGGCCGATGTGGCTGCACCTGAGTACCTCTGCAAACTATGTCAGGAGAGGGCGGAAACAGAGACACGGGGAGGCTCGAGATAAACAATACCTATTGTCTCCTTTCATCAACCAGACTATCAGAGAAAAAGATGGCATTCCTTTTGGAATGCAGCCGCCACTCCTCACGGAATCACACTTCCTACCAGTTCATCGGGACATTATTCTTTTTTTTTTTTTTTCTGTTGAAAAGCAAACCTTCCGGGATTCCAGCTTCCAGATCCGTCCCTTTTTAATATGCTGAATATGCATGACTTGGCCATTCTCCAACACACACACAGCTCCTCACTTACACTGGTCCCCTCCCTTCTGGACAGCTGACGGGGCCTTACGAACTGTGCTCCCGCTCTTCTCTCAAGAAAGTCGGGGTTGCTACAACACCCGCACCACCAACTCCAGCCTCCGAGTCATAATTTATTTCTGTGTTAACGTTCCACATCAGAACATCTCCATTTCAGCTGCCAAGTCTTTAATGTAGCCTGTGTGTGGACAGGGGGAAATCTCTGCCACTCCCATGTATTATCTCCGAGCGTGGCATTTCCTTCCCATGTAATCTTACCGTGTATTTCATTACAGAACGGTGTATCGCGTCCAGTGTTCGATGGCTTCTCGGTAAGACGCACCCAGATATTTAGACAGAGCGAGAATGGGGTTTGGGCAGACAGGCCATATGTGGGGAGACCAACCATCCAGGGTGACCCCCGGCCTGAGGAGGCTCCCAGGATGCAGGCCTTTGAGGGCAAAAACCCAGACGAGTGGGTCCCGTTGGCAACACGACACCTCACACAGCGGGCACGTGATCAGGTCTTGGGAGCCGCCACTGCGTGACCTCAAGCAGGCCACTTCATGTCTCCAGGCTCCTGTTTGTCCAGCAAAGCCATAATACAACGGTTAAGGTCTTTTACCTGTCTCGTAAAAGAATATTATCTAGACAAAGAATTTTTTAAATGTATAAAAAGGCTAAGGAGCATTTCTCAACACAGTAGGGCCAAGAGCGGTTTCCCGTGCTCAAAAGGGGTAGCCATGAAGGGGTGTGCGGACCGTGACTGCGCTGAGTATATATACAGGTGCCTAGGGACCTCACGGGACCAACAGCATCCATAGGCTGCCGTCTGTGCTTGCAAACCCTGGTCGCATTTATAAATGGGCCAAAGCCACTGCCCCAAAAAAAGTCCAGCCCTGCTCCAGAGCACAACATCCAAACTGGCTGTCAATGACCATGGCTTCCCACCCGCCCCTGCTCAGCAGCCATCCTGGACAAAAGCTCTACATTATAGCCCTTCTACCGCCCTCCCTATCTGTGGCCGTCTCCACTGAACCCACTAGAAAGCAGACACCGGTGCTCCCTCCAGGCACCTACCTAGGAGCACATCCAAGCCGGACCGCGGATACACAGAGAGGGATCTCAGAGACCAGGTCTATACTCAAGAATGCCGAGTGAGTCCTTCGGGCTGATGTGACAGTGCTAGAAAATTCACCAGGAGGTTCCCTCTGGCCCAGAGCACAGAGTGAACAAAGCTCCACACGGTGTTTCTTTGTCCACAGGTTTCACCCCGCTGCATCCGTCCCTGACCCCAGGCAGGGGCTGGTCCTCTTCCCACAAGGGGACGTCTGGAGCCGGGGCCACACACATGGGACCCAAGGACCAGTTCTGGCCCTCGTATAGGTTGTACTTGGCCTGCCCAGTATTTGTACAAATGATACATGAGCTGCCAACTTGTAAGACTCCACAGTTTTCACATAAAAACCCAGACCTCTGAGCTTCTCTCGGAAATCAGATCTGGCAAGGCCGGGCCCTACACAACAACCAGAACTGAGACCGATGACAACAGCCCCTCCCAAGCACCAAATCCCTTCTACTTCTCAGCACCTCACGGACACAGAAACCAAGGATCAATCACCGCATTCAAATTAACACACAGGTGAATGCTTCTTGAACCTGCATCTCTACCCAAGTGGGAAAATGACACGTTGGCCCAGAAGGCCACACACTTCAAGAAAAATGGGAGAGACCGTTTTCCTCCCTGGAAGAAAGAGCGTGGTGAACTGGGAGGCAGGCTTCTCCTGCCACTACCCACCAGGTCTCTCACGGGCCTTTGAGTCTGTGACCCTTGGTGTCTCGTCTTCAAAGCACCTAAACTCTTAAACACTATATAGAAAGTCAACCACGAAAATCAAGAATATGAGCACATAGAAGTCAAGAACCCACCCCACTGGAAGGGGTCCCATCGGGCTCTGGGGAGGACGGGCAGCTCTGCCCGGAATGCGCTTCTGGCATTTTGCGGAGCAGACCCAATGATCCAGATCAAACCCGATCACTTCACAAAAGTAATCACATGTCACATGGATCTCATTGCAAAATGGCCCGCACCACCCTCTGTTTGGCAAACGAGGGGTATTTATTATTGTTCAGACACTCTTCCCTCTTGTAAAATGTATCCCATCCATTCATTCTCCAATTACCCACGCTATTTTTTTGCTGGCACGATAACTCTGCCAGATTCCAAGAGGGCATGTTGGTGGCCTCACAGAGGAGCGCCCAGACCAGCACCAATACTTACATCACTGCTCCTGGGCCTCGCCAGGGCCAGGCTGTCCCGGGCCAAGGCCACGATCACGTTGCTTTTCTCTCCGGCCCAGTGCACCACCATCTGATTGTGGGAATCATTCAGACTAACCTGAAAGAGATCAAACCGACACAGGAATTAGGACCCACGATGAGTGAGGGCCACGATATTCTAAAGCAAGACTCTCTCTCCTCCTTTGTCACTCAGAGACAGCTAAGATTCTGAGATCTGGAGCATGGGGACAGGCTGGCCTATTTTTCCCCCAGTGCAGATTCCACAAGACACAACTTCCCCAAGAAGAAATACAAATTCCCTGCTATTTTGGATATAAATGGATTGCAAAGAAATCTTCTCAGGCTCTCTCTGGCATAACCAGTGACTTTCTTATTCTCGTCTTTTGCGTAATCAATCTCTGGTTATTACTTTCATCCCTAACCCATACATGGGTCATGCACTGCCCTAAGGCCTTGAAACCGAAACACTGACACATCTTCCTCATTCAGAAAGAGTGCACAGGCCAGAAAGACCACACGCTTTCAAACCTCCGTTCAATCTGGTGCCCTGTCTGGCTGACAGGTGACATGGCTCATCCTGAGCGCCTCGCAAGGAGGAACAAGAGAAAAACATCACGGTACAAGTTTTATTTAATTAGTTCTGAAAGGTCCCAAGTAAGGAAATATTTTCCAGGACTCCCCAGAAATGACCTTCGAATTCTTGCTAACAGTAGTTCCTAGACTTCTGGGTTTTGTAAACCAGCAAGATGAAAATTAATTAGAAAGGCCAACAGAGGATTGGTTGGCCAACTCCATTTTGCCAGGTAAGGACATGAACAAAAAGAGCCACTGTGTCGAGCCGGACTTGCTGTTCTCTGAACCGGTTTCCTCTGCTCCCTGAAGACATAGCAGACTCGCGCCCAGGCTGCCTTGCCGTGGGGTGTGGCCTGACACAGAACATGAGGGAAGGTGGTCAGGGCCACCGGCCCCAGCCCCTGCCAGCCCTCTGCCTCTTCCCCATCCGCAGGCCCCATTCAGGACTCCAGACCCCCAGATGACAGTGGAACCACAAGAAGGAAGGAGCCCACGTCTCCAATGAGAAAGCCCTCCACTAGTCAGTAACACTCGCTTTGGAACTCCTTACAACTAGGGGATCCATTTATGCCACTGAGCTTCTGGGATCCGTCCATTATGCAGCTAGCCCTCCTAAGCAACATGACCACCATAATCACCGTCATTTTTTTTTTTTATTTTTTTAAAGATTTTATTTATTTATTTGTCAGAGAGAGAGAGCACAAGCAGGAGGGAGCAGCAGGCAGAGGGAGAAGCAGGCTCCCTGCTGAGCAAGGAGCCCAATGTGGGACTCGATCCCAGGACCCTGGGATCATGACCTGAGCCGAAGGCAGCCGCATAACCGACTGAGCCCCCCAGGCGCCCAATCACTGTCATTTTTTAAAGAAAGGACAGTTAAACACCAAAAGTTGAATAAGGATCTATCTCAGAATAAGAACAGTTCTTTTAGACGGTTTTGCTTTATGAAAAACTAACTCCATTCCTTTTATTCTCCCTCTCTCAACCAGACACAGACAGACGGTCCAAGGGCCAGCATCTCAGAAGCCCTGAGCTCACATTTCACCTACTCTGTGTGAAGAGCAAACCAATGACCGCGCGAAAAAAATTCCAAGAGCTGTTGTTAACAGTCAAATCAGGACAAAGCCCCCCCGCCCCCCAGTTCAGAACACGCACTCTCCCTCTTGCTGAGCAGTGTCTGGGAGAAGCCTCTTCCACCAGCCTCCCCAACCTCGGCTGTCTGGGGCACATGTAGAAGGAAATCAAGCTTCTGGGCTCCAAGGAGCCTCTGCACGATCCCACCTGCATATCTCCCCACCACCCTCCCCTCTTGGGCTGATGCAAAGTCCAAGCCTGAGCTGACGGGCCCTCTGAGCTGCCTTCCCATGGAGGTTCTGCAGCAGAAAACCCTCCCCACACCTCCTTTCTCCTTTCTGTTCCTTGTCCCGCCACCGCCCTGACTTTCCCCACCTCCCTCCTCGAGGTGCTCTCAGATGTCACAAGGGAGAAGGCAGACACCACAGACTGTGCCACAAACTTGGCAGACAAGATGACAAAGGAGCGAATCCTTAACTACTCTGCTCTGACTCTTGAGCGCCCGTGTTTCATTTGACCCAGGATCCAAATGCTTTTGGAAAATATCTGAAATGAGACCTCTGTAAAGAAAAAGACCTTTTGGTATTTTTTAGGAAAATACGTCATTCCAAAATGTTCCTTCTTGTTCCCAGAGAGACATCCAGGTGGGCATCAAGAGAGAAGGACGAATGAAAAATAGAAGTAAGTACATAATGTAACTGAGAATGCTGAGAAAGGGGGAAAGCAGCAGAGAGAATCTCCACCAGCCGCTCATGAGGCCTTACTCCAGCCTTCCCGTTCTCCCACCACTCGCCCTCCAGCTCATGCCACTGGGAAGAATCTAGAAGCATCTACAAATCAGAAGCCCAATAGCACAAGCACCCTGGGAATTCAGGCTAAAAGTCTTTGCCCTCCAAAGACATTCTCGCCTTTAGAACCACAGGGGAATAAATAGTGAACGTATGCGAACATCAATACGATAAAGGATTCGGCACCTGGAAGAATCACCCGAGTTCTCAGGGTCTGGCATGAAAGAGCCCACCAACACTTGATTCGGGCAACCTCAGAATGGTTCCCCTGGCAGGTGACAATCTGAACAGGCTACAGAGCCCCCGGTGACAAGAGTGGGAAAGAGGTCTCAATGCTACGTGCTGAAGTCTTTCTCCTCAGAGGACACGAGATTTATGAGGCCCCTCAACCAATCCTAACAGAGATGAAGGGGTGAGAGCAGGGCAAAGGACAAACATCAGAACGTCCAAGGGCTTTCTGACAAAGGAAGCCAAAGGCAAGCTTGGTGAAACACCTTTAAAAAAAAAAATAAAGGACTTGATAAATGAGACACAGTTAATTGGAGATGTCAAAGCAGCAGGGAGGGGCCCAATGCCTCCCCTCAGAAGGCAGAGAAAAATCACATGCCACCGAAATCTCCACACACAAAAACTGCATCATCAGCAACCCACAGCAACCGGAGGTACCCGAAGCTTCGGCCTGGCTCACCAGCAGGTCGTTAATGCCCCAAAGGTCACCCGGCCTGGGGCTCCCAAACCCAGCTGACAGAACCACCCCAGCCCTACCAATTCAGATCCCGCTCTGACTGGGGCCCAGGAATTCCTGTTTTTAAAAGAGACGCTACAGGTGTCCGTAATGCAGCTTATCTGGGGAGCAGTGAATCTAGTCTGTTCCCCTTCCTACTGGCACTACCTGGGATCCAACTGGTGGTAGCCGGAAGACTCACTGTTTGGGAGAGAGGCTGTCTTTGGGTATTTGGGGTAGTTGTTAAAACTCCATGATCTGATATATTCCATGATGTGGACAAACCTCAAAAACACCACACTACTGAAAGAAGCCAGACACAAAAGGTCACAATATTGCCTAATTCCATGTACATGAAAGATCCAGAATCAGTAAATCCATACAGATGGAAAGCAGACTGGTGGTTGCCAGGGCCTGGAGGGAAAGGGACCTGGGGAGTTACCATTTCACAGGTAAGGGGTTCTATTTTAGAGTGATGGAACTAGGCAGGGGGGTGATCATACAACACCGTGAATGGACTACACACGCCACTGCATTGTTCACGTGAAAGCAGTTAATGTTATGTAAATTTCATCTCAATAATTTTTTTTAAAAGCCTGTATCTGTGACCTGTAAAGAACATCATATTTCTGAGGTGCTGATCTAATACCAAGGAGCTCCCACTCTTAAGAAATGCTTCTTTCATTTCATCTTGATCTTTTCTGCTACCAAAATAATGCAGCCTGAATGAGTCATAGAGGAGGCAGGCTGAGGAGTGGGTCTCTGGCCAAAGCAATCCTTCAAAGCGCCATCAGCGGCATCTGCAGAACCACGGCATCCCTGCAGGCCTCCCGGTCCCTGCTCGTTGGTCCCTGATCCCCGGCTGGAGAAATGGCCACAATCTCCGGGCCAGCATCCACTTCCAGCTCCCAACAAATGTCACCACCCCCACACTGAACACACCTCGGTCCAAGCCACCCCCATGCTGCCTCTCAGCCCCCCAGCATGCCCTGGTGTTCCAAAGAGGTAAAATGATTTTCCTCATGATTCAGAGTGAGAGTAAGAATCTGCTGCCACCCAAGCACCAAGCTCTGGGTTGTTATAAATAGAAGGGAGGACAAATAAATTGCTTGTTGTATGGAGGTACTGATTGCTCATGCATTCCCTTACTGATGAAGGCACTGAGGCCTACTGGGTGCCAGGCACTCTTTGAGGCTCGTAAATAATTTCTCCCCTTGTCAAGGGTACACAGAGCACTTCTGGGGGAAATCGGTGTTGCGAGTCTGACCGGTGATAAGATATTTACAATAAAACCGTCAAAATCTGTATATACCCAATTGAGGCTTACTCAGGAGGATGGGGTCCTTAATGGAACAGGCCCCACGTCATCTCCATTCATTCCTTCTTCCATTACCTCTTGCAAATTAGTCAAACCCGAAGATCAGGCTGTCCTAGACACCCACAGCCTGTGGTCCTCAACACTCCTACACAGCTTCTTTCCAGAACACAGGACAAGGACAAACAAGGCAGTCTGGTTCACTCCTCTGCCTCGCTAGCAGGGAAATACGAAGAAGCATTTTTAAAATTCTGCAACGAAGTATAAAACAAACACCACGTCCTTCAATTTCGAGGACAGAGGCAGCTGCTGAATCCCCTGAACATCAGGACAGGCCTCAGGAAACCAAAGACAGACTCCCGAGGTCCAAGAATAACAAGGTTTTCTCAGACCATCCATTTGCACGACCTAAATGCTAGGTATGCAAACGGCCCCTCCATGTCCCCATTCAGGACGGTGTCCTCACTATATTTAGCAGGCTCATTACCCTCCCTGGGTGCTCCACCTCTGAAGGAGAGCTGGAATCTAGTTTAAGAACTCCCTGCAGACAGCCCCTGCTCAAGCATTTGACTTGGGTTTGCTCCAGATGCTTCACCCACAGAACTCATTAACTACTCTGCTGAGAA